TATTGATATTTACTGATGTAAAACACATATATTCCAGCTCTATGATCACATTAATGATTAAATTGCTGGATGATGATGCAGATGAAATTATACATTGAATATCAACACAGCAGCCCCAAATAGTTTAGCTTTACATTCTCATTTTTGGAAAATCCTCCTTCATGTCTACAGGTTTAATGTGAAGACTGAAGGATTTTAGGGCAAAAACACGTTTTTCTCTCTTCGCAGCACAAAAAACTGTCATGATCATCAAAGGTGACTCATAAAATAACCCTGATGGTTAAACAGGGGAAGGTGAAAGGAAGTGGCGAGACACGTCTGTGTTATAAAAAAAGTGGAAGAAACTCCGACAACCCCCAGTTAGGATTTATAAGACTTACTTTGCGTTTCAATATGGCCGCTCCTCCCATCAACAAAAGCAAACTTTTAAAAGACACACTGATGGGAGTGCGTCTAAATTCAGTCTTACATGTGGAGCTTCCATTTCTAAACTGAATGAGTTAAAAGTGGTGAAAAGTAAAGCTTAAAATGATGCTCATGTTGCAAACATGTTGAAATCCCAACTTTTTAGGCAAACAAATGGTAAATAAACTGAGAAACCAGCAAGGACTAAAGCAATCTGAAGATTTTCAACACTTTAAGTGACAAAAGGACAGCAAGAGCTAATCACAGGTGAGTAGATGCAGCTGGAGAAGGGAGCAGGCAGATGCAAATGTGGGAAATGAGAAACAGCTGGGCAGCAGAGAAGAATGAAACGTTGGAAATGTGAAAGATAAATAAAGCAGATGGAAAAAAAGGGGGAAAAAGAAACTGAAAACTTCACATAAACAGAAACAAAACAATACTGGAGAAACAAATCTAAACACCAAGGACAAACTACAATGGCAAGATATAGAGAAAAAACAAATAATGATTGAAACAGAAACAAACATGGAAAGTAGAATTAACACTTCTATTTAAAATCACAGCTAGTTTATAACTTCACATTTACCCATACAGGCACAAAAGTTCAGCAATTTCGGTTTTGATCATTTATTATTTTTTTGTATTTCTCTTAAATTAAATCATCATTTAAAAACAGCTTCTTGTTTTCTTTTGTGAGGAGGGTTAAAAAAACTAAAAAAATCCATAAAGGGGAAAATACACATTTCTTGGCGTTACATTTTGGGTTTTTTTTATGTTTGTGTCAAATAACTTGTAAAACAAATTTAATTGTATTCTTGTTTGTTGAGACTTTTAGGGCCATCTGTGGTTAGGATTAGGGGTTAGGATAAGGATTAGGGGTTAGGGGTTAGGTTTAGGGTTTTTCAAACTTTCTTTAAGGAAAGTTGACAAAACAATTCTTTGATATAATCTTCAAAAATAGAGAACAAAACCAATAAAACAATGAAGAACTTCACTGTCTTTCTTCTTTTTTATTGTGTGAAACGAATCTGAAAATATCACTTTTGCTTCTCGGAGGGTTTCGTTGCATTGCTTTGTAATTGCCAAGGCGAACGTTTTGGTAAAGTTTTAATGTGAAACTTGAAAAGTTAAATCAATATTCCACAATGTTCCTGCATGCTGCTCCCCCCCTCAAAAAAAAAAAAAAGAAACGAGCTCAGAGGGAGTCCAGAGGAGCGGGTCAAATATTCATGAGCCTTCAGAGAACCGCTGAGATGTCACTGCAAGGACGGAGAGAGGACCGCCGCTCTTCAAAGTGGGAATGGAAATTGTGCCGAAAAGCATCGGGAGACGATTTTCTTCCTTACATTCACAAAGATTGTTATTTTTGCTTTATTATTGAATGACTTGTGTAGCTCAGAACCCCGGGGATTTTACTGCACAAAGGGGAATGATGGCTGAATTTTAAAAGAAAACAAAAGTTTATAAATACACTTAGACTTTTTTAATGTTTGGTGACAGAACGGGAACACGAGGATGTTGAGCTTTACTCATCCTGCTGCTTTTAGAGTCAAAGATATTAATAAATCAAAGCAAATATTACATTATTTTCTCACAATTATGCATCTGTAATTGCATATTAATTCATTTTTAAATACTTTTTAAATGTACAAGACACACAACTTGGAGGTTTTTACAACTGAATTGAACTTAAAGCTTTTATGTGACTTATAGAAAAATATATGATTTTAATTTATTTGTTAAAACTGTCACCTTGTTGTTATAATCTGTGAAAAGAATCATCTCCTACCGACTTTCTGGGCTACTATTGCTGTCTGAAGAAATGTATCAAAAATAACCAATCAGAGCCAGGAGGCGGGCCTTAGAGTTGTCAATCACACTCATATACTCACTGCTACATGTGCTAATTATGAAGAAACAACTGAAGGTGGTCCCAGCTTTTTCCTCTGTTGTTCACGTCTTTTGTTCTATGAGAAAAACCATCTTTAAATTTTTACATTAAACAAAGACGGAGTTTAATTTAGATGCTTGGCTCATTGTTATTGCTTTAAATGTGGTTAAACTCTCATATCTAAAGATAAGTGGGCTTTTAGAGTTTCCCCTTAAGAAAACTAGCTAAATTATAAAGTTTCCATAAAACTTGATGAAAACATCTTTCAGGCTGTAGTTGCTGACAGAGATAAATTACTGTAATATGCCTAATAAAAGGCTCCACAACCATGTAATTTCCTCTCCAACCTGCCTGTGGCAACATCAGATGTGCCAACTTCAAACTCTGAAGAGTGAACAGGAACGAAGCTTCATTTAATTTAATTTTAGCCCTCAGTTATAACCTCAGCATCATATAAACCCACTGCTGAACTTCTGCACCTTCGATTATCTGGAACCCAGAGCAGCACAGATTCTCTTCCTCATGTTTTGGATGATTTATTTTTATGTGCGTAGCTAAAATGGGAAAAGTTTTAATCTTCTGTTGTCTTGAACATGGTGGCTAAACTTCTTCAGTTTGCAGAACAGCAAAAATACCCAGCCGATTCAGCAATTTCCTCTCAATCAACAACTGATTGAGTGGTTTTGCCTCATTGATCTGATGTCTCCCCAGGGACGGGTTTCTATGTGCTGGTGCCGCTTGTTATTAGCCAGCCGTTCCGTTTGCTTTTGAATAAAACAGCCCGGTCCATGCAGACGGAGTCAACATTGACGCTGTTTACACCATTAGACGCTGCTATTGCTGACTGAAGGATCAGTGTGTGCTCCATCAAAACAAACATTAGGCTGCGACGCGTTTATGGAGCCAACGCCAAATACATTTATAGATTCACAGATTCCAGAAACAAGAAGAATTGATGGTTCTTAAGCTCTAATTTCAAGAATTCACCAACTTTTACCCCTTTTCTACAAATCAATCAAAATTTTTTGCTTTTTTAGACAAAATCTTAACTTTAATAGTTCTATTGTCAGCTAAATAAAACAAAATCATCTGCTGAAGTATAAATTTAAAAACACTTCCTCCTGCTGACACGTTTAATGAAAATGCAGATTTTACTCTCCAGCTGGATTTTGTGAAAATACATATTCGCTTCCTTTCAATAAACAATACAATTGCACTCATAAAAAATACAAAAATAAATTTGCTTGATGAAAACACACCAATTTTAAATAAACTCACATTTTTTGGTCAAAAGATTTGTGCTACGATGAGGTGAATTTTTATCCATATTGAAATAGTTGTTTAAGTTTAGAAAAGTCCAGTTAACACCAATTACCAAACAATAAATGGAAAGAAAATAAAATAAAACTTTTCTACCTCTGCTCCTTCAACGTACTCAGCCATTTCTTTTTCTTGTATGTGCATTACGTGTCTTCTCTGACCGAAACGGCTCTATAATGCCCTCTTGTGGATATTTAAAGCACTAACAAGAGTGACAGGAGGTTATATTTAGCAGCACTTCAATTGAAACATTTTGTTCTCCGCATCACGAGTCATGTGATCAACAACCAGATGTTACCACTGGTGGAAACGACGAAGGGGACGACAGGAAGTGGTTGGAGGACGTCGGTACCGGATATTTTTATTCTTATTTATTTATGGTGTGAATAAACTTCTTCTGGATTGACCCTGTTAAAAATGGCGTCACTGGGAGGCCATTTTAACAGGGATTTAGAGACTTTTGAGAGCCACTGTTGCGTGAGATACATTTCACCGATATATCGTAATACAGAGCTTTAAAAGGTTGAGCAAAAAGCTTAAAGGTGCTGCAAACTCCTCCACCTTGCAGCTCTGTGAGTTAGAAGAAGTCAGTGAAGTTTTAGTGAGTAACTGCAAACAATTCACACTTAAATACAAGCTGTTTCTCAGAGCTTTTAAACCTTTTTACAACACATCTGAGAATTCAGGAATAATCAGCTTAATTTTATGCTGAAATTAGGATTTATTTTTCAAAACAAAATGATGACCTGCATGCTGGGAACCGGCTCTGGTGTTGAGCTGGAGCCCCCAAGGAGTGATGGACTTTTCATTTAACCCTCATTAAGTATTGATGGCCTGTAATAATAGAGATCAGAGAGGAAGATTTACATGTCACAGCTCACCACTTACAGCCTTTAAAGGGGTTTATATAAGCTTATTTCTGGACATATCTGCAGAAATGAATCATAATAACCTTATTTTATTAATAAAAAGTTGCATTTTTAAGTCTATTCTTCTTTCCCAAGTTGCTTTCATTATTCAGGTTGCACAGCTGCACTAAAAGTTAACCTTCATATACTTAAAACTCCTGACAGGGGAGGAAAAATATCTTCCCTTGTGATTAGTTAGTGAAATCTGCAAGTTAATTAGATAAGTGAGCAACGTTATTCTGCAAGATTTTTTTTATTTATTGTAGAGCATTTTTGTATCCGTAGAGTGCTATTTAAATGCACAATGTTCAAAAGTCTATCTTGTATTTGTCTGCAAGCTGCAAAAATGGTCATGGAGATGCAATAAAAGATGTAAAAACGTGATGGAATTACACTGACATCTGGTGGAAAGAGGAGCTTTTAAAGAAACATAAATTTATTTTTTAAGAAAAGAACATTTACAGAAATATCATGGTTTTATACACACAGGTGAGGGTAATAACCAAGTGAAAACAGGTGTTAAACAATTAGCGAGGAGAATTACAGGTGCTTCATAACGGAAAATGCTCAAAAAGTTATTACCTGCAGGGGCTTTGGAGGATTTAACAAAACAAGCATAACTTCTGCTTTCCTTGGAATCACTTTCTCTGCTTTCCTCCTCTTCACCGTAACATCTGCGTCTGCATCTATCCATTATTCACGCAGCGCTGGTCCTTCCTCAGAGGTCACGCTGCTCTGTAAAACTTTTAATCGGCAGCAGCTGCCAACCCTGATGGGCTGCAGACCAGGCGATGCCGGGCGGCGTGAGGCGCTCGGCTGGAGGTTCTGGTGGGAGCGCAGCGGCTGACCTGCCCATTAAAGCCTGTTTGATTTAAGAAGCCAAAAAAAAAAAAAAAAAACACCACGCAACTCTGATGCAAAAAAGATCAAACAGAGAGTTGAAGTTTTAGATTATTTGACTTTTTGATTATAAAGGTTTCTTCTCCTGTATCAGAATTTAATCCCCACTTTATTATGATTTTTATTGATTCTGCATATGACCCAAATTATAATTCAGTACATTAATTTCTATTTAAAATGTAAAAAAACATTTTAAGTCAATGCAGAACTTACTATCATTGGTGCTTCCCTATTAAACAGCAGATTTAGACATAAATTACACAATATTCTTCAGATACAAAGTTAGTAGTTGAGTTTGGCACAGTTTTATTATGATTATTTAATTCATTGACAGCAAAGCAGCATCATGACAGTCAAACTGCTAAAAGGCTCCTATTACACTTACTTGCAGTGAAACGATTGAGTCTCAGCTTTAACAGTGAAATACTTTGAATTTTCAGTCATAAACAAGCTATACCTCTGCTAATGTTCTTCCTGCATTATTAAAAAAAATACACATCAACATTAAGAGTGAATTATCTATATATCTAATTTCATTGTGGAAATAGAGACACATCGTGCTTTCCTGTATAAGTTGGCCTTTTTCAGTCTTCCTCTGCTTTGAAATATTTTTCTCCATCTACTTAAAAGTCTTCATCGACAATTAGCTTCCAGCGTCACTAATCTCTTCCCATCAGGGTTCGCCTTGCAGAGACTGGCTTCGCATGCGAACCTCAGTGAGGACAACGTTGCTGTCGGAGCGCTCCGATATGCCGCTGTCCACAAACACAGAGCCTGATGGGAGGCAAACGATGACAAACATTGATTTGGGATGTTGTTGTTGTTGCACAGACAGGAAGAGGAAATGCACTGCGACACATACTGTTGCTGTTGGTGAGGTTGCTGCCAAAGGAGGAGCTACGGTTGCTGTGTTGATTCGCTGATTTTGTAGCCATAGCCGCTGACATCTTGTTCTGTGTGGCAGTCTGGCTCCATTCTTTGAAAAAATACACAATTACATCAAAGTCAGGCTTTCTTGGTGTGTTTTTATAATGTAACTATAATTGGTAAATGAAGTAAAACATTATTCTCATCTTTCAGCCACAAATATAGTTAAATAAAGTGAAAAAGAACAACTAAACAAAATAGAATAGCTTAGCTTAGCTATAGCTTGTTCTGGGCAAATTGAGCAAACAGAAAACATCCAAAATAATAAAATACACATATTAAAAACCATTAAACTACCTTTGAACAACTCCTGCTGATTCTGCTGAATAAATTGTTACTCACAAAACGGCAGCGCCTACTAGTGGCAAAGCTGGGAACTACAACGCAGCTCACCTGAGTTCTCAGCCAGACGCATATTTCCGCAACACAGAAACGTCCTCCACATCCGGCGGACATTTTCCTTTATCGCACAGTGGAAAATGAAGACAAACAGACCTACAAGAAACATTTTTATCTGTTAGAAAGCAATTTAAAAAATAAATAAATAAGAAAATATTTTGTGCTTAATATTAAGAGAGAATTAGCTCTGATTAGCGCTCACCTAGCAGAGAGTTGCATACTGTGAACAGGTATAAAAAGGCGAGTCTGGCTTCTCCCCAGGCAAACAGAGCGAAGCCCCAGGTGAAGCCGAGCAGCAGGACAAGGCCGATGATGCTTCTGATGTCGGTCATGGCGCTCCGGTTGGGAGACTGGTTGTGAGGGTTCTGTTTCTTGATCCGGGACAGCTGGACCATAACGACGATGAAGACCACCAGACACAAGACAAAAATGAGGAGGAAGTAGGCGACCACGCCCACATAAAAGGCGACGTCGTTACGCAGCCAGCAGCTGCAGAAACACACAAAAACAAGCTTAGCGTGGGTCAATGACGGTATGCTAGCAAAGAAGCTAGTCAAACATAACATAACTGTGATGCATTATGAAAAAGATTTACACATTATTCTTTGTTTTCACATAGATAACAGCAAAGACACCTTTACACAAATGTTTGTTTGCGCTAGCTAACTTCTAGCTGTAGTTAGCTACTAGCTGTAGCTAACTAGTAGCTTGCTACTTTTAGTAGCAAAGAAGTCTTGCTGAAGATAGTTGAAACTGTTTCAATTCTTATCATCATGCAAACTACTTGTAGCTCTACAGCACAACTAGCTGCTAAAGTAAGCTGTAAAATGGCTAAACATTTTTTTATTGACATCAAATTTCAACTTGTAGCTTTTGTTTTATACTTTTTAGCATACCTAAATGAAGCTAAATAAAAGTAACTTCCAGAAGTTACAGTTTTCATACTGGTGGGCTTGTTTATGTTTCATGTTTTGATCAAATAATAGCTGCTTGAAATCAAAATAAATGTGCATATTAAGAATGAATTAAAATGAATACCAAATCCTGTTCTTGTTTACAAATGCCTAGCATTAGCATTAGCATAACAGCTAGCTGGTACAATAGGTTAGAAAAGTAGGAAGGCTCCAGTTTAAAACATTCCAGCTAAGAAATTATGTTTAGTTTTGCGCAGTAACAATTTGAAGCTTTTTGTTCATCTGTGTTGTTTAGGATAAGGAACATTATCAACTGTAATTAAACCTAGCAGCAAAAACTTAGAGTGTTTGTAGAACCATAAGACTTAATCCTTTATTTTGAATTTGCTCACAGTACCAATATGTGAACATAAATCTCCCCAAGAAAATGCAGTTGCAATTTGATGGATATTTTTGCATGTTAGATGACTGAGTGTTAGAAAAATAATAAAAATCGTACAACTTGTCAAACGTCCCATCTTCGTATTTTCCATTTGGAACCAGACCGTAGTTGTTTTTGTCCACTGCTACAATAATGACCACCACAATGAGAGGAATACCTGGTAGCCACAGTAATTAGGCAAAAGTCAGTACAACTAATAAAAAACACATTTAACTTTTGGAGTCTAATTTAAACATCTCTTACCCCAACCCATTAGGGAGAACTTCAGCATGTATTTACTCAGGTAGGGCGTGAACACGCGCACGATGCTCAGGTACATGTGCAGAGCTTCAAGCCCCGCCCACGTGAACGAGGACAGCAGGAAGTAGTGCAGGAAAAAGGCAGTGCTGATGCACAGGTTGACGTTTTCGTAGATGGACAGCCAGCCGTCCAGCAGGAAAACCAGGTTGAGGAGCAGGAGGGACAAGCAGAGCTGGACCAGAATCTTGGCTGGAATGTCGCGGAGGAGTTTTCTGCAAAGACAGATTCATCATTGCAGTGCAGATGAATCAGCGTAGAACAGTGCTTACAAAGCTAAAAAGCTAAAACTAGCTAAAATACTAATGACTGCATCTAGGCTAGCACTTGCATGTTGACCTACGGTAACATAAAATCAACATTAGTGACATTTTTACTGATGCCAGGCTGTTCAAAAGAGATACAATTACAATTTTAAAATGGAAATTGCAAGTTTATGTTTTGTTTTTAATCTGGCAAACTTGAAAAAAGCTACTTTGCGTTTTTCACTGAAACACTGCATGCTTATTTTGTTTATTTAGTATGTAAAAAAAACATTTTTTGTGATTATAAGTAGAACATGGCATTTTTTAAACCAGATTTTGTGTTTTTGCAGTGTCATGTTCTTACTCAAATAACACATATGTTATCAGGGTGACGGCTAGAAAAACCGCAGATATTCCACATCCAATGTAGGTGATGAAAGTCAAAATCATTGCCTGCTGAGGGTCACGCATTCCCTCTCTGGATAAATCCTGTTTAAAGTGCATACAGACACAAAATAATCAGACATAATTAGGTCACACCTTTGTATTCTTTTGTAAAAGGAGAAACATTTAGAAATACCAGCAGTATCGCAAAGGAGGTGAGATGGTTGCAGCTGCAGGTTGTGTATTCAGGAGTGGCGTTGACGACGAAGCAGCCGGTATCATCCCAGCCCCCCGACCCGTCTGCAACAACAAAAAATGTTGAGTCAATGTCAGAGTTTTCTAAAGCTGCTAATCGACCTGAATGTTTGCCCTCACTTTTCTTTGTGAAATTCCAGAAGACACACGATGAGACGTTATTCTGCCAACCAAGAAACAGAAAGAAAGTGGGATTTTAAAACAGGAAGAAGACAGATTTTAGCTTTATTGTGAGCTTACGTTGATGTTACTTCTGGTCTTACTTATAAATTCTGTTTTGAAGGCTTCAACTGTGTGTTTTTTGCATTAATACTCACTTGAGTTAAATTGCTGTGAGTGATGGTAAACATGATGTTCTCCTTCAGGTTGCTGATGGACACATCAGCCACACTGGACCCGAGAACTGGGCTGACAGCCGTTTGGTTGTTTAAACCAGAATCCTGCAAAATTAAATCAGTTTTTTCATCAACATCTCTCAAAGTTGAATATATGAGCAGGTTTTTACATCCTGAACTGAGTAAAAACATATTTTCTTTAATGATTAACTGCAGTGTTTGCAAACAAATGGAATTAATTTGGAGCAGTTTCTGCAACTGTCAATGTCGTTTTCATAGAGTTTAGGCAACTTACGTAAAATTAAAATCTGTGAATACTTGAGATCCTCTAAAAATGCCTATAAGTTCCTGCTTTAATATCTCAAAGATGCTGGACTTATTTTAGAAATGTGCAAAGCTGCTGCATAGATAAATGACACAACTGTGCAGATCTTTGTGTTGGTCTATTCCACAAAACCTCCAATAAAATACTTTGAAATCTGGTTTTATGATGACAAAATGTGAACAAGTTTAAAATCAGTGAGCTTATCAGCAGAAATGTACCTTAAAGAGGGAATTATTTTTGTAGAAAGTGAACTGGACTCTGCTGGCCTGCTGCTTCTCTTCATGACTGAGACCTGATGTTATGGAGGAGGGCAACTCCACTGAGGCCAGAGCAGAAGCTGACCTTTTGACCTGGGACCTGCTGACATGTCGGAGCTGGAGAAAAAAGGCAAAAGCAAAATACAGAACCGACTTGATGCATATTACATCGTTCCTAACTGGTTCAAATCACAGACTTTTGACATGAGGTCAGTGTTAGGTGAAGATTAAAACCAGAATAACCAAAGTTTCTTAACTTCACAATAACAGTAATAAAAAGATTGTCTCCTTCTCCTCTGGTTGTAAATGGGAATACTGGTTCTGGTCAACGGCTCACAAACTAACATAAATGTCCAGCATTTTTAAATTAGCAACTAGAAACACTTAAAGCTTTACCATTAGTACAATTTAAATAGTAAATTGTTTTTGGACGGACTTCATGTTTTTTGTACCGGAGTTTGTAAATAAGTTCTGCAGTGTCTGTTAACCAACCATTTAATTTACTATTTTAAGCACTTCTGTCTCAAACTCAGATCTGTTTGTCAAATACTTCTGGTGAAAGTGTCTATCTGTGTCCTGCAAAGAAAATCAGGTCCTTAATCAACCTCCAGATGACAGATATTATCTATTAGGCTAATAAAAACACATGAAACCACGAGAAGACGATAAACAATACTGAAAAACTTCTACTGTCCAAAAATACAAAATCTTACCCAGTATTTTTGGTTTAGTTTCTACTGCAAATACTTCAGTACATTTCAAATAAGACAAAGTAATTTAAAAGCAACATTTTAGCAATAAATAAAGGCTTGTTTTAAGTAAATAGTTTCTCAATATTCATGAAAATGTCCTGGCAACTCTGGCACATTATTATAAGCCTATAATAAGAGAATATTTATATTTTATAAGTTAGTTTATCTGCCAATGAAACAAGTACTTTTTCATCAATATTAAGGGACTATTTACTTAAAAAAAAAAAAACTCAATTTCTTGCCAAAATGTTACTTGTAAGTTAGTTTGTCTTATTTCAAGTGTGCTAAAATATTTGCACTAGAAACTAGATCAGAATACTTTGTAACATTTTGTAGACATTTAAAATAAACAAGTATTTATGGATTACCTGTACACCATTAGTGTCTGAAAACTCAACAGAGATTTCAGGAAAGTTGGTCCAGTCCACTGTCTTTACTGCCAGAACCAGCGAGGCTGAGGACAAGACGGCGATTTCATCTGCGACTTCCAGCTTAAGAGTCAAATTATCGATCATATGAATCAGTCTGTCATCAACAAAAAAAAAAAAAAACATTATAAAGATAATTATGGCTCCAGTCGTGATGTTGGTGGCGTATATCAATCAAACCTATTTGTTGATCCAGACAGAACCTCTGGGTCACAATTTATGAGGTTGCTTATGACATGAAGGACAGTTTGTCCCACTGATTGAGACACAGTTGGGCCGACCAGAATTTCATCCAGGTCATCCACCAATTCAGACACCTGAAAGATGCGTAAATAAAGCTAAACTCTCATATTTTACGAGAACAACAGATCTTCATTCAGCAGTTTCTTCACCTGAGAAGAGTTTAGCTTTGACACATCTGTTTTCTTCAACAACTCATTTGCCTGTTCCTCATTACTTTTTGCACTTGTATTGGAAATCACAGTGGTTGTCAAAGTAGTTCCCAGCCCTCAAAAAACAAAACAAAGATCAACCCAAAAAGTCAGAAACCTATGAAACTCTGACTAAAAATTAGGAGATGCAATCTTTACTCACTGGCCACTGTGGTTGTTGTCATTCTGGTGGTTGGGAGAGTTGTTTTCTTAGCTGTAGTTGAGCTTGTACTTGTTGGCGCGGTCGTCGTTGTAGATGCAGTGGCAGCAATGACGGGAGTCGCTGAGTTGTAACTTAATGGTTTATTCTCTTGAATAGTGCTGACAACAGCGGTGGAGCTGCTGTCATTTTTGTGTACAGTTGTCAAGTGAGTCACACTGACTGTGGTCTGGTTTTCAGTCCGGTTGATAAAAGAAGCTTCTGTTGGTTTTGTGTTGTCAGGAACTGAAGTCCTACTTTCTGTAGTTAAGTGTGGATGTGTAGTAACTTTTGCCGTAGCTGCTACAACTGTTGTGCTTTTGGCAGAGGTTGTGTTTTGTTGTGGTTCTACAACTGGTGCAATAGTCATGTTGTAGAAAGTTGTTGCCTTATGAGGAGGTTCTGTTGCTGTTGTGTAATTGATGGAAGACTTAGTTGTGGTGTACAAAATTGTGGAATCATCATGTTTAGTTGTGTTGTGTACTGCTGCACCTTTGCCAGTTGTGTTATTATCGGGTGATGCAGTTGTGAAACCATGACTTTGCGTAGTAATGTACATATTTGTAAAATTGCTGGCAATGGTTGCTTTGTTCGGATTTGTTGTGTAATTGGTTGTTGACATGTTTGGTTTGTGTAGGGTTGTGAAATTGGTGCTAGGTTGAGTATCTTTGTAGGCTGTTGTGTGATTGTTTCTGGTTGTAACTTGGTGCTCTGGTACATAGGTGCTGCTGGGTGTTGCAGCACTGCTTTCTGGTAAGTAACTCCTGCTGGATGTTTGGCCTGTTGTATGAATGTTGCTAGTTGTTGTATTGTGTTCCATTGAGTAACTGGCTGCTGTAGCAATATAGAGTGCTGAGTTATTGTTGCTTGGTGTTGTGGGGTTGGAGGATGTTGTGTTATTGTTGCTTGTTGTAGGATGGAAGGGTGTTGTGTTATTGTTGCTTGTTGTGGGGCTGAAGGGTGATGTGTTGTTGTTGCTTGTTGTTGTAGGATTGAAGGGTGTTGTATTATTGCTGCTTGTTGTTGGATTGAAGGGTGTTGTGTTGTTGTTTGTTGTTGTGGGGCTGAAGGGTGTTGTATTATTGCTGCTTGTTGTTGCTGGATTTAAGGGTGTTGTGTTGTTGCTTGTTGTTGTGGGGCTGAAGGGTGTTGTATCATTGCTGCTTGTTGTTGTTGGATTGAAGGGTGTTGTGTTGTTTGTTGTTGTGGGGCTGAAGGGTGTTGTATTATTGCTGCTTGTTGTTGTTGGATTGAAGGGTGTTGTATCATTGCTGCTTGTTGTTGTTGGATTGAAGGGTGTTGTGTTGTTGCTTGTTGTTGTGGGGCTGAAGGGTGTTGTATTATTGCTGCTTGTTGTTGTTGGATTGAAGGGTGTATTATTGCTGCTTGTTGTTGTTGGATTGAAGGGTGTTGTGTTGTTGTTTGTTGTTGTGGGGCTGAAGGGTGTTGTATTATTGCTGCTTGTTGTTGGATTGAAGGGTGTTGTATCATTGCTGCTTGTTGTTGTTGGATTGAAGGGTGTTGTATCATTGCTGCTTGTTGTTGTGGGGTTGAAGGGTGTTGTGTTGTTGCTTGTTGTAGGACGGAAGGGTGTTGTGTTATTGTTGCTTGTTGTAGGATTGTAGGACACAATGTTATTGTTGCTTGCTATTGTAGGATTGAAGGGTGTTGTGTGATTGTTGCTTGTTGTTAGATTAGAGGGTGTTGTGTGATTGTTGCTTGTTGTTGTGGGGTTGAAGGGTGCTATGTTATTGTTTGTTGTTGTAGGATGGAAGGGTGCTGTGTTGTTGTTGCTTGTTGTAGGATTGGAGGGTGTTGTGTTATTGTTGCTTGTAGGATTGTAGGACACAATGTTATTGTTGCTTGCTATTGTAGGACTGAATGGTGTTGTGTGATTGTTGCTTGTTGTTGTGGGGTTGAAGGGTGTTGTGTTATTGTTGCTTGTTGTAGGGTGGAAGGGTGTTGTGTTGTTGTTGCTTGTTGTAGGATTGAAGGGTGTTGTGTTGTTGTTGCTTGTTGTAGGATTGGAGGGTGTTGTGTTATTGTTGCTTGTTGTATGATTGAAGGGTATTGTGTTGTTGTTGCTTGTTGTGGGGTTGAAGGGTGTTGTGTTATTGTTGCCTGTTGTTGTATGATTGTTGCTTGGCATTGTAGGATTGGAGGGTGTTGTGTTATGGTTGTCTGTTGTAGGATTGGAGGGTGTTGTGTTATGGTTGTCTGTTGTAGGATTGGGGTGTGTTGTGTGATTGTTGCTTGGTGTTGTGCCATTGTAGAGCATAATGTTATTGTTGCTGGCTGTTGTAGTGCCGGTTGGTGTTTGGTGATTGTGTCTGGTTGTTGTTACATTGTTGACTGTTGCTAGATTGTTTGTGATTGTTGTAGCATTATAGAATGTGTTACTGTTGTTTGGTGTTTTGGGAATGTTGCTGGGTGTTGTGGCATTGTAAACAATTGTTTGATTGTCTGTGAGTGTTGTAGTTTTGTAGAATGTCATATGGTTGTTGCTGGATGTTGTAGCGTTATAAAGTTCTGTGTTACTGTTGCTGGGTGTTAAGAGGTTGGTGCTGGGTGTTGTAGGATTGTATAAAGTTGTTTGTTTGTCAGTGAGTGTTGTAGCATTGTAGAGTGCTGTGTTATTGTTGCTGGGTGTTGTAGGATTATCGATTGTTGTGTAATTGTTGGGTTTTATAGTGGCATAGAGTATTGTGGACTTATCTACAGTTTGATTGTCAGTGAGTGTTGTGTAATGGTTGGTTGGTGTTGTAGCATTCTGCATTGTTGTCTGATTGTTGTGTTTTGTGGCAGTGAACTCTGCTGTGTCGCTGTTGCCTGGTGTTGTTGCATTAGAGTGTGTTGTGTGGTTGATGTTTTCAGTTGTGTGACTGTTGCTGGATGTTATAGTGCTGTTGTCTATAGATGTAGGATTTTGGGTTGTTGTCTGAATGTTGTAAGGGTTTGTGGGCTTGAGCTCTGTTGTGTAGATGTTGCTGAGTGTGGTTGCATTATAAAGTGTTTGGTTGTTGTTGGTTGTTGTGTGACTCTTGCTGGATGCTAAAATATTGTAGAGCGTTGTGTGATTGTTGCTTGGTGTTACAGTGTTATAGATGGCTGTGCTGTCATTTAGTGTTGTAGGAGTGTAGAATGTTGTGTGATTTTTGCTGGGTTTTATAGTGTTATCATTGACTGTGCTATTGGTCCTTGGTGTTGTTGGATTGTAGGTTGCTGTGTAATTGTTACTGAGTGTTGTAGCATTGTGGGTTGTCTGAATGTTGTTGTGGTTTGTGGCATTGGACTCTATTGTGGTGCTGTTCCTGTGTGCTGTTGCATTATACCCTATTGTGTGGCTGTTGCTGGGTTGGGTAATATTGTTGACTGTTGTATCATTCTCCCTGGATGTTACAGCATTCTGGATTGTTGTTTTGATACTGTTGTTGTGGTTCGTGGTACTGTAGGCTGCTGTGTTTTCATTGCTAGGTGTTGGAGGATTGTAGGTTGTGTGATTGTTACTTGGTGTTGTACCATAGACTGTTGTGTACTGCTTGCCAGGTGCTGTAGTATTGTACACATTTGTGTGATTCTCAGGATGTGTTGCAGCTTTGTCGACTACTGTGTAATTGTTGCTTGGTATTGTAGTAATAGGGATAGCTGTGTTTTCGTAAGTGACTGTTGCATTGTAAGCAGTTGTATGTCTGTTGTTGGTTGGTGTTTTTACATTGTTTGATGTTGTGTATTTGTTGCTGGGTGTTGTATTACTGTGAGTTAGAGTGCTATTGTTGCTAGGAGTTGCTACATAATCTCCCGTCCTGTCGGGCGTTGTAGCATTGTAGGCAGTTGTTTGATCATAGGTGCTGGGTGTTATATGTGACTTTGTGTAATTTGAAACAGCAGCTGTTAAAAGATTGTTTGTGTTTGTTGTTACATTCTCCAGTTTTACTGGAGTATGGGTTGGAGATGTTACATTTTGTATGTTTGTAAAAGACGGAGGACTGGTATTACTTGTTGTATTTTCTACGATGTTGCTTTTGGTACTTTTATTGTTTGCTGTAATTTCATTATTGTTTGTTGCTCCACTGTTAGTAAAGACATTTGGTGTAGGTACATTGGACAATGCAAAGGGACTGGTGGAGGGTGTAACAGTAAATGTGTTGTGAGTTTTTGTTTCACTGGATGGTAGGACACCAGTTGAAGGTGCAGAACTGGCGGGCGGTTCAGTTGTAGTTTTAGTGGATGTTGTTGTACCATAAGTTTTTGTGTCATTGGAAGTGAGGACAGTGATCGAAGGTACAGTTGTGTAACTGGGGGTCGGCTCATTTGTAGTTTTGATGGATGTAAGGAGGCTTGCTGTAGTTGCTGTTGTCTGATTGTAAATTGGTCCAGTTGCAGCTACATTGTCGATTTTTGTCTCACTCAAACTAGCAGTAGTAAACACCGTTTGATTGGTTGTTATTATGGGGTCGACTGTGGCATTCTTAGGAGATTCTGCACTTGACATTAAGCTGTGCAATGTTGAGTTGATTGGTGGAGTGAAACTTGTGTTTGGAGACCATGTCAGCTGTTTTTGCTCAGCGTTTGCTATTGTGTGGGTCACAGAAGTTGGTGAAGTCAGGCTGTTAGACTGAGTGGTGGTCTGAGTTGTGCTTGTTGTTTGAGGATCTGGAGGGCAGCTGTCCGCCAGGAGAACAGCAAGTGTCTCATTAGATTCACTACAGACAGAAGAAAAACAGAAGAGACTGTTTAGTGACTTCAGATAACTTGTTATTCTATCTGCTAGCTTTGCTAATTTAAGATAATTGCAAAACAAGATAGAAAGTGCTAATTGGGGTTGCATCAATTTATTGGCACCAATTTCCTTAATCCTCTTCTGTACTTTTTCAGTCAACAATGGTCACCCCACCCTTACCAACTCAGCAATGTTCTTGTTGTATTTAGCATCACTTTGTAATTGGAATTTTAAAGATCAGTAATTGAAGATCGCCCAGAAAACCGCAATTGGTGCACGCCTACTTTTAATGGTACGTATGAAAATGGCAATGTTAAGCAGCATGTAGGGCTGTAACAAAATCTAGCAAATATTAACATGTATTACTCGTTAGCTGGATGTATTATTACATTCTGTGCTGCACCTCTACGAGACTATAAGTAGAGGTCCAGTAACAGTAAATTTAACCTGTTTCTGGTGCTTTTTAATGGTAAAATTAATGTTTCTTCTCTCCAAGTTATCTCAGAGAGGGGAAACTCATTGCTCTTTTACTCCCAAACTTTGTCCAGAATTGGTTCAAAATGAGAAAACAAACCATTTTTATAGTTTTTATCTGAAGTTTTGTGTAAATACAAACCATTTTATTAGAGTGGAGCCAGGCTGACAAACATCCAAGGGGAACAAATCAGCTTTACTCCAGGTCAGGTTGGACGCCAACAGGGCGCGACCAGACAAATCTGGAGGGCCGCCACACACCACTGAAGCAACAGAGTTTCATCAGTAGGTATGTAAACACATTTTTATACATTATCATTATTGTTGTTTTTAGATGCATGTGAAAACAATACAGGCACTAACTCATTCGAGAAAGTGAGCCGTCGGTCGTTATGAACTCTTCCTTTTCAATAAGGAGTTGCACAAGTTTACTGAGGGAGCAGCTGTTGACGGGTCCGGACATTTCCAGCACCACCATGCAGCTGTAGAACCTGGAAAAACCGGGAAGAGACGTTCATAATCTCTAATTCATGCTTCCACAGCAGGTATTCAATGTGTCCTGTATTTAAAATCTCTACAGTTTTTGATCTCACTTTAATGTTTAAAATCTTTGAACATGTTTTATATGACATATTCACTTGAATTATTTTATTTATACCAGGAAAAAACCTATTTAAACCCATCTGTACTTTTGTGAAAAAGACATTTTCTCCTGGGGGAATCATAACTTACAACTTGCAACATAAAAACAACTTATTTGACAACAAGAAGTAGGCTAAAAAGTTTTTTTAAAAAGCGACATATTGTGAACTGCAAAGTCAATAAATTAAAATATTTTTCAGATATAAATAACCTTTTAAAAACAACCTTCAAGAATACATCACACATACTTTTCATTAAGCCACACAATTCTGTATGCAAATATTTTTATTATTTCTGATATTTGAATTTAAAATGTCGTATTTTCTTTAGCTATAAGAAGAAAATACCGTAAATAACAGTTTAAAACATCTTTCTGAGTGTAAATAATCTGGATAATGTTTCACTTGAATTCAGTAATATTCAGTTTTTAAATATGACTGAATTTTTACCTCTGATTCATTTCCCCGTAACATTCCAGATGAGTGCCCTGGAAAAAAAAAAAAACATATATTATAATATTTTTACCTTATAAACAAGTAATTTAAGGTCACTTGCAGTAAAATTTACCGTGTGTTTTGTTATGATGTCTGAACAGTTGACCCCCCTGAAAACAAACAGTGGTTTGTGTGTATAGTTGTTAACCACTTTTCATATGTAGTGTTATAATGTGTAATGTAGGTAATAATGAATGTTCTGGTCAAACAGACAAAACAATCAATAATTATAAAAACTTAATTTAAAGCAGATAGAGTCACTTACTGTAAGTTTTGGATGCACACTGGGAGGATTTTAGATTTTAATAACTATAAAAGAGTAGAAAGTCAGTTTCAGAAGATATTTAATGCAACAAATTATGAACTATAATAACTTTACATACCAAGCGTTTGAGGAGGATAACTGTCATATTACTGGTAATATTGATTTTTATAGCATAAAGCTGGCCTGAAAACAGAAAAAGGGATGAATTATAAGAGATGCATATCTGCAGCAAAATGCCTGGTTCATATTTTCTCATCTTATTATCATAAATAATCATAAATAACACTACATATTGAGGCCTTTGTGGATGGGGGAAAATTAGTACAATTTCATCAAAAAACTGAGAAATTTTCTAGGAAAACCTTGGAAATTTCTGAGTTTCACAAGTGGAAAATGCTGAAAAAAAAACACAGAAATTTTGAGGTTTATGTCAAAAAATTTCCAGGGAAAAATAAAAAATTATAAGTATGAAAAGTCAATTTGTCTCAGAAATTTTCTAGAAAAAAATTTGAAATTTCTAAGTTTGAAAAGTCAAAAAAAAAAAAAAAGCTTGGAAATGTTGAGATTGGTGTCACAAATTTTCTGGAAAACATTGAAATTTCTAAGTTTGAAAATTCAAATATTTCCTCAGACCAATTAGCAATAAGATGGAGCAACTGGTTGGGATCTTAAGAACCCAAATAATGAACTGCTACCATCAGAACTGTTGCTATATTGTTTCATACTTTATCCTGAATAACCTGGGAGAATCTGAGAATGTAGTGACTGAACTATGGAGCATTTATAACTGAGAGTTTGATTCCTTGGTAAACCAAAAGTAAAAACCACAGGAATAAACACAAAATGTTGCCCAATCTTGATTTTAACTTCTCTAAAGAAACGAATCCCAGATTAAAGATATTTCTCTGGTCTTACTTTCAGTTTCACAGAAAGCAGAGCAGTTGCAGAAGCGAGGCGCCGTCCCTGAAAAGCAGACAAGCCTTGATGAAAAACATCAGAGGAAACAGTCGACTTGTTCTGGCAACACGGCAGAATAAATGACACACACCGCTGCAGGAGTTTGGCGTTTGTTGTGGAGCCGCCACCGAGTTTGTCTCTAAGACAGAACTGGAGGAGAAACGTGTGAAACACAGAGCGTGGATTAATGAAACAGAGTGAAACTGGAGATACTGCTCACCATGTGACATTAGTGGTCCTGTTCAACCGGCAGATTTCATCTAAAGAAAACGTGGATGTGCAGCGCACAAAGTCCCCACTAGAGGGCAGCCCGTCCTCACAGAGCGTTCTTCCTGATGTGGAAGAAAAACAGAAAAATCTTTCATTTTTCTATTATCTTAATAAACTTTCTCACAGATTTGGACCAGACTGAACTTAATCTTACTCACATTTACTACTGAATAAGTTGGATGCTTGTGTGTGAATTTATAGTTTGGTTTTACATAAAGGTGGATGTGCTTCCATGTGCAACATTTGGGTCATTTGCATGCATACACAATGTGGCACGGTTTGCAGAACAGAAGCTACATGTTGATTTGGAGAAGTGCGTGCCAACACTGCATTTCAATAATTTTTTTAACATAATTTAGAAACTTCCAGAACTGTTCTCTGTTGCATTCAAGCTAAAGAATTTACAGTGAAATCTTGCTGCTCCAATATATTCTGCATAAACAATTTTATGACTCAAATGGTCCTTACCAAGTATATTTGTTTTAGTCTCTAGTGCAAATATCTTAGTGCAATTGAAATAAGAGAAAACTACCTTAAAAATAACTTTACAGCAAAATATAGAGGCTAGTTTCACTTAAAACAAGCTAATTTTTCTTCTTTCAGCTTCTGTGCACCACAAATCTGGAACAACCTTCCCAAAAACTGCAGAGCTGCTGAAACACTGAGTTCCTTTAAATCAAAGTTAAAAACAAACCTGTTTAGCTGCTTTTGAACCATAATAAACATAAATCAATACATTTGATGTGTTTTGATTATTTGGATGTGACGTTTGATGGCTGCCTGATGTTTTTATGTTCGTTTTTAATTATATAAATCATTTTGAACTGCCTTCTTGATGAAAAGTCCTGCAGAAATAAATGTAACTGATTTATTTTCCACTCGTGTTCCTGTAACACGTTTGATTCAAAGATTTAAAATCTGCGACAGGCTCACCGACTCTCTCCACATTCCCTGTGATGTTTGCCCGCAGCGATCCTCTGCCGCGCTGCAGCGCGGCGTTCCCAGCATGCTGCAGGTCGCATGCTGACATGGCATGGCTGAGGAACAGCAGCACGTTGCACACCCTCTGGCTGCAAAACAAAACGCATCCAAACCATTACGGGGAAATACTTACCGGCATATTTTCAGACACCTAACCGGACTTATCGTTACCTTTCAGTGGCAGCAGTTTTTGCTCTGCATGTCACTTCCACAACCTGTAATGACGCCATTTTGTCTGGTTTACAGGAGTGAAAAAAACATGTGCTGCCATGTTTGTGGAGAAATCTGACCTGAAGTTGTCCGTTAGCTTGACAGAAGTTGCTGAATCCTGCCTCATTGCTGGTGCTGCTACAGTCAAACGCTTTTGACACCTGAGTGAAAGACGGAGAGAGAGAAGAAGATAAATGGAGACAGTGCAGCTGAAACAGTAAACCAGAATATTTTATGGTAGTTGTGTAATTAAATTGTGTTTCTTTGGTCATTTATTGTTGCATTTCTGCAGCTAAAGGCAAAACATCTGCAAAACCACCAAAGGCCGGCCTGCTGAACTGTCTGGGACGCTGCATGTTCCTCATTCCTGAACGCTGTGGTCCAAGAGAGAGGAAATGTTTTTATTGAGAACATTTTTCTTCTTTATTGAATCATAAAGCTGAATAAAGACAAACAATCTGAACCCTGCAGTGTTTGGTTTTGCTTCAAACCGTTGCATCCCATCACATCTTGTTACATTTTTTCCCTAAATTTGACATTCAGTGATTCTGTCCTGCAAACTTTGTCTGAAACCTGCTGTGACCAGCGGATTTAGGGAACTATGACCCATTTCAAATCCTTCTGAAACAAAAATTAACTTTAAATTTAAACGTGTCTTGATAGAACCACTCAGATTTCCTAATAAATTATAAATTGAGTATCATACACAAATCAAACAAGAGATTTTTTTAAAACTGTGTTGGAAATACAAAAAAGGTAGATAAAACAGTTGATAGGAAATCTTGTTCTCTAACATAACATATAATGAAAAGCATTTATTATTTATTCTCAGACACTACTTTGAGTTGGTTTATATCACCTACAATCGCAGAAGTTCAAATATATTTGACAAAAAGCTTCACGGGTGTGAATGCTTTTATAAGACCAGGAGTTCTGTCACATCAGCAAATTAAGGTTGTACAACGTTATAGCAACAGGAAGCTTGGTATATTTTTCCTCCCACTAAGTAAATGTACTGAAATAAAACGTAAATCAATTTTATTTGTATTTTTTTCAGTTTTTTCAAACAGAAAAGGAGGAGCAGGGTAGTGCATGTCAGCAGATGCTGTCTAAGCTCATAACAAAGCAGGAATGTGGTGCTGATTTGGTTCTGGTTTGTGAGAATTTATACTAATTAAATGTGAGATTCAGCGCTTCAGAAGCCCATCAGCACATGGATGATGTTTCTCTTCTCACCAGATTACGGAGGTCTTGTTCTGTTTCATTGCTTTGTTCAGCTTTCACACTCATGGGTATCCAGTAGTAAGCACCTAAAGGACGAAAAACACATGAAGCTATAAAAATGTTCATCTAAAAGGAACAGATTGGACAAAAGTGAGTGATTCTTACTTTTGTTGGAACATAATTGACTGATGTCACAGGTGACTTGAGTTCCTGAAAGACAATAAATGAAAACATTTTGTTCTTTATATGAAAAACGCACTTGAATATTCTTTGAATGTAAACCAACCTGATGTGAATAATCCTGCAGCTGTGTTTCGTTTTGCAGGCAGAGCTGTGATTGGATGAACGCTGGTGCTTAGTGCAACCTGATTGGCTGAACTTTTGTCAGGTGTTGTCATTGTCACCGCTGTTGGAGACGTAATGTCTGAGGAACTGGTCTCTGAAATCAAATAAGTCATTAGTCAAACTCTGTAACAATGTCCTATAAGCAGACAAGTGGCGTATTTGGTGCCCAGGGCCCACATGCCCCACCATGACCTAAAATAAAGAAAATGAAGTAGAAATTTATTGTAGAGCCAAATCTTGAAAGGGATTTTTACAATATTGCATTGGGGTAATTGTAGATAATAAAAAAATAAATAAAAAACATTTGAAATTCATAAGTTTTTTGTAGAAAATTTCTGAAATGTAAAAGTTAACCTTTTTTTCTCATAAATTCTGCGGTTATGCTAACACTGTTTCCTTTTTTATTTTCTCAATTTATCATTGTCTGATATTAAAAACTGTTCAAATATTTAAGAAATCTGTAGGTGAAGAAAAACTTTTTTATGACTGCTTCCTGTTCTCACTTGCTGTAGCAGCTATGCTACAGGAAGTAAAGAACGACAAGTATATATTTGGTTTTATCTGTTATTTTAATTTCTGTGCTCTTCTTTCAGAATAGTTCAGCAGACATGTTTGTTCCCTACAAAAAAAAACATTCTTTGTGGCTTCTGGAAATTTTCTGCGGCGCAACATTCTTCTGCTACCACTTCCTGTGCCGAATAGTGAAAACTGTTGCCATTCAGTGGTCAAAGTGGGTCTTTGCTGAAAAACAATGATCATCTCTGCTGTAAATCACACAAGAAATGTTCCTTTCTGAAGACGACAAAGTAAAAAATAACAAATTGGTTTGTTATCCTCAGGCAGTGAATCCTATATTGGTCATTGATAGGAAAGAAGACGTTGTTCCGGTCAGGTACTTTCCCAAAGATTTTCTCACGTGAATAATCCGATACCAGAACCACGCCTCATATCTTTTACATCATATTTGCAATAGCTGTAGGTTCTGCAGAATGTAATGCTAGCTGGGAGAGAGCCAATCACTTCACTCTACTTTGTATTGGCCCCACATAACATATGAATAAAATGCATCAGTTTGGTGTGTAAGTACATTATTTTGTTGCTAACAATAAAATTTTGGCCTCCTAAATGAATTTTCTTGATTTAAGGCGTCATTAGGATGATGTGCAGACATTATAAAAGTTACCACAAATGTAACTTGTATAAAAAAGAGAAAAAATATATAAATTTGTTAGAACTGTCACCATAAAGAGACAAATAATTTGTTTAAAAAAAAACAAGATCTCATCCAACTCCTCCCTGAGCTGAAGAAATGCACAAAAACAACCAATCAGAGCCAAGAGGGTCTTAGCGCTGCCAATCAATGTGTGAACACGCTGTTAAATGTGCTGATGGCAGAGAAATAACTCATTTACAGAAAAACGGTTCATCCAATGTTGTCGGTGGACATGCTAGGTAGTATTAGCATTTACGAGAGGCTCTGCTGACAGGAAGAAGCTGTATACACGGTGATGATTGTCAGCACTAAGATCCGCCTCCTGGCTCTTATTGGTTGTTTCTAGTATTCACTGATAAAAGATGGATACTTTCAACAAACATGTAAATAATGTTTTTTTCATAAATTAACATTTTTTTATACTGTCAGTATATCTTGACAATATAAACATGCAAAAAAAGTTACAGGAGAGAATGGACTTCCTTTTCTGAATGAACAAGCTCTAGTTCACAAACTTTATAAACAACTGATTGTATTAATGGATGTAAGCTACTCAATAAAACTAAACAGCTTGATAATCGAGTGCAGTAATGTGTAAAGGTGAGTCTTACCTGCAGGAAACACTCGACTGCTTTCAGCTCCAATGACTGAAACACAAGATATCGTCATTATGTCTCCTGCTTTGCACTTAAAGACTGTTATTCACGTCTATTATTTAATATTTCCCTCTTACGTCATAAAGTCATTTCTTTAAATAAATGTAAAGTTAAATGTGCATGCTTAACTTTACATTGATGCAGGGATAAACAAAATGTTGTTACTCTAATTTATTCACAAATTCACACCTTTTTGCAAGAGTAATTTACCTTCATTAGATTTTTTACATTTTGTGACATTAGAAGCACAAACTTCAACTGGTTTCACTGGGATTTGACCAGAAACTAGCTCATAATAGGAAGAAACAAGGTGAAAAATCCCTGCTTTCAAATCTTAAAAGTGTAAATATGAATGAATGCCACACTTTTAAAATTACATCTAATGTTTTTCACTTTAATTAGAGAACTAGTGTGCTAACACATCAACTACTAATGTAAACTTTACATTCAATCAATATGGAACTGAGGCCAGAAAAAACAACAACATCCTTTTACTTCCACCTCCTAATTATTGTAATAATGCACTTGTTTGTTAGTTTATCACAAACAATGTCATATACACTGAAGTTTGTGGTTGTAACGTTGACAAAATGTGAAAAAATTCAAGCGGCATCATTACAAAACATTTACAAAAAAAGTCACCTGAGGTCACACCACTAGCTTTGGTAAAGCCTGCTTCTCGTCTCACTCTCTTGTGGTCTACAAAACAAACAGACATGCAACATTCAACATGCTCTAAAAACATGCACTGCAAAGGACTTAGAGAAGAAGATAAATAAGTTAGTTAAGGGTTTGCATGCAGTATTTTCTCTAAAACCCCAAGGATAAACCGTAACAGTGTAGAGAAACTTAATGGGACTTTGTTGTTGTCAGTTATCGGCTTTTGAAGAACAAGTGAATCAAACCATGAAAGTGATTGCAGTATTGTGTTAGAAACAATGACATAAAAAATTTTACATTTAGTTTCAGCTGAAGGTGTTTTAAACTCCTACTTGTCAGGCTACCTTTAGCAGCTAGCTAAGCTGAGCGCTAACACTAGCTTGAGCATTAACTGAAGCAAGAAGTTTCAGCTTTTACTTAATTTTTTTCACAATCTTTACCAATAAAGAGACCAAAGTTACTTGTACTTTTACTGAAATTACTCTTTTAAGTTTCTGCTTTTCTAGCCTGCTGTAAGAAGCTAAAATGCTAACAATAGCATTGTTAGCAAACAAAAAGAACTCATGCTGGGTTTGTAAAAATGTTCTGCATGGTAACTTAATATAAAAAAGTGAGGCTCATTATGGATCTTAAATTAATACAGTTTTAGTTGCATCTGTTATTTCTTTTCTCAAAATTAGCTAACTCCAAACTAGCTAGCACTGTTTTTATTAGCAATTCTGCTGATTGGAGAATATGCTTCACTCATTTTAATTGTCATGTTTAGCTACCACTTATTGTGTCAATACAAACTTTACAAAATGTGTTTTTTATGTGTTTGTTTTAAAAAAATATAGCTTTGACGTTGCTGCCTTTATATCTGGAACTAAAAACATGAGTTTAATTATTGTAATAAATTACATTTGATGTTAAATTTTGTTATGTTTTAATATTCTTTCATTTTGATGCAGTATTTATTTTTAGTTTAAAATCTTAAAGTTTGAATGGGATTAGAAGAAAGACTAAAAACTTAGTAACTAAATTAAATGTTCCCTACATGAATGCCTCACTTTAAAAAAATCTATTGCATTCATGTAAAATGAGTTAATCTGAAGAATGCCCTGTTTTCAGTTACAAACATTAGCAAAAAGAATCAGTCATGCATGTGAAAGTTAACAAATATGTCTGTTTTTTTCACCACATGGAAGCGAATGGTCCGTTTCTTTGGCTTTGGGACTGGTAACATCCCAGTAGTTCGCATCCCAGCCGATCTCAGTCCCGTCCTCGCAGGACCTGTGTTCACCCAGGTCTGCCCACATGCGGAAAAGGTACAGCTCCACCTTTCCCACGGCACCTCCTGGGGAAGGGTTTCTCTGATGGCAGCCCAGCCACAGGGAGCCAGACGTAGGGATGGCCTGAGCAATGACCGTCCTCTCTGCCACCATGTTGTGATCAACCTGGAGTATTTAGACATAATACATAATGCTGTTGATTTATCCTCACGGCTAAAGGTTTGATCTTCAGAAAAATGCTATTATCATTATCAATTATTCAATATTGCTGCCCTAAAATTTTTAGGAACATTAGCAAAAGGGCAGATTTTCTGCAAATAATTTGGAGTTACCCAGAAAATCAATGAAGTAGTGCATAAAATATTCAACTTATGTTTATGTTTTTGGCTTGAATTTCTCAGAAATTACTTCCCTATTAATACTTTAGATGACGGTGGCTAATACCATGCTAAAATTAAGCGTGTTAAATTTCACAAAAGCAGTCCAAAACACTAACTGAGCTATTTTAATGGTGCAAATACAAATAAATCCCTATCTAAACATACTTTTGAGAATAAACTGACATATATTATTCACAGTCAAAAGGTGGAAAGCGAATAGAAAACTATTTTTAACCAATTTGTTTTTCCCACAAGATCAGGTTACCATTGTAGCACAATAAATCCATGTTACTTTTGCTTTGGTGACAAATTTGTTTGTCAAATTTATCAGAGCTAAATGCTAGTGGACTGAGCTGCAAGCACATTTTAATATTATGTAAAGTTTAAAAATAAGCCACCTGTCTTGCCACATGCTGTATTTGTGCTAAACTTGTTAGCATCTCTAAGCTAGCAACCAGGTTGGATGTAATAATGCAGAGGTTTAAGCTAGTTAGCCTGCCAAGCTAAAACATAAAACATAAGATAAAATATTGATAAAAATCTTCAATTATTTTATGTTTAAAAGGATATTTCTCCCATGTTGTAAATCAAATAATCTGCCAATGGAACTTGTAATTTTTTATCAATTATTAAGGAATTATTGACTTAAATACGGTCCTATATGTTGCTTAGAAGTTACTTGTAATCTAGTATTCTCTTATTTCAAATGTACTAAAATATTTGCACCAAATACTTGACCAAAAATACTTGGTAATATTTTGTGCTTTGGCAATGAACTTAAATATACATTTATGGGTCTGATACTTATACAATATGAAGCTTTTTACTGTTTTGGTGTTGCTTTCAAATATACTACATTCTTATTTGATAGTGGTATTGATCAATACTACTTAAGTGGCTGCCTTTTCACTATTTCTGATGCAAAAATATTAATATTACTAAAACAACCTTAAAAAGCATTATGTAAAACCAAATACTTCTTAAAATGTGAATGAAATCGTTAGTCTTAGTAGTTTATTAATGGATATATTTTAAAAGAGGTGCAAGTTTTAGTGAATGATAATATGTAAAGACTGTAATGTAATCACTAGATTTGTAGGTCACTGTTATTGTGTCCTTGTATAACAACGCCCATATTATATAGCAGTAAGAATAAACGATGGTGACAAGCATTACTGTTGGCACGCAATTTGTCATTATTGGTATAATTTCATTGACAAGTTTTGCAATGATATTTGATATTCTAATTACAAAAGAATAAAATACAAGAGCACATACATTTACCTCAAACCAAAATGGGTAAAAGAACAGCATTTCATTATTTTCTTAAAGCATATAATCTTATTTTACTACTAGACTATTAGTTTTATGTTTCTGTGTCAAGCTAGCGTTAGCAGCTAGCTGTGCTAACACTAGCATCTCAGAAGACGTTTTAGCGTTTTACTTACATGTTTCCTCCTTTATGTCTCAATCTCGATCAGACATCACTAACGGTATTGTTTTACTGTTAGTGAAATTACTTTTAAGTTTCTGCTTTTTAAACAAGCTGTAGCAAGCTATGCTAGCATGCTAACAGTAGCAAATAAAGATGAAAAAAGGGAGGGAGAACTCATACTAGGTGAGTTTAATGTTCTACATGGTCGCCTTCAAAATAAAAAGTGAGGCACATTTTGAATATTAAATAAATATCTGTTATTTTTGTCCCTTTCTTCCTCAATATTAGCTAACTACAGATTAGCTAGCACAGCTTTTACTAGTATCTCCACAGATTAAAGAATATGCTTCTGTAAAGTTCACACTAATTATAATTGCCATGTTTAGCTACCACTTATTAACTTTGCAAAATGTCACATCAATTTGGCAAATTATTGTCTGTCAGTGCAATTTTCCACTTTGCCTGTATTTTCATTTGGCAAAAATATGTTGGAACCTTTGGTGTTTGCTTTCATTCACTATGGATTTGATTTTTTAAAAAAAGAAGAAGCTAAAGTCAGAGTCTAATCTTATTTTACTACCTCCAGGCTGAAGATATTCCTCTGAACGTCCCTCCTTAGACACACCCTGTGCCACACCATTGGGGACATCTTGAACGGAAATCGGTGCTGCACTTGGAGTAACCATCCATAGATTGCTTTGTCGTCCCCTTCAAGGCCTAAATTGGGGTTTAGTGTCCGGACTGAGCTGTAAGAAAAGGCCACCCAGGGTCCAGGGACAACCACGCGAATATTCACACATACAGTCATCTGGGAAAGGCGTGGAATGGAGATCCTGTCCCGCAGAGCCCAGTGGTCTTCACAGCCATTTAATACTGCCTTAACGTCTCCGAGGTAATATCCGTCCACTAAAAAAGGCAGAATTAATGGAAAATTAAGGATTTTAATGGTTTAAAGTAGACATGGTTAGTGTTAGCAATAATATAAAGTGCTAAAATAAAAGATTGGGATTAGAGTTGGGCTTGAAGCTTGTAAAAATAGAAACTCTCTCAGATATATATATCCTCACAACACATATAACCTTCTATTTAAAATGTGCTGACTGTAAATTTCCTTCATGGTTAGGTTTTGTTTGGGGATGACGTTCGTAAACATCATCCAGATGTCAAAATGGGGCTTCCAAATAATAATAACCCTAAAGTGGTTACCAAGTGGCTTAAGGGTAAAAAAAAAAAAAAAACAATGTTTTGCCATCACAAAGTCCAGATCTCAGAGAATTTGTGGGTAGATCTGAAAAGCTGTTTGTGCAAGTGACTTGGTCTACAAACCTAACCCAGTTCCTCCAGTTCTGTCAGGAGAAATGGGTCCAAATTTCTGCCAACTATTGTGAGAAGCTAGTGGAACGAAACCCAAAACGTTTGAGACAAAACATACGGTTTAAAGGCAACGGCACCACATACTGAGAACATTTTAAATAAACAAATCACTGATGCATTCCTGCTCCCAGTATTGTGGCTTTTCGCCAATAGATATAATTTTGGAAATTCCAACTGGACGTTTTCTCTGATTGAACTTCAGATTGTGCATAAAAAGTTGTTTTTTTGTTTCTTTTATCAAACCTATTGTCATATGAGCCATAGCTAGAAAGCTGCTCTTCCTACAGAGTTGAGGTTGAAGAAGGGATTTGCCCATTGGCTCTATCCATGCAAACATCGCCACAGGGCCACTGGAGAAGTCACATGATATCAAATTTAAAAGGAAGAACAAATAGTACATTCAGTGTCTTCCTCACATTTAGAACACAGTGACTCTTTATTATTTTTTTTCCTAACAGGAAAAAATAAATAAATTTCATGGAAATTCAAATTAGTAACGCTGAATGGACAAGCTACCTTAAAGTGTCCCGCATGCGCAGTAAAAGGCGGAATAACGTCACACACAGAGCAGGTGCTTCGTTTTGCCAACCACCATACAAAAAGAAGAAGAAGAAGTACTCAGTGTTTGAGGAAATAAACGTGGATGCTAACGGTGGAGCATAGCTCACGATTTTGAAGTTGTCCGACCAGAACCAGCACGTTAACAGCTTAATCCTCTATATCGTCCGCCCTGTTTGTTGTTTTTCCTTCGGCATGCGTTTACGTTTGTCGAGTATCGATTCAAATCATATTTAAAAAGATCCGATACGTATCGGATTCATAACGTCAAATCCAAGTTGTCTGGGTCGGAATCGAGAAAATTCGATCCGTATTGTTCAGCCAATCGTAAAAAGATTAGACATAGGTTGAATTAACGGGGAAAAATCGGATTTGAGTCACTTAAGGCTGCACTGTGAGCATAACCTTAAATGTTTAATTTGGTTTAAAACACCAAGCAAATGCTGTTTTGTCAGATGCTACACAAATAAAAGTACTTTCCATAGATCAGGAGAACTTTCTGTGGAAGAGACAGATTTGCATAATATTGTAAACGTTTCTATATGCAAATATAAATTCAAAACGTTGGTCTTTCAGGTTAAACTTTTTTGCCAGGTGTTTTAGTCATACATAAACTTCTGCTCACCTGTGGGAGGAGCGGCTGCTGCTGCCAGGAAAAAAACGATGACTTGATGGAGACGAAGCCGCCGTCTCCATGTTGCTTCAAAAAAAAGGCCAAACATCCTCCTGGAAACATGACGATATAATATTTCCAACTTTTTACATTTCTTCCCACTTTTACCTCTCAGTTATGTAGTCAAATTCAAATTAATGGTCACATTTTGTTTACTTTTTGCACAGTTGAAAGCGTTTGCTCAGTAGCTTCCTCTTTTTAAACTCTTCCTCTTTGTTTTCAGTGTTTCTATAAATGGTCAAAGCCTTTTTCACAGCTTGAAAGATGAAGCGATTGAATATTATCCGTGCTTTTGTGTGAATGAGGGACTTGACTTGAGGGCAGGGAAGGGGAGGACCCTGGGGAGTCGGGTTACACCTCATGATATTCACACCTTTCAAAGTCGACTTATTGTCTCCAGTGCAGTTGGGCTGCTATGCATCTCAGTTCACACTTTCAAGTGGATTCTAGGTGTTTAACATATTAAACTATGTGTGTTCTAATGTGGAAATGAAATATGGCAGGTTTCAAAGTAATTTCACTCCTTTATTATTAAATTTCTAAGCTCCAAAGCCAATTTTTTTCCTACGAAAAAGCCGTGTTTGTTTGTTTCTAGGATGCAGTTTCAACTCGATTGGCAAAAATATGAACAAAATAAAAACTGAATATTTCGTCCTTAGAACTAAGGTTCTCTAAATCTGATCTTATAAATTCAAAAAGTGATAAAACTTTATCTTAGAAAGCCTCCCATCATCACACTGGATATTCTACAAGCATGAAACATTTCCACCAAGTCCGCCTTTGTGTTCTTAATTTAATAAATATACATGAAGATTTTAAAGTTACCAAAGTAAAACTAACAATTCAAAATACAAAAAAGTGAATTGCAGATTTTGCTATATTTTAACTGCACAAAGAAAAATTAATCGATAGAAGTTATAATTAACATAAATTGAAATTACACTACATACACATTAAAACAAAAGATTATTTATTTGGATTATAAGTGATGAACCAATAAAAACTCTTGCATTCTTGCTAATTAATAGGATTAATAGTTTTTCATATTCTTTTACAAATAAAAATTTAAATTGCATAATTGTGATTATTTAGCTGATCTCTCAGCAATAAAAAAGGGCACACAAACTATTTTATCACAAGAAATTTGTATTATTGTCTTTTCTTTTCATAATTGAAAACTACTTTGTATATGTATATTACACTAATCCACATAAAATAACAGAGTTGTATTTTTGCAAGTCGTTGGAAGTAAAAGTTTAGATTTTTATTCTGGAGTAAAAGTACTTTAATTAAGATATAAACTATTTAGATCATATTTCTCAACACCCTGAGCAAACAGAACATGCTGTTCTGAGAATTAGCATGCTAACATGCTAACACAGCTAATTGTTGTGATTTGAAGACAAGAAATGTCTAAGAAAACAACTTGTCAACCCTTTAAAACATTCGCTAAGTCAAAATAATTATCATATTCTCAGTTAAAAAATATAAAGAACTGGGACCTTCCCATAACATTGGAAAACAAAGAGCATTTTAGGGAACAAATCTTTAAAATGTAAATTTTCTTTTAGATGTACTTCTGTTTTTGTGTAACACAGAACATAGTTGCCTGTTTTGCAATTAAAATTTTTCAATCTTATAAAATCGATTAAATTCTGGAAATTAAACTTTGCAACTTTGTGAGTGAATTTTCACCAGTGCAGACAGAGCACCTGCACAGAATAATGTGACATAAAGTAACTTTGCATTGAAAGTGTCATTATTACCAAATAATTAAATGTTGACTCTTTCAAAGGACTTTTAATTCCTTTTTAATGCGACTTCTAGTGCAACTTCGCATTAAAAATGTCATTATTTACAAAATAAGGCAAAATGTACACTTTTAATGGAGTTTTGCATTAAAAATGTCATTATTTAATGAATAATGTCTCCTCCTTATGTTCATAACATTATTGTGTCAGCCTTAACCCTTCACATAAAATGTTACCAAATACTTTATATCTACTTCTATAGATTTAATGAATTTTCATGAGTGCAGACAGAGCACCTGCATAGAATATGACATAAAATAACTTTATTATTGCACCGTTAGAGTAAAATACTTTAAATCTGCTTCCATAGACTTACTTTAGATATTTGTTTTCTGAATGTATATTCAAAGTCAAACTTAAAATTATTTTCATGGCTGAACACCAATAAGTTCACAAAGCGTGGTGCAGATGGAAAGATATGTTATATTTTAGAAGATTTTTATGCTTCTTACCTCTAAATCTTGACATTTGTTAACATTTTCATGTGTTAAAAAGCTAATCTATAAAAATATGCAAAATAAATATTCAAGATTAAGTTTGTTGGCTGCATCGTAGAGACTTGAAGGATATTTTTGGTTTTGTAACACCATCCTGTATCGTGTTTTAATTAAACCTTCGGATAGCAGATAAATGTTATTCTCTTTTGATCAAAATTCCCCTGCATACGCAAATATTTCTTTTCTTTGTGCTTTAATGTCACAAATGTTTCAGATCATTAGAAACATGTTTGAGATAACCTGCCCTGAAAAACACATTTTACCAAGTATTTTTGTCTGATGTCTGGTGCAAAGACAAAACTAACTTATTAGCAACTTTTCAGCAAGAATAATGAACTTAATTTATTAATATTTATTAAAAGTTTTACTAGCAGATTATTTCACTTTAAAAAATGGAAAAATGTCTTTTTTAAGTATTAGTATACTTGTATTTATTATTATTACTATTATTAAGGAATTATTTACTTAAAATAAGCTCCTATATCTTGCTAAAAATGACAAGTGTACAAATAAACTAAACTAAAAATGACAAGTGTACAAATAGACTAAAAATGATTGTTTTTGAAGTGTAATGCTTTGAGATTATCTTTTGATGACAAGATAAAATAATAAGGCTCCTTTTCTACTTGCCCCTAATTTCCTCACCTACATTTAAAAAAGTTTTGAAGTTTTAAACATTTCTTACCTGATGGTGTTTGTATGGCTCTCTATGGGTTAACCTTTGACCCCTTCAGAGGAGGACTTGATATCTTCTCTCCGGTTAACACAGGTCTCTCCATCTTCCCCGTCTTCATCCGTCTGTCATGAATCCGAGTTTCACGCGTTTCTCCTGAGTTTCTCCAGAGGATCCACCTGCGTCTGAGCGCCGATGCTGACGTGGTTCAGGAAATCAGAAATCCTGAAATGTAAAATCTGCCTGGAGGGGAAATAATGAAACACACCCACAGAGGGAGGAGGAACAGAGAGAACATGTTCATCTATCTGTCTATCCTGCAAAAAGTAAATATTGTCTAGTTTTATCTTAGCACACTTGAAATATAATACAAAACTGACAAGAGAGATAACCTTACTTTAAGTAAATAATTTCTGAATATTGATGAAAAAGTCTTATTTCCACTGGCAGATTATTTCATGTACAACAAGGTATTATTCCCATATTAAAAGTGAAACAATCTGTGACTGAAATTACAACTTTTTATTGATATTAAGGGATTATGTACTTAAAGCAAGCTGCTAGATCTTACCGAAAAGTTACTTGTAAGATAGTTTTGTCTTCTAGAACGTAGACCAGAATTACTTTGTAAGATTTTGCAATTCTAATTATCCAGGTTAGTGCAGTTCCTGGTGCAAATATGTTATAATACATGAAATATTAGACAAGACTGCCTAACAAGTAATTTTTTTAGCAAAATAAAGCAGGTTGATTACAAGACATTTTTTCCTATATTAAAAGTCAAATGCTAGAACTTTTTCCTCTAATTAAGGAATTATTGAGTTAAAACATCTGCATCTTGCTGAAAAGTAATTTTAGTCTACTAAAATATTTGCAGTAGAAACTAAACAAACCTGTTAAGATTTAGTATTTTTCTGTCTTTCCATCTGTTGTATGGCTGGAAGGTAACAGCTGGTGATACAGGATGCAGGGTCAGGCCCTTCCTTCACAGAGTGTTAGCCTTTAGTCGTCTCAAAGTGTGTGTGTGTGTGTGTGTGTGTGTGTGTGTGTGTGTGTGTGTGTGTGTGTGTGTGTGTGTGTGTGTGTGTGTGTGTGTGTGTGTGTGTGTGTGTCAGAAAGATTTGCCGTGTTGCCAGGTATGAAATGAGGGAATTTAAGTAAAGCAACCTGCCACACCAACGTCTCCTTGGCAGAAATCAGACATGAAGTGAATCAAACAGTCAGCAGCAGTGAAGGGCTTTTAAAAAGTAAAACATTTTTAAAAAATTACGCTGCGCCCTTTGCTTGCCTGAGGCGCGTGTTTGTGAAACCACGAGGGTTCGTGCTGTTCTGCACTTTGTCCACAAGAGGGCAGTGTTGGAAGCTGGATATCAAGTGTCAGGCTTTGTTTAGGTTTTTTTATGGGTGGAAACGAGGCTGAATCGGATCAGTGGAGCGCAGCTGAACTGCAGAGTTGCTGCTCCACATTCAGTGACTCAGCACTTTTATGAGACTCACCTTTTTCAGTTCATGAATATTTCCATCCCTACAGATTTCTCAAAGATCATTCACACACCTTCTATAAACGTATAACATCTCTGGCAGGGCTGTTAATATTATATACATGCATAACATAGGAAACATTTACTGGCCAACTGATTTATCCACCAGTTGATTTCTGAGCAGCTATTTCCTTAATTTTGGGGGAGCATGATACTTACACGTGAATCCCATCTTATCCCCTGATTTTAAGGTTTATAAATCAGCCTCTGTCCTTTTCTGCTCTACAGTGAGAGGTTTGGCTGACAGACCAGGTCAGGTCTGCACGTTTACAGTTAACAATATTCACCCCACTGTTGCCAACTCATCAACTTTCTAGTTATATTTCAGACAAAATAAAATTTATATCAACTAAAATCAAAATCAGCAGGTCAGGCTTTTCAGAGATCGGCCAGAAAACTGCAATCGGTGCAGCCCTACACACATATTCATGACATTCCTTGATTAAATAAATTTCTCTTAAGCGTTACTCCAGCAGCTAAAAATGTTACTTTTACCAGGTGAGTCTTTCTCAGCTGAGAATGTGGACCGGTACAAGATCTAACATGACACCCCCTTCGAAAACAGTACTGCTCAAATATTAAAATATTTCCAAAGATGTTGCTGATAATCAAGAGGGTTTTTTTTTTAGATGTTTTAACACATAAACTCTCTTTTGTGCCCAAACATTCACATTTTATCACAAAGTTAACTGGCAGAGCTCCTGGGTGGGAAGGTTGTGGGTTTTTCTTTGACGGCTGCGGCGCCTACTAAGAGCCTGAACAACAGTTTCATTCAAGAAGGCATCAAAGAGACGAATGTATTAACAATAGCTTGAACTCCTACGCGCACACCTTCAGCTTCAGCTTCAAGGATTAACAACTGAAAGCACACTTTCACCTGCAGACAAAAACACAGAAATTGAAAGAAATCAGAGCTTTCATTCACTGCTAAGAAAAAAACAACACAAGAATGATGTGAAAATATGCTTAAATGTCAGGTATGTACCAGGTAATCTGCCAAATTAAATAAATTATTCTACTTCTGTCTGGGTTCTTTCAGAAATCTGTTAATAGCTTTCAAAAATGTAACTAAACGCCAACGTGCAAAAGAACAAATACAATACAGACGAAAAGAACGCAGCGAAAAATTATCCGCATGACTAAAAGATTTAGTCACATTCCTAAAATAAAGCCATTTTTTCCCCCGAAAGTGATTTTTGTGAAAATAAATAAATGAAATAAAAATTAAATAAAACAAACAAAAAAACACCTTTTATTGACAAGCTAATTCAGGCAAAAGAATAAGATGACAAAAAATGTCATCTCATTAAGTGTATCCATTAATATCGCAAAGATGATTGGTCCAGGTACTGAGCCTTGTGGTACTCCATCAAATGACCATATTTTTTATTTAAAAATAAAACTACATCTCTGAAACCCTTAATTCTGTACTTACTTAAAGAAAATCATTAATTTTACACATTTAAAGTGTGGCTTCTCTATTTAGATGAAAAGAAAGTAAAAAAAAAAACTCAAGATAAGCTTTCACAACTATAAAAATTACTTTACAGTCTCTGGAAATAAGTAATAATAGAAGTAATTACTGTTTTGAGTTAGAAAAATAACCTGCACGTTGGTTTTTATGTCAAGTCGGACAAAAATTACTCAGAAGTCTTAAATTATATTCTGAGAAAATGTATTTTCTTTCCAATGTTATAATAATAAAAATCAGAAATGCATTAATGCTCACAAAGTATCATTTGATCAACAAAGCTGCCAATTCAAGAAAGCTCCTTTGTGCAGCGATCAGTTGAAACAAGAGTTGAAGCATTTCTGAATGCAAACGAGGCAAACACAAACATTACGTTCTCTTATTCTGACTTTATTTGTCCAGCATTAAAGTAGAAATACTAAGTAATACAGAGGATTCCGTCCGGTCATCCAAGCTGAAATTGTGCAACATGATATGGCAAACAGAAAGTAAATACAGCAGGAGGCAGTAAAGGGTCAAATCTAAAGCCAGTTCTAAAAAGAAAAGTGTTTACATCCAGGCACATTTTCAATCCTGTGATTGGGAGAAAACTCATTTACATGCCGCATTGCTCCACCAATAAGCAGGAAAGACATTTCATCCAGGGAAAAATCCTTTCATATTTTTCCTTGTTAAAGAGGCAGTATTATGTATTTTTGTGCCATTTTGTAGCACAGTCAAGTAACTGCGTTACCTTCAAAATGCTGTTTGACTTCACAGAAATTTGATTTCATAATTTGGCGCCTTGAAATTGGGCTTCTGTCTCTTTAAGAAGCATCTGTTCTTTCGGAATGTTATCACAATATGGCTCCTCTTTAAACCCTTTAACGATGTTTTCTCCAGAATTGCACCAAAAAGTAGCTCTACCACATATGCATTTCCACCAAGTGCCTGCTAATTGCTGCTGGCTAGTCTGAAGGAGTTGAGTGGGGGAGAAGATGCACCTTGAGGGCGGGGCTACGTCCAACCAGGTGTTTTGAACAGCAGAATGGTTTCCATGGACATCAGAAGATTTCTCAAACATGCATTAAGGAATCAAAGCAACAATCCAGGCATGTTTGTGATGAGGGAATGACATCATAACCCGATGTAAAGCTAAAAAAGTTGATTTTACATAATACTGCCCCTTTTGCTAATCTTTCAACCTCTACGTGCTCAAACAGTGGTGATCTGGTCCACTACTCTGGTGCTGTCATTCATTTCAACACACTCCACTTCCTGCCTCTGGCCCTCTCTTCCTGGCCGATGGTCCCTGCTCTTGGAGGGAGGCAGGAAGGTGAGGAGGGTCGGCAGGAAGGCCAGCGTGTGCAGGGCCGAGCACCCGGCCGTCAGAGTGAGGCAGCGAAAGAGTGTGCGAGTGAGGTTGGAGCGCACAGCGCAGATGGGCACCAGGGCAGCGCAGTAGCACACAAGCGTCTGTAGGGAGGGAACGCCGTGTCGCTCTAACGCCAAGCGAACCCAGCGAGTCCTGCTTTCACCGCGGCCCGAGGCGAAGCCACAGAGGAGGGGGCCGCTGCAGTCCGCCGAGTGTCCCAAAGCCGTGATGAGGCACAGCACCGACACGCAGTCCATCTCCACGCCCCACAAAGTCATGAAGCCCAGAACCCCAAACTGGACAGAGAGAAGGGTGAGTCCGAGCCACAGGGAGACCAGTGGCTCCACGACGACCAGAGAGGACAGACCCAACAGGAAGAGCACCGCCAGCAGTGAGTGTCTGAGGGGGGAGCTGACCGCCGTCGCATACCGGTCCAAGTATACAAAGGAGGGGTTGAATATCAAGAAGCGCACCCGAGAGGTGAGAGACAGGCGGCGCAGAGTGTCGAGCAGCACAGACATCTCCTCGCGCTTGTTCTCCGTCGTCTTGGCAACCAAGAAGATGCGTGAGGCTGCCACGTCTGGCTCCTCCCCTTGTCCGCGCTCTGCGAAGATGATGTCATCTGCGAAGTGGGCGAACTGCGGCTCGAGAAGGAAGGAGTGGCGCAGTGTGCGGGTGAAGTTCTCGCGAGGCTGGCTGGTGGATTGGTTGCGGTCAGACAGGTAGCTCAGGTACGCCTCCAGCCAGCTGATCCTCTGGAAGCCTTTGGCGTACTCCAGCAGGTCCCGCTGCACCGAGGCGTTCCAGTAGGGGGCGCTTTCGTAGATGTAGAATCCAATCACTGGCGAGTAGGAGCTGAAGTACCGATGCTGCGCACGTGTGTACAACACTGTTACTGTATCTGTGGCAACTAGTGCACTGGGATCAGAGCCCTGGGTCATCTGTTGGAAACAGAAATATATTTATTCAGTGACAATAAGAAGAATTGGCAATTAAAAGTTCACTTTTTTGAGTTTGTCAGAGTATCTGGAAGTTTATAACCTAATGTTTTAACCCCTTATTGCTATTGCCCCTAATTTTGGGGGCAATGGCGTTTGTTCCAAGAGACTCTAGGGATCAATGGGCGATGAATATGATGTGACGCAAAGAGAGTCAATTGATCTTGGTAATTTTTGAAAAAGTAGGAAAGTTAGGAAATGAGGTAGGGGAGTGTTGAGCTTCAAAGTCGCCAAAGGTTTCCCATATAATCAACCTTCATAGATCAACAACAATTATAGATCAACTGGCTGTAGATACCATGTCCTTTTTGTCAATTGAGACTCGTAGTCTCTTGACCCGTAGTCATCGGAGTAACGGTCAATTGACTAAGGGTCAGGTACGCTGCCTTTGGCAAAGGCTACTTTGCCAAACTTTGTTTAGTCTGCTTTGCTCAAACGCTAGCTTGTTTGCTAAGAAAGTCCAGCTCGTTTGGGGAGTTATGAATGTGTGATCAAACTCTGATGCGGACAAACAATGTCTCCAGGGGTCTGTATCTTTATGTTTTAATTCAACACTCCGGTGGCGACCGTCTCTTCAGCCTGACAATGTTCTACAGAAACCTAAAAAAGAGCCATCATTTGATTTCGGTGTGTTGAACCAAGCATAGAACAAAGACATGCAGAATATCAGCTCTTAATCACTCACTGACTCAATTGTTCACAGTTGCTACTACATCAATGACCTTTCCAGTGCAAGACCAACATTTACTGGTGACAAAGAGAGGATTAGGACAAACAGAAAAGCCTCAAACCATAGCACCTCTGCTGAGGGTTGTAGCTGACAAAGCAACTGTTGAAAGAAGCCCACCAAATCTACATAATTACTACCAAAACCTAAGTTACTTTATAAGCCATTCTTAAATATCTTGGCTTTCACCAAAAAGTGTTACAAAATGTGGATGTGAGTTGCAGAGTCTTTGTTCAGATCATGATGTTTTTGTGTCTCACCTGAAGAAAGCCCATCAATCCAAAGGAGATGTAAACCAGATACAGTAAAACTACAAAGGGTTTGACGTAAGTGTTGGTGATCCAGTCTCCATAGCAATGCCGGACACATCCCAACAAAAGATGGCAGTCCTGAGGGTGAGGAACTGCAGCTATTGTTGAATGAGTGTGATGGGGTGAGTGGGTTTGTATGGAGTTCGCCATGTGTCCATGAACACAAGAACTGTTTGCCATGTGAGTTAGGTTAGGATTTGGCACATGAGTGTGACCAACTCCATGAGGCGGGTTGGTTGATTGCGCCTCATCTTGGTAACGGGTGTACATCAAACACCGGTACCAAGCCGGTTTCGAATCAAGCCGGTCTGGCTTTGGTACTCGCCGACAGAAGCAGCCATGTCTATACCTCGTCTCCAAGTAGCCTGTAAACACCAGGCAGGAACTGTAAAAGGACAGCATGTAGATGTAGCTGATGGTGATGGCAAGGGCAGCGGTGCGGCAGAAGAGGCGGACGGCCTCCATGTTGGTGAGCGGCGAGGCAGCCAAACCCAACGTCATCAGGTGGATCATGGTGGAGCCGGAGAAACGCAGCATGACATCCTCAAAGACGCTTGCCACTCGCTCTTTTACATGCTGATCCTCCCGTGTTCGCCTCCATGATGACAACATCTCAAAGGAGCCGAAGAGACCGTGGCCTGTTGAAGACGGCAAGGAGAATTAAAATCTACACCTAATTACACAAAAAACACAGACGTAAAACAGCCCAGTGAAGTAAAGTACCAAGTAAAGAACACATTTCAAATTGTATATGCCAAAAAGACAGATTTGTTCCCATGGTTTTTGGCGACTATAAAAACATTTCTCAACTGGAAAGCAGTTGAGGTAAGTGTTTACCTCAACTGCTCAAAAAGGTCAATCAAAGCAATATTACCAGCCACTTTAAATAGATGGCATCAAAGCCAGCCAATTTCCATCAAATTGGCCCCTCTGGACATTTTGGTTTCACTCTAGTTTCATGTTATTTGAGGCCAATCATATCACAGCACCAGGAAGTTGAAAAACTGTCACACCTCAAGTCTGTTTGAAGCAGAGATGCATGAAATGACAGATGTAACACACCATGAAAAGCAGTTTTCCCACAACTTCCACAGCCACTCTTGGTAAGTGAAGCTGCAGTGAAATCTATTAACACGTTTAAACTCAAAATTCAAATTAAACCTGCTTTTTTTCTCCATTCACAAAAACAAATATTCAAAATTTAAATATTACAGTAACCCATTCATGCTCAGTCTCACGTGCAAGCATTCACATAAATATTTATACTGTATATGTGGAACAGATGGTTTTCATCGGCTTTTTTTTTACACTTTTGTTGCCATGGCATCCATGAGTCACCAGTGACACACGACACCCTTCTTCCTGTGGCGAGTTCACCATGGCAAAACACTTAACACCTTAGCAGAGCCACATTGTACTGACACTTTAATGTGGTGGCAGGAGAGAAAGTGTGCGACAAAGATCTGCAGAGTGTGAGTGTCAAAATGACACAAGTGTTAAATCCATGTCTCCAAGAGACCCAGAGCGCAAGGAGACGATGAGGACGGCACTTAGCACATAAAGATGGTTTTTAGCTGTTAAAACACAGACAGCGTTTTAACTCATATATATTTATGACAAAAATGTTAGTAGGAAATACTATACCATAATAACTGCCTATCTGACTTCCACATACAAAAAATATTTATAAAATAAATTATATGGTTGCTTAAAAGAGCTCCTTTTCTAACTTCATGAGATTGTGTTACAATGCTAACACTAGCATAAACCGCAATAAGTAGTAATTCTGTTTTACTCAGTGTGTTTATTTTCCCTTTCTCTAAACAACTACTAAATCACAAACAGGCCTATGAGTTTGGAAGCAACATATTTTGGGGGGCTTTTTTCAGGGTGGAGGGTGATGAAAGCTAGCTTAGCTCATTTAAACAACGAGCGAGAAGTGGTGATTTTGTTATTGCAGACTTATTTTTATTCTTGCCTTTCTCTATATATTCCTCTTAGCAACTACTTAGACATAAACAACCCCACAAGTTTGGAAGTAATGTTTTTTGTTTGTTTTATTTTCTATGGGTGGAGTTCAAAGCTAATTTCTGACTACTTTTAGCTTCTAGCTGTGAGAAAGCTAGCATTAGCTCATATTTAACAAGGAGCAATAAATACATTGTATTATGTTCTCACCTTTTTCTGTTTTCTTCTTAGAAACTACTAAATTATAAACAATCCTACAAGTTTTGAATGATTCAAAACTGTTTGCTAGCTGTGTTTTAGCGCTAGCATTAGCTGTCACAAGGAGCAACATTTAAAGATCCTGGAAAAGATGTGGGCGTTTTTTTGTCCTACTCTAAGCAATTAAACCTTAAAATATCCCACAAGTTAAGATTTGTAATTTAAGCATAAAACATCCATTTTGCTAACTTAATCTAGCAGCAATGCTAACACTTAGCATGTACAGCATATAAACAGGTGTTTGAGTTCTAGCTGTCTTATATTTGGAGAAATGAGAAGAACATAAAACAGCAGGAGAGAAGAGATAATTATTTCCTGGCTTACTATTGGTCACACTGGACTGAACAGTAAATTATTTTTAATAGGGAAACATCAGACAGGGAAATGTGATTGTGGGGAGAATTAGACAATTAACATGTTATTTAGCATTGATTCAAAGAAACAAGTTAATTAAGAACCTTAGTAACACAAAAATAAAATTGGACATTGTTGATTAATTGCAGAAAGATTCAGGAAGTACAAGATATCAAGCTATGTCTAATATATTCTTTTTTTTTTTAATATCTTTCTAAGATATTGACATTTAGTTTGAACTTTTTGACCATTGTAACCCTAATACTTGCAAGCAGGAACAAATAGATATTCAATTTTAGCTGTATTTTTCTTACTGAATTTAAAACATGCTAGTATTGTGCTTTTTGAAATAACTGGTTTGTGCTGCTGCTGCTGCGGCTCCACTGCTGTTGACTTTATATTGACTATAAAGTCAATATCGTTCAGACACAGTTTTCCAGTCACTTCTCATTTGCATCTTTTCCTCATCTTTCTTCTCACTTCATTACTAAATTAACTGCTAAGACGAACCTTGTCTCAGCTGCATTTGGATGGATTAATATTTTATGCAGGATTTCAGAGACACTTCCTGCACTTTTCCTGTTCACTCTGCAATTATTTAAGGCGTCACTGGAACCTAATCTGATTTTTTTTTGTATTCTGCTCAGTTGACCTCTTTGTCACCTTGTAGAAACAATTAAAGTTAATTTAAGATCTAATGAGAATCACCTTAATTTACTTAGTTTCTGCACACAAACAAGGAATTTAATTTCAGTTTAATTTTGCTCTCTATGTAGACATTTTAGTACGGGTAATAAAAACAGTAAAGTTTCAAGGAGTTGATGCATTTCAGTTAAATTAAAACAAAAAATAAGTGTGGTAGCAATACATTTTAGGGAAAGCGTTTCACCATTTTGAGATTGTCTTAATTCCTTCAGGAAATAAAAAAAAATGTTTTGGTTTCTTATATATTGAAGATTTAGCAACAGAGAAATATTACGGCGCCCCCTGGTGGATCTTGGACATAAAATTTCCTTTGCGTTTGATGCGGCGTAATTGAATACTGAAAGTCTTTCTGCTGTAACATAAGGTTTTTGTAAGGTTTATATCCAATTGGTAAGATATCTGAAGTTTTATAACTGTTTTTAGGATAGAAATGTACCACAAATTTTATTGTGTCTTTTTTGTGTTGGTAATCTGAACAGTTAATAAAGGGCCGTTTTCATTTCCATCTTACACAAACGGACATAAACATAAAGTGAATATATCAATTTTCAATAAATTTTTTTCCGCTAAAGAGTTAAGAATATATAAACATGTTTTCAGAAGCTCTATAAATGTATATATATTTTAAATTGACACTTGTGACTGTGCACAAAATAGACAAGCAAATCTACATGTCAAAAACTGTCAGTTGTCAGAGAAAGATAAACCTTTAAACCATGTTTAATTTTTATGTTGTTTACTAAAACAATGAGAGACAAACCTACATTTAAAAAATAAGAGATTTTGTAATTAAGGTTAATGTAAATTAGTGCATCAGAAAAAGGATCAGCAGTTACATCCTGTATTTTATCAGTGTTCATCCACTCATGTTTAATTTTCCTTCATTTGAGGTTTGACTGACACTCTGTTCATTATAGCTGTCAATACCCGATGTGAGTCAGCCGTGTTTGACGGTAAACAAGCTGCAGCTCAGCATGCAGACAACTGGATCTGCTAGCGGAAAAGAAAATATGGAGTTTAACTACCGAATTAACCAAAAATCTAATTTTAAACAATGAAAGAGAGAGTTGCAGCAAATGAAGCACGAAAAAACATTTCTAAACATCCATGTATGGTGGAGAAATATATTTACTATTCAAATAAAACCTTTTGATTTCGTTCCAAATATGTATTAAACAGCTAAAACACCAGAAGTCTGTTTTCTTACCTTTGCTTTAGTTCTGAATTTGCCTCTAGTAAGAAAATGTGTCATTTGTTTCGTCCTCCACCCCCTCAGTGAGTTCCTGTTCTACAGCCTGTCAATCATTTTGACGATCTGTCTACTTTGAGATGGCGTTCAGCCACAGGACTCTGCAAAATAAATCCCACGAGTTCCAGACGAGGAGCACAGCCGCAGCATTAATGTGCTTTGTAAGAGCATGAATACTCCTTTAACACAAACACTGGTTTTATATGATCAACTGATGCAAAACTTGTCCCTACCTGTAAATTTAATTGAGGACTGTGATGCAGAGAAATCAATGACAATAAATATTGCGATCAGCATCAATAGATAATGCAGTTTAAAGTATTTTTAGTCTTTTTTCTGGTGCAAAAATAGACTAAATTTTTTCTGAGATAACTGTATCTCAATACACTTAAAATAAGACAAAATTAACTTACAACTAGTTAGTTGTATCGGATGTACCGATACAAAGATTTGGGCCGATATCTAATATTAATATCGCTGTTATGGATGATAAAACATATTTAACAATATTATATACATTTCATTACATCTTTTGGGAAATAGATAAAAATAAATTTCAGTTGTTCATACTGTTCCAGTTTTATTGATCAGATGATACCGATATGTTAAAAAATGACTAATATCGGCCGAAAAAAAATCTACTCAAGTACTGAGTAGCTGATCTCTCATTTAATATTTCAAGATTACACAATCAGTTGGCCTAAAATAGAAAAGTAAGTGGAAATTCTGGTATTTTAAGGACCAAAATTACAATAATTCATTTAAGTAACAAAAAAATAACAAAACCAAGCAAAAGAAAATGTTTTTAATTTCTGGACTTTCTACCCACTGAATGAAAAACAACAACATTTTGACCAAAAATTCATGAGACACAGACACATACCTGCAATTTTTGTTTAAGTTTCAAAAGCACTTAATTGTAAGAAACTGATTTGAAAACATTATTTTGGTTGAATTATTATAATTTTCATCCTTAAAATACCAACATTTCCAATTAACTTTTATATTTTGGTCCATCTGATGATGTAATTTTAAAATATTAAATGACAATTTGATCAGTTACTCAGTATTTGAGTAGATGTTTTAGCAAATACATTTTTTACTCTTACTTGAATACGTTCTTGGACAACTACTTTTTACTGTTGAGTAAAAATATGTTAAAGTAGTGCTATTATTACTCCAGTACAATGTTTGGGAACATTTTGGGAACTCTGCCACCTATGATCTTCGTTGTAACAGCCGATAAACTTACCTAGCATGACGAAAGGGATTCCCAGGTAAGTGGAGTTATATGTGGCTCCGGTCAGGTTCAGGATCCCAGCAGCAGTGAGTCCTGACAGAGCCACAGACAGCAGAGCCAGCATACCCAGCCAGGGTTTGGACCTCACACAGTCCCTCATGGAGCAGCAGAGGATGGCCAGCACCCCACACACTCCCAAACTCGCCAGCAGGGGGCGACGTGCCAGCACGGAGGAGAACTGGAAGTCAGTCCGCAGCGAGGAAGACGTGGAGGGATAAAGCCCCAGCTTTGGATGCGACGCTCCGAAGAGCTTTAGCTCGGCACAGAAGGCTTTCTCCCATCGACCCGCCACCCGATCCATCAGCCCGCTCCGGGATTGGAGGTAGTAGGTGAGCTGCACCGCTTTAGCAGTGCGGACGCCTTCCCCTTTGGCTGCCGTCCCTTGAGGTCGCACCGCGCCGCCGTGTCCCCAGCCCTGCACGCCGCCCAGCTGGTGCCCGATGTACGCTTGCCTCCCGTCCGCCAGCTGTGTGATGGGGTAGTGCAGAACCGGGACGCTTCGGTTGGAAGTGCGGGCTGACTGGATCTCCTCCATGGCCCGGATTATGTCGTCCACGATGCATACGTTCTTGTCGTCGGGGAGACAGAGGTAGGAGAAGGAGTAGTTGAAGCCGCCGGAGGCTGCAGTCGTAGCCGGAACCGTCACCTGCATCTGGTAGATCCGCCTGTGGAGCTGGGACAGAAACAGAGTTTCTGTGTTTATTACAACAGGAAAGAAAAGTCTCAGCTGTGACCTATTTTATCGGAAAATTTGCTTTTGGGAGAAGAATGGCGGAGCGCACAGACACGTCACTAAACCAAGCTAATTATCGTTCGTTAGCTAAAGCTAACGAATGAAATCCGAAATAAAAAAAATACATTAACAAAAATGAATAAAAATTGTAATTAACGGGGGAAAGCTATGACTATTGCGGGTTTATAAAACTAAAAAATAATAAAATTATGGATGTAACATCAACAGTCGGGAAATTACGTCATTCCGTATGCTTCCGGGCCACGTACACGCAAGTCCCCAAAATGGCGTCGGCAAAAGTTGGGAGAAAACGCCAGTCAGTTGGTTTTATCAACAACTGAATAAATGCTTTGAAAACTGTATCTTCTATTGCGTATTCATTACAAAATTGTTGTATAGATAATCGCAATACAATACTTTCTATTTTCTGCAACTGAAATCAACGAAATGACTTCAAACCTGTCATAAACATGAATGAGTTTTCATACATATTTATTACTGTTAAGTGTAATTTGGTCAATTCTGACATTTTTGAAACAAAGTTCACACTTTTAGTGGACTTTTAATGCAAGCTTTAACACAATTTTGCATTAAAAGTGTAATTATTTGCTGAATAATGCAAAATTGACACTTTTAATGCAACTTTGCACTAAAGGTGTCGTTATTTACCAAACAATGTTTAACAACAGTCGTAAACATTCATGACAGTGTCGTGAGGCTTATGCACACCCCTTCAAATAAAGCTACCAACCAGGGTGTGAAAAATTCAAACTGCTGCTATATCTATTGAAACCTAGCAAACTAAAAACTAACTGAAGTGGACAAACAAAATAAAACTAAACTATCATGAAAAACCTCAAACTATTCTAATTATTATCTGGAGAGACAACAGCGCCAGCATCCACTGTGCCGGTTGCTAGGCAACAGCCATAATGCCAGTCATTGGCACAGTGAGCCGACTACCACCTCAGAGAGCTGCATCAACCTTTAAGAGGACTACTATATCAACATTTCAGTTTCTATTTCGTTTTTCTTTTCTTGGCCTGAATTGAGGAAAGGATTCTGTAAAGTTCTGGAGCAAAAACGTCATTGGAAGATCGATGGCGTTTAATTCACAAAGCAGCAAACTCAGTGCATTTTGCCCTAGATGTGAACAGGATTCAGGCTCTTGATGGAGGCTGCCTTAAATAACTCCAAGACACTGCAGGTATTTCATCAAAGAAGACTGTAAGCAGGCACCGAGCTCAATTTTCAGATCTCTGTTTCGTGTGAAAATATCATAAGTTTTAAGATTTTTCATTAGCTAAGATATAGAAAAGTAGTTAAACTTTTCAAATATAAATACCTATTAATGAGGCAACAATTAATAGCAGCAAAATCTCACACTGAAAAAATGGAAAATCTATTTTGGTGCATTTAATCACACAGGGAAAAAACTTCTCAAGGGAAATGTTTTTGTTTTTGCAAAGATTTACCATGCCACTACAAAGTATTAGGGTCATACTAAGAAAAACAACAATTATAAATATAAAATGACAATAATAAAGTCAAATTTAAAAAAGCCAGACTATTATGAGAACAAAGGGCAAATTTTCTGAAAATAAAGTTGTATTAAGAGCATAAATTCATGGCGTTACAATAGTTGTATTGAGAATTAAGTCTATTTTATTCTCGTAGTAATGCTTTATTGTTGTATATTTCAACTTTATTCTTGTACATCTTTATCCTCATTACACTACTACTTTATTTTATAATATTACCATTTCATTTTTGAACAACTTTATTCTTGTAAATTTCACTGGAGCTTTAATTATCCAAGATGCACGGCCAGATCAACAGAGAAATTATTCACCATAGACTTAAGAAACCTTTTTCCATGTCCAATTCCCTTTGAAACTCACAGAAAACCTTTCATGTATATTGGCGAAGTGCATTGATAAATAGCTAGCTAACTGCAGGGTAGCATAGTAAGCCAATAGCTTCCTCTAAGGTTTTCCTGACTCACAATAAACTGGAATGCTTTCTGGTTTTATTAGTGTCAGAGGAAGCAGTAACTTGTCTGAATGAGTCACTGCCGGTTACGTTCCCGAGCGCTGCATGCAACAAGTTCAGCTCCCTTCTCTAAGGAACATTAAAAGGCTTGCAGGAAGACGTTATAACACACACACACACACACACACACACACACACACACACAGTGGCCGACTGCAGGCACAGAGGAGAACAATTACAGAATCTCAAGCCTCGCAGACATCATCAGATTATGTAACAGTGGATTTATCTCTTTATGCACCACTCTGTTGGCTTCTCACAGCCTGTGAGATGGAAATGATGTATAGCCCTGAAACGGAGTATTTCCACTGTATTGTGGGAATCCCCTGCAGACCAACACTGTGTTCCTGCAACATGTACATGAAACGGGTCACATTGACAGCTTTCATGGGGGAAAAGAACACCAGCAAGACGCAGCCCTTCACAAAGGATCTCGTTTTCTTTCAGATTATTAGTCAGCAAATCATTTCTTCCATCATAACTACAGTCAATAGTGCACAAGCAAACACTCTTCCATAACAAACTGCTGGTTTAATGAATGCTAATGAGGAAGGCATGAATAAATATGAAGGTTGAGGCTCTTTTGAGGAATCTCATGATCAGTGGCAAGGAAGATTATGAGAATTTAATCTGTAATCACTCGGGTCCAAATATAAGTTGACATAGATTCATCTCTTTTAGCCACTTTTCAAATTGGGAAACACAGGAAACATGGAATTGCCAACAATAAAAACCAATAAAGCTAACTTGGAAAACTGGAGCTTGAGTTCACCAAATTTAATGCAGATCCAACCTGGTTGTTTGGGTTCAACACCATGAAAAAAACAAATTTTTTCATAAACTTTACCATTTTCTAAACACTTCTGACACCAAAACTGTGAGTCAGATCAAATTAATGTTCAGCATTTCACTGAAAATTGGTGATAATTGGGTCTTTTAGCATGGTGGTAATCCCAAAACAGAAGACATTCCTCACAGACTAACTGCGCATAGGGAAAACATAAGACAGAAGGATATGAATGAAAAACGTATCACAATATAACTGTTTCATATCAATTGATAATTATTGGTTTTTTGTTTTTAAATATATGAAACACTGCCCATACAACTTTACATGCATCCTCCTCCTTCCTGTCTGTTTTTCCAGGGTCAATATTTCAACCCACATCACTGTAGAAAATAATAGTACATTATTGTTATCGAGGCATATCAGCCAAGCTAATCTCCAGGAGCCTCGCTGCAAGAGGCAGGGAAAACGGAGACAGTCCATCATAAAGATCTACAGGACAAACAATCATGAACGCAAACAATTTAGTCTACAGAAACTAATTAGTACCAGTTATGTTTTGGAAATGCAAACCAAGAACATGTAAACAACATGCAGATAGACACTGGATGGGATTTTATCCCAGAACCTTCATGTTGCAAAGGCAAGAAATTGTGAAAAAATTTGACTTTGGGGAACAAAACTGTAACAGTTAAATAAATTAATCACATTTGCAAGATTTATTGTCTCCTCTTTTCTACCAAAAACCGAATGACGAAAGTCTTCAGGCTGGTGTTTTGGTCTAACTAGCCCATTTTTGAAGGATAATTTTGTTTAGACTTCTTCATGGATTTTATTTATTTCTGTTGCTTTGTTTATTTATTCTGGATATTTAAAGTGTCTTCCAATTCCAGTGATAAATGTTGATTATAATTTAATGTTTACTGATCTTTGAGAATCTATTCTTGTATTATTATTGTACCATAACCATGATATTAATTGAAAATGATCTCAAAACATGTTTATCACAAATTCAAGGCACAATATATCGCCCGTTAAAAATTTACCCATAACTAAAGAAATTTACCTCTAATTACAAATGTCCTTTAAAGTTTGTCTTGATTAAATTTCTTAACATCGGGACCAAAGTGTGTGCTCACCTGTAGAATGGTCTCCAGGTGAACCGGGTCCAGCACGCTGCCCCTTCGGGCGCTGATGATCACGCGCCCGTAGCGTCCAGGTGTCTGCAGGTCGGAGTAGAGCGCGTGCTTGGATCGGTTCACGGGGAACAGGCTCTCCACCAGGTTGCCCTCGATCTTGGCCAGGCTGTGTTTGGGCGCCAGCAGGCTCTCCACGTCCCCCTCCACGCGGTAGCGGCTGAAGCTGGCCCCCAGCAGGATGGCCAGCAGCACGGGCGCCGAGGCGAAGAACACCGCGTGACTGGCCACGAACCGGCCCAGCGCGTGGAATGACGTCCTCAGTCCCGCGTGCAACACCTGGCGCAGCATCCTACCGGCGCGCGGCCGCGGCTCGAGCCTCTCCCACCGACCGGAAAGCCCCGGAGCGCCGCCGAGCATCAGGGGCCGCCGGACGCATCGGTGGGGAAGAAGCGCCGGGCGCGGGGAGAAATCTTCCCCCGGAGCAGGAGGTCAGCAGCCGGGGGAGAATCCCAATCTGCTGCGGTCCCCGCGGCGCCGCTGCTCGCTCTTTTCGCTCTCATCCGCTGCGGTTACGAAGCAAAACTGATGCCTTCTGCAGGCTGCGTGCGCAACAGCATCTCAGCAACTCCTCATGATGCGAGAAAACTCACCAAACAATCACTTTGCACGCAGTTGCGGGGACCAGCCTTGCAGATAAGACGCTCCAGCTCCGCCCTGCAACATCAAGTCCCCACGCAACCTGAAGGGTGGTCCAGCTGGGTGAATCTGCGGGTCGGTGAGTGATGCGGTGCACGCAATGAAAAGGACGCCGGCTGCATGCAGCCCAGATCAGCCCGATCTGGATTCCCTCTGCAGCGTGTCTTCCTCCTTGTGCCTTTTATTTCCCCTTCATCGTGGCATCTCCAGCCCACCCACCCAACCAGACACCGCTAATTAACGCCCTTTAAAGCAGAAATCCCATCTGGATCGGGCTCCTTTGCTGCTCCGCCTCCTGCTTTTCACGACAATAAAACTGTTGTTTCTCCTGATTTCTTAGCAGATCAGGAGAAATCTATCAATTCAGATCAAACATGTTGGAAAAAACCGATTTATTTACCATCCTATCCTCACCTGGCACAACTTTCTATGTTGTGTTGTCTGTTGCTATGGAAACCATACAAATTACAGTCTTTTTCTTTACAACATGTCGTTTCTATGGAAACGGTGATGCCACCCATCCCCCCTCCTTAAATAAAGTCAACACACACACACACACACCTGCTGTCTCTCAATCTGTTTATATGTGGAGGTGTTTAATAAAAAGAGAAGAAGAAGAAGATGTTCACACTCTTCATCGATAACCTGTGGAGCTCATTGGACACTGATGTGTCATTATGAACAAAGTCCCGGTGAAGAAAGTTGATTTGCAGGGGAAAAAAATACAGAAAGCCCAGGCTTTCCTCTCCGATCAAGGTCCAAAGGAATCAAAAATCATTTATTTTTAAAAGTCTTGAGTTCATAAAACTCCATTTATTTTCAATTTGCTGACAGATAAATAAATGCGTGGATGCGCCAAAACTTTCTCCAGCTGAACAGAAACAAAACCGAAGTTATCTAAAGAGAAACAATCTAGAGGCAACTTCAGCTTTTCCAGCTGGAAAGTTGATCAGGTCTGAAATCTGGCCTGAACCTTCAGAGACACATAAAGACAGTTACAAAGTTGGCCTTCTATTACCTGAGTAGAAGGCTCATCAGATGAATAAACTTATTCACTTATTTTAATTGCATTTCTTGTTTAATGGAAACACCATAGTTGCAAAATTGCCTTTGTTTCTGACATTAGTGGAATATTGACAGTGTTGCTCACATTTGTGATGTAGCTCAGAGATTATACTTCAAAATACTTCTGTTACTTTACAAACCATTGAACAGCTTAGCACCAAAATATATTAAAGATCGTCTGGTTCACCTGAACTAGAATCAGAACCAGAACCAAACACAAAGAAGCAGCATTTAGTTTTTACGCTCCTCTAATTTGGAGCAAACTTCCAAGAAAACTGCAGATCTGCTGAAACACAGAGATCCTTTAAATCAAGGCTTTTCAGAACTTTCTTTAACTAATAATAACTGCAGTACAGATTAATTTATTTATTCTTACACTAATACAATGTGTTTTTTTTTTTGCTTTTTGTTTACTTGTATGTTTCTACCATGTGAAACACTTTGAACTGCCTTGTTGCTGAAATGGCAAAACTTTTACACAAGAACATCACTTCAGAAATATCCATCTTTAATAATGAGCCATAGCTCAAAAGAGACAGGAAGCAACAGTAATTATTTCCAAAAACTTGAGTAAAAACCTAAGAGTACAATGCGAATATGTCTTACTCTGTTATTCAATTAAGTCTCAATTAGCCCTTTCATTTCCATAACCAGTCCATAGAGGACGGAGCGGTGAAGGAATGACTGATTTATGCCTCCCGGGGGAGGAAGGAAGAGCAGGATCTGAAAATGAAAGGCAGTGGAGATATAAGTGGCTCGGGGGCAATCTGTGATAACAAAGATTCTAATTAGTGTTGCTAAATGATTCATAGACATCAGCGAGAGCAAGGCGGAGGAAAGAGACTTCAGACTTTTACCTCCACCTAAGGTCAAAGTAGGAGGGAATCCTCTTGGGGTTGGACACAGATGGGTTGCAAAAAACTCACTTTTTGGGCATCCATGAACATCATGACCCATTTTCTGTCCATTACCAAAGACCCCTACATGGGTAAAAAACAAATATCACGAGGTTTCTCTGACTTCCCCAAACCCTCGTCCTCTTCCTCCCATCCCCCCATCCATCTGTTTTGGTACAGTTCATCCATTAATAAAGACGCCATCCTTTCATTTTCTATTTCGCTCCTTCTGTATTATTTATCCATCCATCCATCACCAGCGATGGTGGGCAGCCGTGGCTCGGATGTCGTCGTTCCACCTTCCTCTTGTAAATGAGAGCAATTTTACTGAGAAATGAAAACCTCGACTCAGCCATAAAAGTGAAATATGACCCACGTTACTTTATGACGAATTACGTTTGAGAGTTTCAAACTGCCAAAGTAACAGTTTTTTTATGCTTATTCGTCAAATCTGGGAGTGGCTGCTCACCCAATTCATAATATTGAGTTCAAGATGGACGCTCTAAATGTCAGATAATTTTTTAGAAAGCAGCGTAAAAATACAACTTGCTGTTCACCAATACATTTGTTGACTGTGTGAATTTCCATGATAATTCTCAAGAAACTGGAGGGTCTGATTGATATAATTTGGCAGTAAGCAGATAAAAACTGCATTGACTTGATTGATAGAATAATATTTAAGCACACTTAGTGTTTAGTCTATAATCTAGAGGGCCACATAAAAAGCTACGGCGGGCTGGATTTGGTCCACGGGTCTTGAGTTTGATTCAATTATCAACTATCAACATGTACACTACAAAAACTAAATCTTAGCACTAGCTTCTAGTGCAACTATCTTAACACACTTAAATTAAGACAGAATTTGTACATAAGTAAAACAGTATTTGGTAAAAAGTCAACTCAAGTACGGCATAACCTATCAAATTATCAATCATTTAATACTTAAAAATTACATCAAAATGTCAAGAGGAATTGTAAGGTAGGAAATTCTGGTATTCTAAGGAAAAAATAATAATAATTCAAGTAAGAATCTAAAAATACAATCAGGCAAAAGAAAATGTTTCCAGATCAGTTTCTTTCAATAAAAATCTTAAACTTTGAGCAAAAACTGCAAACTGTGTCTAGTGATTTTTTGGGGTTAAAACATGTTTGTTTTTCATTCAGTGGGTAGAAAATCCACAAATTTTACTCAAGTAAAAGTAAAAATCCTTTTAATAGTTACTCAAGTAAAAGTAAAAAGTATAATGCAGTAAAAATACTTCTTAAAGGACTTTTTTTTAAAGTTTTGTCTTATCTTACACTCACTCAGACATCTGTACTAGAAACTATACCAAAAAAATCGGCTACTTGGTAAGATTTTGTGTTTTTGTAGTGTATTAACAGCAGAATAGCAATACAATAATCAATTTGTGATTTTAAGATTAGAGTTTCTAATCTTCCAATAAATTGAAAAACACGAAGCAGAAAAATTTTGTGACATGTTTCCCAATTGTTTTAAGTTTCAGGGATCTCCTCTGATCGTTTCCGTCTGTCCAGTTAGAGGATCTTCTTGGCGCTCAGCAGCGTTCATTTCTGCATGTCAAATGTCATTTGTGCATTAGCCAGAAAGGCCAGGCAGACTGCAGTGAGTGGGAGTGATGGTGAGGGGAAGTGAAATACTGTAAAGTCATCTTCGAAGCCTCTCAGAGACCGAAAGATTTGATTACCGCAACGGACCAGAAACGGAGAAGACGGATGCAGACGGATGCAGATGTGAAAAGAGCATCTCCCCGCCCGGCTCTCCCGGAGAAGGAAGTGGCAGGAGATGAAACCCGAGGCGGCCGGTGAGACATGCAGGGAGAGGCCTGATGACGACAGCAGCGCCGGAGGGAAACCTTCACAGCAGAGAGGTCAGAGAGCCACATCTGAGGAAAGCCTCTGAACGCTCCATCAAAACACTTCAGGGAGCGTAAATATTTTAAACTGAAACAATGATATTCATTTTAAATATGGATGAACATAAAAATCAACTGCTCTGCTTTTAAAACACAATTAATTCCCAAACTTGGGTTATTTAGAGCCCGTCTTTCACCCTGAGTGCTGCGGGTTTTTAATGAGGAAATGACTCAAATGACAACGCAGCTCTTCGCTTACTGCAGCCGTCAGTTTTACAGCAGCCACTAAAGTGGATTTACCGCAATATGGTGACGTGCTTTCGCAAAGTAACGACTCAGGTCCCGTTTAATGATTCTGCAGGCAGAATCAAGCTTAATAAAAGCCAGAATTTACATTTTATTGTGATATTCAGAAAATTTCTTCGGGAATCGATAACAACTAAACAGATGCGATCAAATCCACAGAGTTGTTTTCTCAGGTTTTTATTTTGTTTATCTTACGATCTTTCTTTTACTATCATACTGTTTCTGATTGGCTTTTCTCTCCTTTAATTTGTTTTGTTTGTTTTTTGTCTTCACATCATGGTGAACGCTGGAAGATGAACAAACTGCACAAAATGAGCCCAGTAGTTTTCAGTTATCATGCATTTAAAACACTTTGACATTCCCTGTATTATTTGTGCCTTTTTTCAGATTTTCCTGAGGATTAAGACTAATAAATATTTGCATAAAACTTATAGGGTTTTTCTTTTGAATTCACTGAAACCCGTAATTGCAGATTTTCCAGGAAATGTGACTAAATTATTCACAGAAAATGCAAATGTTTTGTCTTTGGAACATGATTCCAAATAATTTGCAAAAATATGCAGAAAATTCATGTTTGTTTTTTTGTAGCACATTTCTCCACATTATTCACAGAAAATTTTAGGTGTTTTTCTATGTAACATAACTCCAAAATGTGGAAAATTAACCTATTTATAGATTATTCTGTGAGATAGACTAAAATATACACAAAAATTTTGCGTATTTAATTTTTTTTCTTGGAATGTTACCTGGGAAGATGAAACACCTAGCTATAGCATTACCTGGCAGGCTATTGGCTGGCATTCTTCAAACCAGCCAATCCAGGAGGGCCATTTATTTCCCTACACTCTGATTGGCTGAACTCCCAGTAAGGCAGAACATGGATGTTAGATGTTAGATGGTGGCACTAAGAAGCTCTCCTGTGGATATTAGTGCATATTGAGGTATACTTAGTGATTTAACTATTAAAATTATTTTTGTGGAGATTAGCTATTTACTGGTATTTGGCATTTTTGGCCCCCAACCTGCATCCAGGAGTTTCACTTTACATTGAAGTTTCTGCTTGTCATGAAATTAAAATGGATTTTGTAGGGATCATATTATCCCATTATGTGTTATTGATAGATTACCATCATTAACTTGTCATTTTACTATCTAAAAAACAAGATAATAGACATAAAAACTTGTTTCATATGGGAGCTTAGCAGATAGAAAACTGTGAGCAACATTTCCATCTGTTGTCATCAGCAATCAATACTGCCAGTGTTGAAAAATGGCTGCCACGGTTATCCATATCATCTCCACCTCCGACAATCCGTTAATCAGCCGAACTCCCCGTCGAGACGACGACGACAAACTGGCGGCTGGACTGTTTCTCCTAATGAGGCGGCCACAGATACAGGCCATTACTGGAACTCCCCCCGCTGGATACTGCGGGCAAAACCCAGACCCACAAACACTGGGCATCAGGTAAAGACCCAAAGGAACCGCTGGTATATGAATGAAGTGACATAACAGCTAATCCACAGGGTGGACAAAAAATGAATAAATCAATCCAAAAACAAGCTTTTGTTGGCCATACATCAGCTTTGTCTGTACTCTATCATTTTCATCCCAGACTAAATTTTAATAGCAAACGAACACCATGGCGTTCCACGGTTTTATTTTAACCAGAAACAAGAAAAAGGAGGAAATAAAAAAAGGGACATAAACGCGTTGCATAAACTTACATTGTAGAAACATTTTCACAGTAAGTTTCAGAAACATAAAACAAAAAAACAGCAGATGATCACCATGACAATGAATATATTAGAGATTTCCATGATAAAACTGATTGCACTGTACAGTAAAACCTTGAATGTTTTGGTTTCCTTTCAGAATAACAAAGTGAGTAAAATAATTAAATAGTTTGTCTAAAATATATGATTATCAATTAAAATAGTTTGTAATGGACATTAGATTATGTGTTTTGGGGTTTTCAATTGAAGATGTTCAAACAAAGGTTTATTATGGCCATTGTAAATAGAAAAAAGGAGTAAATTTCTGCCATAAAGCAAAAATTTTGAGATTAATCTCAGAAATTTTCAAGAAAAATTTGGAGATTGACCTCAAAAAAAAAAAATTTGAAAATCACATATGGTCTAGCAAAAAAACTGAAAATTTCAGAGCATGAAAAATCAAAATTATATTTTTTTGTGTGATTAATCTAAAAATCGTTTTACTTTTGGAGCATTTAGTCACCTCAATTAGTGAAATGATGCCTCGAATTTCATCTATTATGAAACTTACTTCTAGATTGAAAAATGTTTCATTAAATAACACCAAAAAATATTAAAATATTTCAAATGTCATCATTTTGAGAGTTATTGAGCAACTCTAGAGCTGCTGATAACTCGGTTTATTGCATTCTTTGTCTTGTTTAAAATCCCCCCTGAAATTTTGTGTTCACTTTTTGTGCCTGTGGTTGTTTTATTTAATGAACTTACATCAAAACTGCACCGTAAACATAAGACTGAGGGCGACGCCACAAAGCGCAGGAACTATATCAAGACCTAAAACTTGGACACCAAAGTCATTTGGACCTGCTCAGTAAAACAAAACAACTTGTATATCTGCTTTTTTAACAGTGTTAGGTTTTAAAAATATTCCAGCAAGTCTTTTATTGTTTCAGTGTTGAGTTTTCACATAAAGAAAAAGAAAATATTTAGGCTCAAACATGAACTGATTTTGGTTTACAGTGTTTCTAATCTTACAATATAAGCCAGTTGTGACTGGAATGTGTTTTTAATTCATATAAAAGTTAAAGACATTGTATATTTACACTAATATATAGAGTAGTTGATCAATATTGATAAACTTAAAGTATAATCTCTAAATAGTGGTCGCTTGAAGAGAAATTCATTTAGGATTTTTGCAATAAAACACCAAAAAGAGATATTCCCACCTGATTAAAAATGGAAATGTTTCCATTTTTATGGAAAATTACGGCTGCACTGAGAAAAATAAATAAATAACAAGAATAAAGTCAAAATATTACAAGAATGATTTTTTTCATGGAATACTACAACTTTACTGTGGTATTATTTAAACTTTATTCTTGTGATATTATGATCTTATTCTCATGTTACTTAGATTTTACTCTGCAATATTATGACCTTATTCTGGTACATTTTTATTCTTGTATTCTTATGACTTTATTCTCATAATTTTATTTTGTTTTTCTAAGTGTGGCTCGTAAAAAGCATCTATTTTCCAGACATGTTCAAACAACTCACTTTTTTGTTGTTCCCTCCTTGTGAAAAACATTTTGGTCACCCTGTCAGATATTACCACCGGTCCAGGGCTTGAGAATGAGGTCAAAGGTCACCACACGCGGCAGGACTCCGCTCCTCGGTTCATCACCGATGACTGAGGACAGTTGAATGCTTTCCAAAATTCTTCGTAGTTGCTCATTGCGCCGATGACTCTGGACGGTGACAGAAATGTAAAAATTAAATTTACAGTTTTTACAGCGACTTCAGTCACCTTATAGCATTCATAGTGACTTTCTAACATTCACAGTGACTATAGCATTCATAGTGAATTTACTGCGTTCATAGTGACTTTATAGCATTCTTAGTGACTTAGTAGTAATTTGTAGTATTTATAGCGACTTTATTGTGACTTGATAGCATTCACAGTGATTTTATAGTGAATTCAAAGCATTCATAGTATCTTTATAGCAACTTTATTATGACTTTATTGTGTTCATAGTGACTTTATAGAAACTTAATAGCATTCATAGCCACTTTATTGTGACTTTGTCGTATTTATAGTGACTGTATTGATTTTATAGCATTCATAGTGACTTTATAGTGAGTTATTTCTGTCTGCATGTTTTCTTTCTCACCTGTATTTGGGAGGACTGTGAGCTCCACTCTGGATCTGCTCTCTGGCTGCTTCTGGTCTGTATGAGTTACATCTAACCTGCAGGATGAAGAAATACTGAATAAGACTTTCACTTAACTATAATTCTAATACATTGACAAATCTGCCTTCACATTTACGCCAGCATCTCTCCAAGTTTCACTGCAGAGCAGAGCAGTCATAGCCCCACAAACACAAATAGCGCTCTTGAAAAACACTCCAATTTGTAAAAAGAATTGTGACTTGTTTCATAAAACTGCACATAGTAACTGCATTTTCACATTTATTGAACAAAATAACATTAATCCTGACAAAAAAGGACAGTTCTGGTTTCTTTAATCATCATTAATTGGAATTTATTGCGACAATAAATTAAAATTCTTGTAAGAAATGTATCAAGGTAAATAAAAAACACTGACCCTAAAATGTCATCAATGCAATTTTCTGTTTTATATAATCAAAACATCTGGAATCACTACCACTTGCTGAGGATCGATTTTTAACTTAAACCCATCTATCAGCTTCATTCGACATAAATTATTTAGAAATGAAGCATTTGTGTGTGTGCTTACATGCGCATAGCTCAAGAAAAACAGCTGATTGTTGTTCAGTTCCAGTCCTGGCAGCAGAGGCTCCTCCACGCCGCCTCTACTGCTGTCCACCCACCGCCTGTAGGCCTACGCACAAACAGAAAAAGAAACATCCACTCACCCAATGCCGAATTATGTCCGGATCATTTCAGGCAGTCCTGATTAATCGGAGCAATGATTACTTTTACACACAATTAAGTTCAAAATGTCTGGACTTCAAGAAGTATCACCTTGAATGCTTCTCTGATTCCCCCGTTGTCTGCTATGTTTTCTGCCAAGGTCCTCTTACCACGCACCTACAAAACAGAATGGAGTCACACTTATTTGCATATTGACTTTGAATTCTTTTATAAGGAAGCTCAGTTCTGTTTTCTTACATTTAGACCTGCTTCTTCCCAGTAGTATTCATTATACTGATCAATCATACACTGGGTCTTATTGGTAAAGGCTGTTACAGATGTCTGACTCCACCACTGGTCCAGGTTACCATTTTTGTCATATTTGCGACCTTTTCAACATAAAAACACACACACACACACTAAAACAAATGTGTTAGAAATTGGTTCAATTCAAAGTGTTTTTGGCCCATTAGCTTTTACCGTTGTTATCGAAGCCGTGAGTTAGCTCGTGTCCCACTATCACCCCGATGGCGCCGTAACTTAATGACCTGGAGAACACACAGATGAAATGATCCAGAGGTTACAAAGTGGAAAAACAACAAATTTAAGTGAAGTAGCAGGAAAATAAATCACATTTAGACAAAAGCAGATGTTGCAAGACATAAAAATGTCTTGCAACATTTTTATGTTTTTAGCCAAAAAGCTAACATTTACGCTAATAAAACAAGCTGACATGTGAAAATGTTTTAATAACTGCGAACTAGTTCATATCTGTTAAAGTAAAGATTTAATTCTTTAATGTGCATCTAAATATATAGGTATTATATGAAGCCAGAATTTTATATTAATCCTACTAAAACAGAAACTAGCTAACCGAATTTCCACGGCTAAAATAAATAAAAGTGTTTGACGACTTTTCTTTTTTCCTGTCGTTTCTGGCTCTTTGCAGCTGAAAGTAGGAGACTCTGCATTCTGGACAGGTTAGGTTTTCTATGAGAAACTCGTGCCATGAAAATCCTGCAATTACTTCTGCCAAATAAAGCATGAGGAGGCGACTCTGCCCTGCTAGCAGAGCATGTCGGATTTACTTAACCTCACCTTGGATACTCCTTTCCCCAGAAGAAAGGCTTTTGAAGCTCTCCAGCTGGGAATCCTGAAAAAAAAAAATATATAAAGGTGAATTTCTCTCAACACTTTTGTTTTCTGGATTTTGTCCAAATAGCCTCTATAAACGTTTAAATTCAGAAATTTTCTCTTATGACTGAAACCTTTAAGACTGAAAGCAAAAACACAAAATCCTACTAAGTATGTTTGTTTTGTTTCTACTGAAAATATATCATCACATTGGTAATAAGACAAAAGTTGAATTGACACGATAACTAATTTTTCTCAACAATAAATTGTCCAAGAAGTTATTGCTATAAACAATAATATTGTCATTTTGACAAAATAATTTGATGGTAATAATTGCAAAAATAATGCAACAATATATTCTCAAAGATCAATAAACTTTAAATTCTAATGAACATTTAACACTGGAACTGAAAAACATTTTAAATATCCAAAATAAATTAAATTAATTATGAAGACTCTGTAAGCAAAATTATCTTTTGAAACCAAAGCACCAAACTGAAGACTTTAGTCATCCAGTTTCTGGTAGAAGAAGAAAAATCGTGCAAATGCAAAATATTGAATTTACAATTAATTAATAATTTCAACAGCCAAACTTTTCTGCAAGATATTGGAGATTGTTTTAACTAATCAATTCCTTAATATTGATGAAACGTACTAGCTCTACTAACAGATTATTTCACTTATAAGACATTTTTCCCCATAAATTAAATCATCTCCCAGTACTTTTTAATCAATATTAAGAAAATATTGACTCCAATATCTTGCTGAAAAGCTACTTGTAAGTAATTTTTTTCTTCTTTCTAGCATACTAAGATATTTGCGCTAGACGCTAAACCAACAATACTTTGTAGTCATGTCCTCACTGCAAAAACACAAAGTCTTCAATCAGTTGAATCTTTATTTAACTTTGTCTGAAACCTTATTTACAATTCGTCAGGCAAATGAGCAAGAAGAGAGAAATATCTCCCTTAATGAGCGCGTTTCTCCACCCACATCACGTCTTACTGATTTGATTTGTGGATGAACTGTAGAAGGCGTTCACGGTGGTTGGGTTTGTAAACCATCTGAAAAGATCAAATATATATAAATACACAACAAAGCGTGTCAGCTGGGATGTAAAACAAGAAAAAAAAACATTTGTGTTGCAGTAGAGACTCACTCTGTGCGTGGGACGCTCCTTCGAAGCCAGGAGACGTCTGATTGGGCGATGAACTTCAGCGTCTGCATTACGTTGCCGTAGTAATCCTTTTCATTGAACTTTAGCTGAAACGGAGAAATGCAAAACATTTCATGAAGCAAACAAAATGGAAAATAATTGCTTCCTTTACTTTTGCTTTTTTACTTGGAAAAGAAAGTAAAAGTCCAATAAATGTCAAATTGAGTCCATAACTCAACCTATGTTTCTGGTGTGATTTGTAGTCATTAGTATCCTTGGTTTTTTTAGTTTTCTAAAGTTTTTTTAAGTTCTGATGTCTAATTTGGAGTTTTGGGACCAAAAACAAGAACTTTTCTAGTTTTTTTCACATTTTGAGTTTCGGTAAGGGAGTGAATTATGGTAATATTTTATACATTGAGTGAAAGAAAGCTTGGAGAAATTTAAAATAAAAGTTGCCCAAGAACAGAGCCTTGAGGAACTCCACTAACTAAATATTATGTAGCCATTATATTCGTCTTGTTTTTGCAATAAATGCACTGTAAGTGTCCTTAATGAATTTGTGTGATACAAACCTGTTCTAAGTCTTCTGTGAGGTAGGTATCATTCAAAATAAACTCTGGATACCCAACCTTAGGCAGGACCGCATGAGCCTTGAGAAAATAAAACACAAACCGTAAAACATGTTTGAATATGAATGCATGTGGCAAACTCTGATTAACGAAAATAATGTTTTGATTTAAATGTGATTAAAATAAAAACGGCTTAATGAGGAAAATAAACCGTGGTGGTAAATTACTTTGGTTCAACCTAAAATAAATTAATACATTTCACCAATGAAACTGAAAAACTACAGCAGCGTAATTGGGTGATTTTAGATATATAGAAAGGAGTACATTTCTGTTAATAATCTCAGGAATTTTGTGGGGGGAAATTTGTGAGTTTAAAAACGTAAAATTTTAAACTCAGAAATTTTAAGATTGATATCAGAAATTTTCTAGAAAACAACTTCAATTTCTGAGTTTCAAAATTTTAACATTTTAATCTTAAAATGCACATTTTTTCTAACAAATTTTCAACTTTTAAAATTTATATTTCCTCGTCTTCTGAGATTAATCTCATAATTTCTAAGATTATTCACAAATGTTCATTTATTTTCTAGAAAATTTTAAACTTTTCAAACTCATAAATTTCCTAAATGTTTCGATATTTGAGCTTAATGTCAAACTTTGAATTTTTTTTCTTACATATTTTTGACTTAAACTCAGAAATTTCATTGCTTTTTCTGTAAAAATTCTGAGATTAATCTCCAAATTGATTAGTTTTTTTCAAATAAAATTGTCAAGTTTTATTTAGAAAAGAGATTAACCTCAACATTTCTCAATTTGTAATTTTTTTAAATTAATAATTGCTTTCACACAACTTAGCAGAAAACGTACGATGTTTTAACATTAAAGTTTTGGGTTTTTAAGTACAAATAAAAAAGATCTATAAATCAAACCCTTCTGAGTTTCAAGAAAAATGGTTGCAGTTTCATATATTCTGTTTTTCTCCAGTTCTTCCAGGAAAAATCAACTTAAATTCTAACTGGAAGTCTAAAGAAACCCAAAACGTTTGACCAAAATCCCACATTTTAAAATAATTCTGTACAAACCGTTTGAGTTTAATGTTTCTGACCTTTTCTATGGCTCTCTGTTTTGTTTCTTGGTCCATCCAGTCATTTTCCTTCTCCAGCAGGTCGATGAAAGCCCACCGAATCCCCTCAATCAGCTCTTCCATCTGAAATTAACATGCAAAAAAAGAAAACCAATGCACAATTTGACAGTAAAAGGCAGGGGCACTGCATCCTGAAATATATCTGTAGAGCGTAAAGAGATGAAGAACCATGAGCTTCTTGTGCTCCTGGAAGTGTTTGTCGACGAATAGCCGACCGGTGGCGTAAACCAGGGAGTTCTCCACATAGTTAACGCACTTATCCCAGCGTGGAGTCAGAGACGTAGTACCTGTGGTGACCTGCAGGGGGGCAAGAGTCAGCGTTTCATTAGAATTGACTTAATTAATAAGTAGAGATCAGAATGTAGCAGCTCGATTTAGTATCTTAAAGACACGGCGGATCTTAAATTTGAAGTAAAGCAAAATGTTTTCATTCGTCTGCAGATTTACATGTACAAGTTTTAAGGTTAGCTCTCTAATTAATATACGATTCAAGATACAATGGTTCGATTTAGATTGTGTTGAAAGGGTCTAGTCAAAGTCCAAATCTGAATAAGAACCTCTGAAAACTCGACTCTGTTAAATCTGACTGGGTTTGAGGATTTTTTTTGGAAAAAAAAAAAACGAACAAATTTTAATGTTCAGATTGTTTTTCTGCTACACAAAAGAAAAACCTTCAGCTGAAGGCACATTATTTTTATTTTATTTCTTTAAAGTACTGATTTTGTAGTTTTATTGGTAGAATATTTAAAAACTATACATTCACATCCTTCTACTTTAAAGTTATCCACTATTTTGTTTCAAATTCTTTGTTTCAAACAAAAACTTCAATCTTTTTCATTTGGGTTATATGCGATAGACAAACTAGTTTTAAAAAATGTTTTGCAAATTGATTAAATGATGCGATTTATCAAACTCAATAAGCTCACATTTGGCATTTTATTTTGTCTCTTTTTTTGTACTTTCAGTCTTTAATTTTTACCACAAACTCCATTAATATTTAAATTAAACAGAAATAAAATATTTAGTTAAATGAGTAAAGTTGCAGTTTATGCTTTTTCTATTTGTTTCTTGCTGCAACTTTTCAGGGGTTAAACTTGTTTTAAAAGTTTAACCTAAACCTTTGAAATGTGACAATAAAACAAATGTATATTTTTTAACATGCAACGTTTTAGTTTAAATGAAAATTGTGTGGTGGGATTTTATGGAAAGCTAATCAGGCAAACAGGGCCATCTGTTGGAGGCTCCTGGTACTGCATTATGTCAGACAAAATGCAGTTCCAGTCAAATTAGAGCTTAAATAAACAAGAAATCCAGATCTAGTGTTGTGTTTTCTGTACAAATTAAACATTTAACTGAAAAGATGGTCTGTTCAATCAGAAAAACATCTAAAACATAAAAAATAGCAGAACTGAAATCACCTGCACTAATCCTCATTATTGATGGGTATTTTTTATTACTACAAGATATTTATTTGCAAAATAGAAATGCTTCATCATGTTTATTTTCCAATTAACCTACTGAAGTAAATTCAGAGTTGTGCTGAGAGTACAAACCCGAGCGAAGTCGAGGTATCTGTAGAGGAAACGGCGACTCAGAGTGGTGATCTTAGAAAACACCGTCCTCCACTGGACATAGTTAGCTACCGTCCTAAAGAAACAAATATTTACAAGAGAATGAAATCCTTGTAGACATTGGTCATGTTTCAGAGCAAAGAAAATAAATATATCAGAGTGAATACACTATTTTTACTGAAATTAACGTTTTTGGACGTAAAGAGGAACAATTTAGAGTCAACACGCAGCTTCAGTTATAGTTCAGTTACAGTCATAGCAGTGATGGACCTGGACCTTCAAGGACACATAAAGACAGTTACAAAATCAGCCTTTTATCACCTGAAGAACATTTTCAGAATTAAAGGAGTAATGTCACAAAAAGATTAGGAGAAACTTATTAATGCGTTTACATTAAAAAGTTTAAGAGAATCTCAGGTGTTGGTACCTGGCGTCTGTGCTGTTGATGAGCTTCATGAGATCCTTAAAATACTTTGGGGTTCTGACGATGACGGGCTCGGAGGAGGAAATGGAAAGGCTTGGATTATCTTTGGACTCCACCACAGCTTTCACAAATCCAAGCCAATCAAACTGGAAACACAACAACAAATAAACATTTGTCAGTAAAAAAAAGTGGCAGGAAGAAAAACCAGGATGAAGAAAGTACATTATATTGTCATATAAATGCAAACTGCATGACATTTGGTCAGGTTATAGTTTTCATTTCTGCTCCTAAAGATGTCTTATCCAGATCGTCTTTATGGACCCTCTGCAAGTTATTGTTTACATCCGGAAATTTTACACATGCTCCCAAAACTGGAGCAAAAAGACGATTCTTTTACATGCCATCCATGGAGCCGCGGTTGACTAAATGAAACCTGGAGATCTAACTGTTAATAGTTTAGTGCAGTGCGCCACAGCAAAGGGGAAATAACGCAGAAAACCCGTTTAAGAACAACTCAAAACCGCGTTTTTTTCCTCGCTATCTGTGTCGGCTGCGCGGCATGCGGACTTGTTATCATAGCAACTGAAAATAACGCCACGTCAGGTTTCAGGATTCGACATCAAAAAACATTAAAACATTTCCCACAAAAAGAACAGGACGTTAAACCCGTTACAGTTTTATATTTTTAGGCTTAATGTTTATATTGCGACGAATAAGTGATCACTGTTATTAGCTAGCTTAACTATGGCGGTTGATTAGCTTCCGCTGCTATTAGCAAATCTAACACTGCGGCGGTTGATTAGCTTCCGCTGCTATTAGCTAGCTTAACTATGCGGTTGATTGGCTAATTTAAAGTTCAGGCCCCCCTTTTTATTTTTTATGTAACACCATAAAAGAAAATAGATTATAATTCATCCGGTGCACAAAAAGAAAAAAGATGGGGACTTTAATTACGTAAATTAACCTATTTCTGTATTAGAGAATAGAAATTCTGAAAATTTATGAATATTTTTTGCAAAAGCAGATTTGAAATGTGGCTGGAGAAAAAAAAAACTGATTGAAAAAATGTTGAAACATAACACTTTTATGGGAATTTGTGAAAGATCCTTGTTTGTGTTTCTTTGGAGCAAAATGACAGAATCCCAGACAGTTAATGGTTATGCAGGTGGATTTCCCAGTGACCTTACTTGTGGCATGGAGCGCTGCAGCCGGGACAGCGTGTATTTGTTGTACATGTTCTCACTGGTGCGATTTTCATAGGGAATCAGGATCTGCACGTACAATGAGAAGCATTTTCAGACAAAAATATGAGCATAAAACTTTTTTTCAATTAAACTGTCGGACCTGGTGTGTAATTAACAGTTTTACTGAACCCATAAATCTCAGACTTATTCAACTGATTTGTATTTTGTTTTTACATGAGCAAGTTTGGTCTCGAAGTCGAGAGCCTTTTCCATCTGGGTCTGCGCCGCTTGCTTTGGGGCGCCCAGCATGATGGCCGTGTCCACCATCAGACTCAGCAATGCAGCACGATTCTGGAGAGAAAGAGTCAAAATACATGAGGGAAAACTTTTCATTTTGTGGCAAACAAAACATCTTTTCTGTACGCCACAGCAAAGAAGGGTTGAAATAATGTAATTTGATCTAAATGGTGGCAAGGCGCGCTAAATGTGATTCATAAACTCACCCCTAGAGCAGAGGAAGTGTTTGTGGTGTAATCCTCCCTAGAAGAAAGAGACAAGGACGCCTGATCGAGCTGCAGGAACAGAAAAGCAATAAGTTTGCTGCTGCATCTTTCAGAGTTTCTCTGTTTGTCTAATCATTTGCTAGACCTGGTCAGACTTGCCTGCATCTAATTCACAAAGCAAATGGCATCAGAAATATGAGGATAAAACATTTTTGGACTGTCGGACCTTGATGATGTAGTAGGAGGAGTTTTTGTCGTCAGGGGAGACGTAGAGGCGGATCAGGACGCTCTTGCTGTGCTGGGTCCTCATCTCCGCCAGCGTCTTCAGGAGACTCCACTGACTCTGAGACCACTGGTACTCCCGGCCCAGTCCGTCCCCCAACACCGGCCATCGAAACTCAGGCTGTCGGAGCATTTTCAGCATCGGTCTGGCGTCCAGTTCCTCCAGTATGCCTTTCAAAGAAACACATCAGTATAGACATCTGCCTTTTATCTCTGCTACATTTTAGTGCAACAAATAATATTAGACAAAACGTAAGAAACTAGGCAATATATAATGCTGTGAAAAAGCTATCCAAACAAATCTAAACATCTTTTTAAGCTATCAATCTACTGTGATTTATGGGTTAATAGCACCAGTCAGATCTGCAGAATAAAGAAAATCTTGAAATAAACAAAGTTAAAAGGCTAAAAGGTCTAATAAAAACAACAAATTATGCCACTATCAAAGAAAGTTTAGCATCTGCTGCAAAAACAAAAGGTTCTTCTAACACTCAATGATCACTGAGACTTTTTGGAAAACGTCCCGTAAACATGATTGGCTTTATTCTCCAGGACCAGATTTTTACAGAAAATCAGGAAAAGTAACAGTGATCCAAGGAAAACCAGCAGGTTCACAAAAAAAAAAAAAAAAAAAAAACCTGGAGAGGCCTAGTTAAAGTCTGGATTTAAAGCGAATGGAGGTGCTGGAACGACTTACTTTCATTCATGCAGGAGCGGTACAGGATCTTGGCTTTGGTCACGGCCTGCAGCTCTTTTGCGTCCGAAGGAGATTCTAACAACTCTGGAAGATAAAAACCATTAAAGAGTTCATGTCTCCAAAATACAAATAAAGAAGAGAAAATATATGTATGAGGCTTTATTTTAATTTGTGATCAGTAATACGAATAAATGAAACAGACATCTGTGTCTTTCACTCAGGGTTCTGTTCAAGTTCTGCATCTTTTCAAATCATTTTAGTTTCGTCTAGATTTTATATGCAAAATCAAAGCTGATTGGGCCATTCAGGAAGGCAGAGGCAGGCCCGACTGAAGGCCTAATTAAAAAAAATTAAAAATAAAAATGGACTTAAAAAATGCAGCAACTACAAGTTATACGATTGCTGTTCATAGAACAAGTACATCGCAGAGAAACTCATGAAATGTTACTTAGATTTAAAGGGAAATGGGAACATCTGAAGGCTCAATTGCATCATAATTGAACAAAAGCACTTTCACCTTACATTTTTCAAATTGTATTTTAAAACATCCTGGTCAAGTTCAATAGTCTTTAGTAACTGAATCCAGATTACATTGGCTTTATTAACAGTGGAGTGAAGGGATGGAAGGAGGGACAGATGGAACATCAAATGGACAAATGAATGGACAATTATTTTAATTGATGGATTGTTAAAAAGACAAAGAATGGATGGACAGATGATAGAATAACAGATGGCTGGATGAATGGATGGCTAGAGAGAAAGACAAATGGAAAAACGGATATATGATCAATGAGATGGATGGATGAATAGAAAGATGGACGGATTGAATGGATGGACATATCCCTTAAGTAATGGATGGATGGTTGGTGGATGGATGGATGGATGGATGGATGGATGGATGGATGGATGGATGGATGGATGGATGGATGGATGGATGGAGGATGGATGGATGATGGATGGACGGACGGACGGACGGACATATCACTTGATGGATGGATGGATGGATGGATGGATGGATGGATGGATGGATGGATGGATGGATGGATGGATGGGACATATCACTTGATGGATGGATGGATGGATGGACGGATGGACATATCACTTGATGGATGGATGGATGGATGGATGGATGGATGGACGGACGGACGGACATATCACTTGATGGTTGGATGGATGGATGGATGGATGGATGGATGGATGGATGGATGGATGGATCCACCTTTCAGTCGGATGTCGACATGCTGCCTCAGCCAGGGGTAGATGCCATGTGACGAAGAGTCTTCAGGAATCGTGTTTTCCTTCAACCAGCCGCCGCAGGAGAACGTGTAGAAGTCTTCACAGGGGTCGACCGACCGGTCCAACTTACTCAGGATGGACCCGGCTAAGAGACAAATCACAAGGTTCTGATCCAAACGACCCAACACAGAAACCCGAAGACATTTACTCCAGTGCTGGGAACTTCCTCACCTGCTTCGATGCATTCTGGGGAAAGACAAAACTCCTCTTGATTGGATTTCTGAGAGACTAATGCAGAGAAAAACATTTTTAATGGGTTAAATAACTGATATGTTGAAATTCTTTGGAACTTTTCCAACAGTAAGGACTTTTATTGTCCATTTGGGTAATATTTCTCTATTATTGTTCCATGAAACCGGAACCACAGTCCAGCTGATACATCTGGAGAGTTCTCACACAGTATATTGTTACATTTCTCTGAACTGAGCAAAGTTTGAGTGGTTTTATCGGCGCAGAAGCCACAGCCGAAGCCTTTCTCCTGCCTACATCCCCCAGAATGCCATGCGGTTCTGGATCGGATTCCAGACGTATTATTATCCATTTACAAAAATTCAGCAAATCAGGAAAAGTTCTAAGCTGCAAAGATCATTGAATTATGTTTAATTATCTTTCCTTATAACTGAATGAACTTTTTGGCCGTAATAAAATTGTAAGGAGACAGAAAGGGAGCAACTCAAACCACATGAGAAGCTCCATATTTGTGTGGAAACTTGGTGTATTTTAATTTTCCATTTGAAAGCATGAATCATTGACCGTTGATGGCCCAGTTTGGGTTCACCTGTCACATGGAGCTTCAATGCTTGACTGTAACGTACCAAAACCATCAGCCACCCGACCTCAGTGCATAACAGATGCCCTGAGGTCCTTCTGCTAATTTTCTGTTCCCACACATCTCTAATTTGGTTTCATTGGTTAAAAGGATGTTATTCCAGAAGCCTTGTGGATCAAACCCACCACACTTGTTGAGTCATTTTCTAATTACTCTGTCCTGACATTTAAGGATCACAAATTAGGCTTTTGTTTTTTTCTGTCTCTGAATGATTTGGTAAACAGATTGAAAAATCCTCTGCTGGGAAAACTAGAAACTATCCAACACGTTTTTCCTCTCTGTAGAATGACAGACTTAATTTATTAGCTAATACACATTAATTAACATTTAGCTAACCAGAAGTGGTCAGAGGACACAAATTGTACTCAAGTTAGAGTAAAAAAGTCAGTCCTGACTAACTGATCAATCATTTAAAATGTAAAACTCATATTGAGATGGACTAAAATACAAAGTTATGTGGAAATTTTTGTATTTTAAGGACAAAAATGACAATAATTCATATAAGTAATAAAAAATAAAATCAGGCAGAATAATTTTTTTCTAAATCAGTTTCTTTCAATGTGAAACTTGTTTAACTTTAATGTGTGTCTGGTAAATTTTTGGTTAAAACATTGTTTTTTATTTAGTAGGTAGAAAAGACAGAAATTTTACTCAAGTAAAAGTAGAAATACGTCCTAATAAAATTATTCAAATAAAAGTAAATAGTACAGCGTCAGAGAAATACTCCAATTACTACCAATATCTGGACTTATCTACACTATTTTTGGCAATAGATACAAAAAGTATAAATTATAATTATCAACTATCGTACATTTATAATAAAACCGCAGCCTGCGTCTTCAGTCAGAAGCTTCTATAGATCTTCTGTAATACTGACTGCTACACATCCATCAGCATATAGTGCTGCAACTCTTAAGAAAATTGTAATATAAGTAACAACCACATTTAATTTCCCTCTGGGACTAATAAAGCATTTTTAAATGAATTGGATGAGAGAGCATCTGACTTTGAGTGGGAATCTAATTAGTTTTTCCCAATGGATGAATTGACAGTTAAGGAAACTTTTCTCCTTTATTATCCTCCTCTGCTCTGCTAAGTTATCATTACTCCATATAAGAGGGTGAGCAGAAACTAAAATAAAACCACTGTAATCCACACATTGTTTATTCTCCTGGCAGCAGAGAAGAAACCGCAGGTTTACCGGTTCATTTCCGTTACGCGACTCTTTCTAGAAAGTTCGAGTCTCTAACGTCTGGTGTGATGTGGTTCTGTGGTAAACAAGAGCTGTAAAAAAAAAAAAACCATGAAGCAAGCCGGCAGAGTGTATTTGGAGACCAAACTCTTATTGTAAACTGATGACCGGAACAGGACCGGACTGCGCCGTGATGTCTGACCTCAGACGTTTGAGTTTCTTGGAGCCGCTTTGCAGAATCCCTCCACGATTTGGTCACTTTTGCTTCAAACACACACATTTATGTCACCAAAAACAAGCCAGTAACGGCCAATGATGGATGCAAACTCACATCAAAGAGTCAAAGTCTGTTAATTGATGAACCGTGAGTAAATCAAAGCAGAGCGAGTCTCTCTTCTCTCACTCGGCTGGAAACTCAAGGAGCATTTCCATTAGAGTGGGAGTTTGGAACTGCTCGCTTGGCACATAAGATAATTGCACTTCAGTGTGGCCACAAGTATGCAGCTTTCCCTCAATAACAAAAAGACAATACTCACCCCACCCAAGACCAACTCATGAGCCCCTGCAGCTATGACCATCACTGGAACCACTGATGCCGTTTCCATGACTCCACTTATTGGGAAATTTAATTGTTTCCAGTGGAAGAGGATAGCTCATTAGCTTTGCTGCACATCAGGACTTGAAACGCCAAGCTGAACATCCTAAAAGCATTTTTAAAAGAACCTCATCGGCCTTTAAAGGCTTACAGATGAATGTGGACGATTCAGTTCAATCAAATAAGAAATTATGTGCATATTTCTGCACTTGATTTGAAGTTTTTTACCATGTCTAGATCAAATCCACAACAATTCAACCAGGCATATTTCCTTAGATCTCTCATTTAAAGAGGCAGTATTATATATTGTTAACTTCAGTTGTTATAAAACTTCTATATTACTGAGAAGAAATTGTACTTTGTAAATGAACGTCTTAAAATTGGGCCTCTGTCTCTTTAAGAAGCTCCTGCTCGTTCTGAAACTCTGCTGTCAGGAAGTTATCTCAACATTGCTCCTCTATTAACCATTTATCAACTTTTCACTTAGAAGTTGCTCCTATAATGACCTCAGCTGATTTGCCATTCCACCATGTGTTTGATACTTGCTGCTGGCTAGTCTGAAGGAGCAGAAAGGGGGAGGCCTGTTCTGTGAGATTAAAGGATTTCTTAACCATGCATAAAAGAATCAAAGCAACACTCCAGGTATGTTTTTGATGTGGGATTAACATCATAACACGATGTAAACTCAAAAAAGTCGGTTTTAAGATATACTGCCCCTTTAAAGGAGGTCAATTATTCATCACTGAGAAAGTTGGGAATTCAAACAGCAGGTTATGGAGATCCAGGCAGATTTAGCACAATTTCAGACCATAAGACCTCTGAAACATAATAATCCCAGTACAATTAAATCCCACCATTTCATGGTTTGATATTCACAAATTCAAAGATTTTTTTGTTGCACATTTCTAAAAATGGACCTTGGGAAGCTGAAATTACAGGGTGCAGTGGTTCATGATGTGCAATCAAAGCAGCCAATCCTGGAGTGCCATTCATTTTCCTTGGCGCTGATTGGCTGAGCCCCCAAAAGCAAAATCAAGAAAGATTACAAATGTTTCCTACTGAGCATATCAACGTATAATTGGTGTTTTAACCACTAAAGCAGGCAGTTTTAAGCAGAATTTCAAGTTGCTGCAGCTATTTTCAGGTGTTTGAGCCTGAATGCCAGTGGTCCACTGTAGAGATCCATGCCCATAATGACCAGTTTGGGCTTGTTTGCTTGTTTACCAGGTAAAGAACCATGCAGTCATTGATTTAATGACGTGTCACTGAGTCAAAAGTAAAGCCATCTGCCTGGCAGAGGAAAGCAGGAAAGAAAATGTAAATCTAGAACGATCCGTCCAAAAATGACTCCAAATGTTGCAAAATCCAGAACCCGAACAAATGTTGCCTTTTTAAGTCCGTTCTGTCTAAAAAAGGATCAGGGCTTAGGTTACAAAGTTGCATCTGACCAAACATCAAACTGTTGTGACTCATAACTTCTTAAAAATTACATAATCAGACCGATCAAAAGTGGAAATTTTGGCATTTTAAAGACTAAAATGACAATTCATATAGGTAACAAAAAATAATAAAACCAGACTAAAGAAAATGTTTCCAAATCAGTTTATTTCAATAAGAAACTTTCAAGAAAAAACATGTTTGTGTCTTGTAAATGTTTGGTTGTTTCTCTGTTCAGTGGGTAGAAAATCCAGAAATGTTACTCAAGTAATTTTACTTTCAGTAAAATTACTTGAGTAAAATTATTTTACTTTTAGTAAAATTACTCAGGTAAAAGTAAAAAGTGTGAAAATACTCTTTTCAAAAAGTTAAAAGTAAATTTATTGAGTAAATGTGACTAGCTGCTGACCAAGAAAAGTCCTATTTAAGGTTTTCTACAAGTTTGCAGGGAAGTAAACATGTGGAAGAAGGTTTTCTATTCCGATGAGACCAACATGGAAATCAGCAAACCACTTCCATGAGAAACACAGTGATGGCAGCATCATAAAATCAGTTGGTAAACTTAAAGTCAAGAAGAATAGAGTAGAAACTGGGCAAAGATGCGTCCAGAGCGACAGGAAAACTGACTATATCCAAGTTAGGATGGAGTAGTCAAAGTTCAAACATAATGAATCCAGTACTTGTTCATTTGTACACTTCATAAGTGTTTTCATTTTTTATAGTTTATTCTACTTCCTCTCAACTTTTCCTGAACCTGCCGCTGGGACTGTAGATGGAAATCAACTAGAAACAGCCACTGATCTGGTTCAGTACATCTTCGCTTTCTGGTAATAATACGTTACGTACTTTGTTCCAGAAATATAAAGACATAGATATAAGAGGAAGTAATAAATGCACACATGAAGTGAACTAAAAGAGACAATGAGATAAAATTTCCTCAGTTTTTGTGATTTTTATATCATTTAAATACAAAAATCTACTTGTTAATACTAAAACCAGGCAGGTTTTTTCTTTTCCTCCTCCTGCAAAACGGCCACATGAAACCTTATGTGACCCAAAAATAGTTTGACTCATGTTACCCAACACCTCTCCACCACCAGCGCGCTGTTGTTTTAAAACGCTGCATGTGCTACAATCTGAGGACATTTCTGTACCATACAGTAGATTCCCCACAGTTTATAATGTAGGATAAAGGGTAGTGTGTGTGTGTGTGTGTGTGAGGACTTACCCACTATGAGAGCGAGCAGAAAAGCAGCACAGACGCACACTGACATGGCCAGAGCGATCTTGTAGAGGCGATTGGTGCCGTGCTCAGGTTTAGCCCCCCCACCCCGTAAATGTTCCAGCTCCATCGTTCACACACAAAAAAACTAAAATTAACCACAAAAAAAAAGCTAAAATATATAAAACGACACACTGGAAAGTGAAAAAAGTGTTGAGAAATAATAAATAAATAATTTAAAATTAAACTATTAAAAGGTTTTTACTATAGAGAAATTGTTTTTCTAACAACGTCAAGCAGCTTCTGTCTTCCTTCAATCTGTCAAAATTGTGTGCAGCTTCTCTAACTTCACTCTGACTGATCCAAACACTCCTCCTCTCAGAACACTCCTCCCTTCCTTCCTCCATTCCCAGTGTCAAATCCAGGCACCAGTCCTCCCAGTTAGATGAGGAGAGATCCCAGACCCCTCATCTGGTTGCTGTGTTCTCACTTTTAGTGTGCAAGGTGCCACGTTTAATGTGTGTAATCATGTAATCATGTCCAGGACAGCGGGGTGCTCTGCAGGACGTTTATCACTTCACAGAGTAACTGGACCAGAACAGAATCTGGGTCACGTGCGCCGGCAACCTGATTACGGCACGCTAATGTGACGCGGACGTCACCGTTTCTGGTTTTCTTTGAAGGCCTCGGAGGTGGCAACTGCAGTGACACCACAGCCCCCAAATCACTGTGGTCACATCTCTCTTTCTGCACGTGCTCATTAGGGGTTTGGGGCGTCGGCCTCAAACTCCTTATATAGGCGTGACTTCCTCTTGTGCTGAAAAACAACCATTCATCAAGCACCACAGCATTGTTCTCCATTTGGACTTGCAGCTACTGTGTCCTGTTTTTATCTGACTGTGTAAAATCAAATTCCAAACAAGAGGCTCTAAAAAGAGGCATAAAAGTTTAACTGTCCAGATTCACACGAGGCTTTCAAATCAAAATGATTTGATATGAGCTTTCCACATAGAAATATCCAGATAAGAAACCATTTAGGGCCTCCACAGCACCAGGGGGCATCCAAGAGCATCAAGCTCGCATGATAAAATGCATACATACGTTTAAAATAACATTGGATAAAATCAAACAGAACACCATTCAAAAATAATTTATAAATCATTTTATAGTTTTTTTACTCAGATAAGTTGATTTTGTCCTTATGCTGCCACTGCTGGGATCAAACTTGTTAATATTTTTTACTGTAAATTTTGTGTTTACCAGCTCAAATGATTAAAATGTAGAACACTTAAAGATCATGCTGCATTTCAAAATCCAATTTTTTAAAGTTTGTAATGTCATGTAATGTTAATAACAAGAGCCATAATAACACTGGTATGATGTAAAGTTACAAATGGTGCTAATAACAATTGTAAAGAATATGGTGTTGACAGATTCACATTGGGGGCCCCAATAAAAATCTGCCTCAGGCCCCAGAAAGCCTTGGGCCGGCCCTGTTAGAGCCTTATTCCAAATTGCATTAAATTTAAATTGCATTAACTTTCCTCAAAATTCTGCGACTATAATGACTGTTAATGTGGAAAAAAAATTTTTGCAAAAAAAAAAAAAAAATAGAAAACCAAAAAAATCATATGTAAGTCTTTCCATGACATTACAGCCTTTCCTTACACTGTAAGTTAGATTTGTCTTATTTCAACTACAGCCTGAAGTGCTTAAAATTAAAAAAACAGTTCGCCTGTTCTTACAGTTTCAGGTTGGATTGAGTTAACCCTAATGTTAACTTTAGTTACTGCAAATCAAGATATTGTTTTATAACATGGACATGTGAGGCAGCAGGTAATCTCCTCCTTCTGTGTCTGTTTACATGCACCAGGCTATAATAAACAGGATGAGATAAGCAACAGCAACCAGCATTTATATCCGGAAATGTCGCAAATGCGAACAACGCTGAAGGGCAAAACGACCATTCTTTTATCGCTTGCCGTACAGCCGAATAAAACCTGGAGGTGTAGGTATTATTAGTTTACTAAAGTTTGCCACAGAAAATGGGAAATATAACTCAGAAAACCCATAAAGAACAACGTAAAACTAGTCGTATTGTTTTTTTTCTTGCTCTTTGTGTCGGCAGCTACTCGATGCAGACTTATTGCCATAACATCTGACAACAGCGTCATACTTTCCCCACACAAAGAAAAGAACATTCAGTCTGGTACAGGATTACTAATATGATTTTAAGATGATTGTTTACTTTTGCTTTGATTAATAAGTGATCCCTGTGGTAGACTAGCGACCAATGCTATTAGCTAATCTAAAGCAGCGGTGGTAGACTAGCTACCAATGCTATTAGCTAATCTAAAGCAGCGGTGGTAGACTAGCTACCAATGCTATTAGCTAATCTAAAGCAGCGGTGGTAGACTAGCTACCAATGCTATTAGCTAATCTAAAGCAGCGGTGGTAGACTAGCTACCAATGCTATTAGCTAATCTAAAGCAGCGGTGGTAGACTAGCTACCAATGCTATTAGCTAATCTAAAGCAGCGGTGGTAGATTAACTACCAATGCTATTAGCTAATCTAAAGCAGCGGTGGTAGATTAGTTACCAATGCTATTAGCTAATCTAAAGCAGCGGTGGTAGACTAGCCACCAATTCTATTAGTGAATCCATCTGTTTTCAAATTCAGAAATACTTTATTGATCCCAAAGGAAAATTAAATTCTGTAATTAATTAATTCTTCAAAAAGTTACTGCAGAAAGTGATGGCTATTGGAAGGAAAGATCTCTTGTAGATCTCTTGTAGCAGTCTGTATTACAGAGAATTTGAAGAAGCCTCTGACTGAAGACACTGTTTTCCAAAGACACTTTCATGACTAGAACATTCTCACAGACAGGGAAAAGTGACAAAACGGATCCGCTTTCTAAGAATCCAATCTAAACACAAACACATTGTAAGTCCCTCACATGCTGCTGAGCCTCTTATTGTGCAGCAATGACGCCTTAAACGCTGCCGAACCTGCTGACGGCAGGGTCTGCTGCTGCTCTGTAAACACACCTCTGTTACTGAGGTCAAGGCCACACTGTATTTACATGTCTGACGGAAACACCCTCCCTAATTACCATGTGTCATATCTCATGCCCGCTCACGCAGGAAGTGTAATCACAGCCAGACTCCTTCACCACGCCAAAGAGGCTCTGCGGTTTGAAGAGTTTCTAAAAGCGTAGCCCGTCTTCTTCCAGGGCCCAGCGTCTGAGAAAGACAATATGTTGGAGGGTAAAAGCTGCTCTGTAATCTCTGGAGAATCACCAGGCTCTCTGCATGTGAGATTTTCCCACAGACAAACCACTGAGACCACAAGTTTACTTGGATTATTATAGTTTCGTACATCTGTAGTTGTTAGGGTGGAATAGTAGTGGTTGTACACTGCAAAAACATAAAATCTTTCCAAGTAATTTTGGTCCAGTTTCTACTGCAAACATCTTAATACACTAGCAATAAGTCAAAACTATCTTACCCGTGATTTTTCAACAAGAAGTGAGAGCCTGAAAATTAAAAGTACAACTTCCACTGATAGATTATTATTATTTCATTTATAACTCGGGACAATGTCTTGTTATAAGTGTTTATATCTAGCTGAAAAGTTACTGCAAAGTTAATTTTGTCTTATTTCAATTGTATTAATATATTTGTACCAGAAACTAGACAAAAATATTTGGTAAGATTTTGTGTTCGCAGTATACAGTCCGATTAAATCGTTCATAATAATCCAGTTATCTCCACATGCGAACCAAACAAGTACATACATACTGGTTACACTACGAAAACACTAAATTTTACTAAGTAATTAAGATATTTGCACTAAAACTACATCAAAAATACTTGGTAAAATGTTGTGTTTATGTAATAAAACACCACAAGAAATAATTAATAAACAAGCCTACTGACATCTATTAAATGAATTTTGGAACAGCCTTGCTTGTAAATGAGAACCTTTTCTTCAGCAGTGGAGTCTTGTGCAGCGAACATTCAGAGGCAACCGTGATATTATATGCTTAATTTATCTAATTTTGGTCAAATTTGTCAGATTAGCAAGGCTGAAAAAATGGTAAATCAATTACAAAAAACAAAAAGAAAATGTTTTATTTCACATTTTTGACACAATTAACTTTTACAACCAGACTGTGAACAGTGAGAGGTCAGAAGGAAACAGAGAAACCTCAGGAAAAGTCAGAACACAGTGAACACAGAAGGCTTTTTTCCTGCATGAATGCCTGAAGGAGAGAAAGACAGTTGATCTGTACAGTACTCTCGTTTACATCTCGAGATAGACAGAGGTCCACTCAGGTAATTATAATAACCCAAATGTTTTCTTAAAGAGTAATTGATAGTGCAATTTCTCCACCAGTCATAATGTAGATCATGATACTGCTGTGAATTCACCAAAACAGAAACTGAGAATACCATTTAGAACAACTTAATTCTTCTGTTTCACAGCAAAAACACAGTTTGGGATTTTTGGATAACATTTAAATCCAAATTCAAACACCACAATTTTTAAAATGCAAAAATCTGCTCTTGTAAACATTCAGTTGGAAAAGCACATTACAGGAAGCATCCCATCTTCTTTACATGTGTAAGATTTGACCAAATGAAAAAGAAATCAGATTTTAACCAGCCTCTTTGAATTAAAGTAATTTTCTTTCTTTTTCTTTTTCTTTTTTTTTTTTTACACGTGATCCTCCAAAAAGTTAGTTCTCATAATGCAGAAATCACATGTGTCATTGAAGACAGGGGCCCACATACATGAAAGTCAGAATTCTGACAAATATGTCAGAAATCAGCAATTAAATTTGAAATTCACAAGAAAACAAATTGAACTTCAGACGAGAAAAGTTGTAAATCTGAAGAAAAAGTTAGAATTTGGCAATTAAGGTTGAAATTTGCAGAAAAAAAAAAGATTCAGAGAAAAAAGTTGGAATTCAAAGAAACATTATTGGAATTCTGAGGGTAAAAAGGGTCAGAATTATACAATTACACTTCAAATTTGGAGACATAAAAAATTCAGATGAAAAACATGTTTGGAGGAAAAAAACTGAATTAGGTCAGAATTCAGAAATTTAAGTCAGAATTCAGAGGACAAAATTTGAAATTCAGAGAAAACTGTTGGAATTCAGAGAAAAATTATTAGAAATCTCTCAAAGAAAGTCAGAATTTGACAATTGAAGTTGAAATATGGGATACAATTTAATTCAGACATAAAAAGTTGAATTCAGAGAAACAGAATTGGAAGTCAGAATTTGACCATTATAGTTGGAATTTGAAAAAAAAGAAATTCAGAGAAAAAGTTGGATTTAGAGAAAAATGATCAGAATTCTGGGTCTAAATTTGGTAATTAAAGTCAAAAATATGAAGGAATTGAGGAATTAAAGATAAAATTCTTAGGAAAAAAGCGTAAATTCTGAGATTAAATTGTGTGTTGTGGTCCTATTCCTCTTCCGTAGCTTACCTAAGCACGGTGGTGGAAGGAGAAGAAGTCTTCATTGGTCGTAACGGCTGAAAGGCCGATGGAGGGAAAACAGTCAGCGTAAAGTGGCGGCGCTGCCGCGGCGTCGTCGCCTATTCGCAGCAGCTTCACAGTTTGTGGTCAGCAGCTCGTCCCGGACTGGAGATGGACCTCCCTTCGTTCACCGAACCTGCCGCTACCGCGCCGTTACCATCCACAGGCCGAGCGCCACGTTAGCTGCTAGCAAGGCGCTGCCGGCTAGCAGCAGGAAGAAACCGATCAGCTCGCGCTTCTGGCGGTCAGTTACCACGGTAACCAGCGTGGCCTCCAGCAGGGCGTTGAGCATCCACTGTCCGTCCAGGGCGAAGCAGGGCACGGAGTTAACGACGGCCAGCGCGCCGGAGAGGGACACCACGTACCTGAGAGGAGGGGGGGCTCAGGAAAACACCGACAGGAACCGAAAACCACTGAACTGGGATCGTTCCAGTTCAAACTGGTAAACATTTAGACGTTCCAGTCCAAAACAGAAGAACTAGCTAGCATTGAGCTACTTAGATAGCCTGCTGCTAGAATATTCGACTCTAGCAAACAGGACCGACTCCTTCAAGAATAACGGACAAATATCCAGACAGAATGACGCCAGAAACAAAAAACAGACTTTGGTAAAAAAAAAAAAAAAAAAAGATTTAGAAAATTTTAGATTAATTTCAGTTCTAGCAAATATTTGACATTTCAAACTCAGAAATGTCAATTTTCTAGTACATTTCTGAAATTTTTGGGTGGAAATTAACTCATATTTTTTATAACACGTCGTCATAACTTTTAAATAATCCTGTCGCAATGTGAACGTTTTTAAGACTAATTTGCACTTTTAAAATTAATTTAAGGAAGCAAGGGATATTTATCCAAATATTAGTGTAGTTTAATATAAAAGGTCTAAAGGCTTCATCTTAACCAAGAAAATTGCAGTTAAAGGCTTCAGTGTTTAATTCAACAAACTTCTTTTAGAGGCAAAAGCTGCTAAAGACATTTTATTTTTCTAACTTGAGCTTAGATCTGAAGTGACGGCACATTCAGTCTAAAACACAATGTTCCAGTCAGCAGCAGATTAAAAAAAGTCTCTAAATTGGTGTTAAATCTGTTAATCAGGGGGAATTTAAAGCCTTTCATGGCTGAAAAGCTCTTAATCTTTAAACTGCAACAAAGAGATGCTTAGATTACTTAATCTTGCCGCTTTATGTTGGTAGTAAATAAAAAGGATACTTTAGGAAGGTCTCCATGAAGACGGGCAGGTCCAGGTGGAGGAACCCGAAGCGGGGCACGAAGTTGGTCAGACTCACTGGAGGAGACAAAACAGGAAGTAGAAACAACACCTACAGCGTCCAGCCGGCAGCAATTACCCGGATTATGATGTTTACACACAGGAGAGTCTTAAAATTACACACTTGACAGAGGAAATAGTCAACTTTAACATTTAAATTATTACCAAACTGGCTATTGATAACTACTTACATTTACTTGAGTGACTGTTTTGAAAAATAAAAACACACTTCTAGGAATATTTTTACTCCACTGCACTTAGTGTAATTTTATTAAGTGTTTCTACTCTTACTTGAGGAAAATTTCTGGATTTTCTATGAAAACTATGAAAAACAAACATGTTTTAACCAAAAAGTCACATAGACCTGCAGTTTATGCATCATAAGTTTTTTATTCCAAAAAATTGATTTGGATTTTTTTTCTGACCTGATTTTGTTAATGATATGAATTATTGTCATTTTCATCATAAAAAAACAAAACATTTTCACTTTACATTTTGGTCCATCTGATGTTGTAATTTTTAAACATTAAGAAGCTGATAATTTGATCAGTTAATCAGTATATTTTTTTACCAAACATTTTCTATTTCACTTGAGTATTTATACTTTTGGGTTCTGCCTCTGCAGGCGGCTGGACGTACCGGCGTACTGCAGGTGCGGCGGAAAACCTACGAACAGCATGTGTGGGCTGGGCGGGTGAGCCACGCGGATGAAGCGGGTCTGGTTCTCGAGAGACGGGGTGACGCAGACGCTGGCCGAGTTCACGCCACAATCGTTGTCGGAGCGACACGTCGCCGTTCCCGTCACCATCTTCCTTACCGGCATGCAGGCGAACTGCGGGAGGCAAGATGTGTCATTTCCTGGTTCCCTCCGCTTGTTTGGTTAATCTTATCAGCGGCAAGTTGAGACAAAATGTTTTCTCTGTTTCTCTTAACAGTTTCAGCACAAAATGTTCAAATATTTTGGTGCTTTTGACTCTAGATGCATTAGATGTTTGGTCATAATTGATGCTTTTGGTCATTTTCTGACCTAAAAGGAAGGTTTTTATTCAAGTAGCAACTTTATGTATGAAGGAGGATCAGGGAAAATAAAAATGATAAATTCTGACTTTATTTTAAGAATCACAAGAAAAAATATACCAAATTATAAGAAAAAAAGTCAAAATTACAGGTTAAAAATTTTTTGAACTACAAAGAAAAACATTTTTTGAAAAAAATTAGAATAAAACAAATCTCAAAATTACAGGAAAAAAAGTCAAAATCCTGAGAAAAAATGTCAACATTTCTTTTTTCTTCCCAACATTCTCCAGTAGTTAATAATCTCATTCAACCCAAAAGAACTAAACGGTTCTGCTGAAATCCCAGGTGAAAACAACTAAAAGCCCAGGAAAGTTCTAAAATCTCTTAAACAAAATTTTCTACATTTTGTCTTTTTACAACAACAGACTTTAATGTGAATCAAAGGGGTGTAAACCAATGCAACACGAGTCTATTGGATTGTATTGATTCATCACATTTGCTGTATATAAATATTAAATTTTTTTATCTGTATTTTTTCACTCTTGGTGCTTCATGTTGAACTTGAAGCCTAACATTGACAATATGGTGACAAGAAAACATTTCACACAGTGATTAGTAGAAGCAAAACTTAAGACATCAAAGTATAAAGAACAAAAACTTCTGCTGCAGGGGTTCAGTTTTGATGAAGGTAAAACTTTGACAAAACACAGCAGAGGAAAATGAGACCATTTTATCCCAGACAGAGAACTGGATTAAGGAAGCAATCTAGATGTTGCAGCTCACATGAAGAATTAGTCAGAAAAGGCTGACTCTGCATCAATGTGTGTGTGTGTGTGTGTGTGTCACCTCTCTCTCCCTGCTGTTCCTGCCTTGTGGTTTGATGTAGGAGAAGCAGAGGTCTGTCAGGCTGTTGTTACTGCAGCAGTCCATCGTCCCGTCCAGACGCTTGAAAGCTACCACAGAAGAAGAAGAAACTTTTTGTTGACAAGTCTTCTGGTTCAGAAGCTGCTTTGATATCTTGTTGTTTTAAACAATGCAATGATTATACTTTTAACTTTCAGGACTGATATGGTCGATTGGATGTGAGGATGGTTGGATGGATGAATGAGTGAATGGTTGGATGGATGGTTGGATGGATGGATGGTTAGCTTCATAAATTAATGGACAGATGGGACAATTGATTGGATGGACGGTCGAACAGACGGCTGATTGGTTTGATGGTTGGTTTCACAGACAGATGGATGGTTGGTTGGGTAGATGGATAGAAGAATGGATGGTTTGTTGAATGGACACATGGTTGGTTGGTTGGACATTTGGATGGATGGGTGGTTGGATGACGGTTGTCCATTCAGTCTGTTCTGAATGAAGTAACTCTCCAAATCGTACATTCTCTTCTTCTAACCAAAAATCTTCATTATATCAGGAGAAGAAGAACTAGAATGTTGACTGAACAACGGAAGGCTCCCAATAAAACTTGAAGCTAACAGTTATAGCGATGCGTTCAAGGACATCCTGTTGTATTTTTGCAGCAACGATGGAGTCACTCACGTCTGCCGTGAGCCCAGCTGGGCTGCAGGCCGGCCGCCGGGACGCAGTACCCGGTCTGCGGGCCGCGGGACAGCTGGAACAGGCAGGCGGCCCAGTCCTCCACCCCCCGGACGGGGCAGTCCTCCAGGCGCGTCACCAGATCCCCGACCGACAGACCCCGGGGGCCTTCTGCCGCAGAACCCTGGGGGAACAAAACACAGCACAAAATATGATGTCTGTGCTGGACTCCGTCCTAAAACAGCAAAAACAAGCAATAACATTTCAGATCAGCGCTGCAGATTCAACGGCTTCCTGATTTCCTGCCAGAACAAGAAAAACAAACGACACCTGCTAACATCTGGAGAAGGAAGTTTTTTTTTTTTATCTGTTTATGTAACGAGGAAAAAAAACGTCTAAACAAAAGCAGAAGGAAGCGGAATATGAAACCTCATGTTTATCGTGAAATTTAAATATTAACAGAATCAAAATTTATTGACTAAACACTTTTAAGCACTTTATTTAACCTGAAAGGAGAGGAAATGTTAAGAGACTTTGTGGGGAAAACGGCTCTCCAGTACCAGTCAGTCGGACTGATTGCAGGACTCACCGGCACGACCTCGGTAACCATAGCGCCGACCCCGGTGGCATAGACAGGAAACAGGAGGACCGGCAGCAGGAAGAGGAGAGCCAGCGCCGCCACGCACAAAACAAAGTTATGCCAAACTCCTGGAGAAAGAATATGGTGGAAGTTCTTGGATTTGATGCGTTAAATGAAATATTTTTTGGTATTTGCTCCTCTTAATTGATTATTGGAGTAGATAAATGGAAAATTGTCTATTTAAGTTTTGTTTAATTAAAAGTCACCAAATAGCATAATTTTTTTTTTTAAATAAAATCACATTTCTTACACTGATTCATATATTTACAGAAATATAAAGACAAACCCCCTAAAATTTTCATTTGGTTAAATGAGAAATTAAAAAAGAACTTAAAAAAGCTTCATAATAAATCTAAAGAGTTAAATCAGACTCTCCAAAGCTCTCACTTCAAGTTTAATGCAAGAACTGAACGTCTTTAAGCTGAATCCTCTGCTTAAAGTCGTATGTTGTGACTGAAGAGAAACCGCTGCTCGCTATAAATAGCCGTCTATACCATCTCAATTATGCAAGAAGCTTTGAAACCACAAGAGAAAACGTCTCACGGTCTGATGAGTTCAGGCCCAATTTCTCAACCTCTGCAGACATATTTAAAGAAAAGGAAATTTCTCTCATACCAGAAAAAAATGTGAGCTACAATCAAGTTCTTCATCATCACTTGTCTGATGCAACACAAGAGTAAAGAAGCTATTAAAGTTCGTCAACTGGAGTAAATAATGTATCTGATGTAAAGGTCGATCTCACATGGAGAAACAAACAAACGCAGTGCGTCGTTATGTCACCGCTCCCCTGATGGGAACAGCATCCGCCTCGCATCACACACCGCACGCCTCGCTCTGCTCTCTTATTTTCTCCTCAGAAAACCAATTTGTTGGTCAGAAGGCGATAAATGGTCAGAGCTGCTCTTTACTGCCCTCTGGTGGTGCAGAAAAATGACTAGAAAAAACTCAGCAACTTTCACAGGTGATTAAAAAGATAAAAAAATATTCAGCAGTATAAATAAACACTTAAATTTGCCATCTTTGTTCTGTTCAATATGACAATTTATCAAAAATATGTATTTATTTTTTTGTTGTTTTCCCTTTTATTTAGGCCTTTCAATAACAAATCTTAATGGATGATAAATTGTCTCCAAGTTATTGCGACAAATAATAGTGTTGTTTTGAGACCATTTTCAAGTGATCTAATGTAAATAATACAAGGATACATTCTAAACGATCAATATCTGGAACTGGAAGACATTTAAAAAATCTAAATAAATAAAGAAAACAACAGAAACAAAAAGTAAAATTAATCTGTCATGTGATTAATTGATTTGTTGATTATTAAACATGTCTACTCTTATTACATATTTTTTGTTTAAATATTATTTTCTTATTCATCCACCCAGGCTCAATCAGATTGGATGAAGATCCACGAACATCAGTTTTCTAGTTTGCTCACTTAAAACTGGCTGGGATTTGACTAAGCCATTTAATTCGTCCCAGTTTTCAAATTCTTTGAAAAATTTAATTTTCCTCCCCAATTATGAGCTCCTTTGTGTTGCGCCATCATATAAAATTCCTCTGAAATACATACAAGTTTGTGGATGAAATATGGCAAAACAATAAAGATTTAATCTTAAGAGGTTTTATAGGTTTTATTTTTTAGTGTAGTAGTAATTTTTATAATTAACAGATGCAGCACTTCAGCTAAAATATTTGGATTAATTTGCAGATTAGACACACCTTTAGCTGCAGACTCGCCTGTTTCATCTGTGGCAGAAATCACTTTCATGCATGACTAACAGCTTTTCTCAGCCAATCAATTTATCAAGCTTCTATTACATTAATTGAAACTGAAAATATTTTATTTGATGCAGCTGTCTGCCACTCTATAATAATCTGGTTGACCTTTGGAGTCAAAACAAAGTGATTCTAATAACTGTGATTAATAGATGTGATTACATTAGCTGGCAAACAAAAATAGGGCTGCAGTAAAGGGTTGTGACCAGAGGGGGCGCTTCTAGAAAATTAATGAGATGAGGGAAGGAGAGTGAGAGTTAAAATAAAATTTGTATTTAATAAATAAATAAAATTAAAAGAAAGTAAACATTTTTAAATTTTCTTAAATTAAGCATTTTTATTTAAAAATGCAACTAAAAGTAAAAAATAAGATACTTTAAAAATAAATTAATATATTAATTATATTAATTTAACTTTATAGGCCAAAAATAAATAAAAGAAAATTTAATTAATTAATTGGAGAAATATTTATTTTTACTTTAAAAAGGTAATTATATACATTTTACTTAAACACATAAAAATGTATTTAAATTATTGAATATATCAAGTATTTCATCAAAAAAACTTTTACATTCAATTAAACTAGGTTATTTTTGTAATATTAACAAAAAATGTTACTGTTAACTTAAAATTATCAGTAATATTAAATAGGAATACTAAAAATAAAAGATACAATGCTTCTTAATTTTGTTACATTTGGTTATTTTCAAAAAATAGATGATTGAATATTAAGCGTAAAAGTTTTAAATCCGACCTGCACAGAATATTCTGAGCTGCTGAGCAGGAGAGATGAGGTTGAGGTGCGTGGTGAAGAGATCCACAAACGCCCCAGGATAAACGACGAAGACGAACATGCCGAAGCCGTTCACTCTCACAGACTCCCTATGGACGAAACATTAAAACACGTCTGAGGATACACAATCATAGCATTAATTAAAAAAAACAATGAAAGAACCTTCACTGTGTACAAGATATAAAGAACTAGATCGTTAAAATGTTTAAAGAGGAACAGATGTGAACATATCCAGTCTCCTGAATCTTCTCTAGTATCAGATTCTCATTGTACATTTTTGTAAAAATGTAAATTTTATTGAATGACAATGCTTTGCAATGTTAAAGCATCACTTCGCAGATGGCAATAAAAGCTCAAGCCTGTTACAGTAACACATTTTGCTGGATGATAAATTTGGCCAGAAGTTATCACGATAAACGATAATTTTGTTGGTTTGAGACAATTTTCAATAATGATAATGACATAACTGACATAACTCTACAAAGATCAATAAAATTATGATAATGTACAAACATGTCTTATGAACATTTAACACCGGAAATGGACGACATTTTAAATATCCAAAATAAATAAAATAATAAACCACAGAAACAACACATAGAATTAAAACTGTAGGTAGAAAGAGAGAAAACAGAAGAGCTATAAATGATTTAGTGTCTAAATTTATCATTTAGACACATTTTAACATTTTTCAGACCTTAAATAAGAAAAATACACAGCTTAACTAAACAAACTAAAAATAGAATTATACATTTAAAAATATAAACACTGAAAGAAATTTCCTTCCAAGGCTCCAATAAGAAATAACTAAAAATAAAAAGTATAAAAATGAACTAAATGAAAGTGTAAAAGAAAAGTACATTTATGAGAAACATTAAGTTTCAACAGAGAGCACCACGCCGCTTCGTGCTTCGTGTTTCCTACCTCAGCGCGGCCACAGCGTGACCCAGCTCATGGATGACGCCGCTGAGCAGCAGAGCGATGAAGAAGTAGGCCAGCTGACTGGTGGGCAGGTTCACACCCGGTACCTGAAAACAAAGTCACAGAAAATCAGGAAACCCTCTGGAGAACCAGCAGCGTCATCTGCAAATGAAAGTTATTGACATATTTTCCTTGTTTTCTGCCCACCTATTTACAGAGGCTGTAGCGTAACACTCCGCCATGACAGACGTCAAAACAACCAAGCCTGTCTAAAAACAGGCAACTGGTGTCCGAAAATCACGTCTATTCAGTTGATTTCATTTTAAAAATGGTAATAGGATGCTGCGTGGTCGGCTGCATGAAACCAAACTTGTCATTTTATAACTTTTACTGAGAAAAGATCCAGTGGCTGTCAATAATAATGACTGTAAAAAGGTTAGTTTCCTTTTTACCAGGTAAAAAGACTAACATTTATATACTTTATAAGTATGATTATAGATATCAAATGTTGCATAAAGGAGAAGGTACTCGATTAGTAACATAAATTATGTGGTGGAAATTCAGGCAAATCGTTAATTTCATCTACACATCAGGAGGGAGGAGGTATTGGTCGTTTTCTAAGCTAGGTGTTTTTTTGTTTTTTTTTTCAAAAAACTTAATCAAGTAATTGTAACTAGTTACTACCCAACTCCGCATTTTTCCTGTTGAAGGAGTTTCATTGTGAGCTCTGCTTTCTATTATTCTGCTGCCTGAGCCAAGCGTTTCCTCCAAGATGGATTCTCTCTTATTAAGAGTCTGCTAATGGCTTCCCATGAATCAGAGCCACAGGTCTGAAGGGAGCTGCTGCTCACATTAGCAAACGCCTATGAGACATCATGGATGATTAAAACAGAAAAAAGGAGAGAGGAGCAGGAAATGAGCTCCTGGTCGTCAACAACGCACAGTTCAGAATTCCTAGACATTCATGTTTTCATTAGCTTTTGTATGTGATTTTTAAACTGTAAATACAAAAAATTAATTTGAATGAATAAAAATTAAATAGAGGTCAGAAATGAAATATAAAATCAGTTAAAACCAGACAGGAAGAGAGAAGAACAGAAGATTGTTTGGACGGATGAATGGATAGATGAATGAATGAATGAATAAATGGGTGGGTGGGTGGATGGATAGACCAATTGATAGATTAATGGATGGACATATCAATAGACAATAGATGACTGAATAAATAGATTGGTGAAAGGACAAACAGAATCCTGATAGACTTAAACTAAGTGAATACATTCGCATATTACTGACAATTAGCCCAAACATATCATACTGTAGTTCTGTCAAGTATTCATACATGCCTTGCTCAATGTGGATGGAATTTAACTACGGACTCATAAATAGACGTACCACCACCTGCAGGGTCTGCTGCCCACCAATCCGTGGGTTGTCTGTGGTCATCTGGGCATAGGTCTGCTGCAGCGTCTTCACCAGCAGCACCACCGATCCCAACATGGCCGCCACACCAAACACTAGACCACTGCTGAACCTGACACACACACCAGTTAGTTCAAAGGTCAATCAGCCAACAGTTAGGAACTCAGTGACAGGGATTAACTTTTTAACTTTTGTTAATTTAAGTAATTGTGTATCCACACCAAAGGTAGAGGGCTCGGGCGTTGATGCGGGCGCAGTAAGCAAACAGCCGGTTAAACATGGTGGTCTGCCATCTCACGTGAAAAGGAGACAACATCAACCCTCGGCTGGCCAGCCACGACTCGTAGTTGATCCGGTGCAAGGCAGATGACTGCAAGAAAGTGATCCGTCCAAAAACCACGTTTTTAAAACGGATGGTTATGTACACCAACTCAAAACATCACAATAACACTTGTATGTATACACAATCAGGTTAGAACTAGCGCCTCGTCTGGAGCTATTGTGCTGAGGTTTTAAATTTTACCCAATGCCAACATTTGACATATAAAATGCGCCACTTCGATGCTACATAGCTTTCTGGAAATACCTGCTCTATAAACAGTTATCCTCCAATGCAAAGAGAGAAGTAAAGAGCAAAGTAAGATGACTGTTAATGTTAATGAAACTTTTGGAAATGTGACCAACACACTCCCAAGTTGCTATCACTAAAACTAAGCAAAGATTCGACGTCAGCGTTCACGACTTCTCATTCTGTTCGCTGATTGGCTCAATTGAAATTCAGTCAAATCCAAGTGAATGGGAGAAACCCCAGACTGAAATGTGACGCAGATTTATATCGAGTGGGATAGTGTTGGTAAACAACGGCCAGGCTAATGCATGTAAGTAAGTTATGTTCGCACTGACATTAGCCAGCATTAGCCATCCCACCCAAATGTAATATACATTAAGGTTTTACAAACCCTAAGTGGCATGTACATTAACTGTTGGATATTATAATACAATTTAGGATTGACCTAAATATGTTTAATTTTTAACGGAGGTAGAACAGTAGTAGTTTAGACTGAAATAGCCCTTTTCTACGGATGCTAACCGCTAACTGAGGCCGCCAAACACGACCGAGCCTCGTTTTTCACCCCCCAAAAATCTCATTTCCTGAGAGCCAGTTCAATTAAACACAAATACGGTTAAAATTTCACCCTGAGAAGCGTGTCGGCCAGGTAGACAGCACACCAGCCTGCCATCACGAACACCAGCAGGGACACCGGGATCATGGTGCGGCTGTCAGAGGACTCTCCGCGGAATCGAACTACCGAACTGCGGCCTCTCCATTGCTCCGTTTGCGCACCGCAGAGTCGCGATTAGACAGCTCGAAAAGCCGGCGTGTTTCTGCAAAACGCCCAAACAGGAGATAGTGGGTTTGTTTACAGCGGAAATGAGACACAAGTCACCGGCTGGTTCCTCTTCTTCTGCTTCGTTTGTGGTAATCTGAGAGCGCCTTACTGCCACCTAGCGCTGGATGTTTCCTGAAGATTTTAGATTGAAATGGAAAAAGTGTTGGGTTTTAACTGACAAAAAGTTTGATAAAAACGTTTTAAAATAAAAAAATTTACATTCTATTTTTAAAAAATCGATCTGAATACTTTAATGTCAGTTCACACTACATTTTTATAAAATGAAGTGACTTTATGGGTCAGAGAAAATGTAGAAATGTCAGTATTCTTACTCTTTAAGCTTGTCAACATGTTGTCACATTTGAATAAGCTATTTCTATGTGTTTTAGGTCAGAGAGGAAGTTTTGGAGAAGATAAAAACAGGGTTAGGATAGAAAACAATACTCTAAGATTCTTAAACATGTTTAATTGAAAAGTGCAAATGCTGGAAACACTAAATTATTTTTGCTTTAATGTCTTAATTTTACATTCTGTTTTTGACTCAGGGGGACTGAATACAAATGTGAACCACATGTTCTGGATGTGTATTTGTCAAAAGTGAATTGCTTTTCTCCAGTTTTGTCATACATAATTCTGCTCCACTGTGAAATTCTATAAAATACATGAAATGATGTCGCTGTAATGAGACAAAATGGGAAATGGTTCAAGGAGTGTGGGTACTTGTGCATGGACACTTCGTTGTCTATGGTGTCAAATGCTAAAAATAAATAAACTTAGACCAGAGTAATCACTAGAGCAGTGGACATGGTGATGATGTAAGTCGGTCGCTATAAGGAAACTAGCTCAGACGCTGACTCATTAAGCCAGTGAAACATTAAACTGCTAGTGGATAAAAGCCTGTTGGTTTAGTCACTTCATATCTTCACTGCAAATACTCAGAGCCTGCAGTACATATCCTCATTTGGAGACTTTCAAAATCATAAATGCATTTACAGCTTATTAAAGCTGACGTAAGCCTCTCTTAGCACATCATCATTAGCATTCACTAGCTAGCTTTTAATTTTCTTCTGTTACCATCATTCTCAGGCTGATCTGTGATTTTACAGCAACTTCACATTAGCTGAAAAATTAAACAACTCTAGCCTTAGCAAATAACTAGGTTACGGATTTTTATAGAAACTTCCCATTAGCTTGAAATGGCACTTTTGGCTAAGCTAATCTAAAATAGCAACTAAACTAGCTAGATTCCTGATTTTACAATGGACAGTTGACCAGGCTGTATCCTCTTCTCGCTACAAATGCTAAGCTAATCTGAACTAGCAATTAGCCACTAGCACTAATATGTCAGTAACAATGCCCTGTACTTCTATCACCACCTCTATTAAAGATGAGTAAAGGATTTAAACTAAGCCCATAATTTTATCTGTCGAATATTGTAAAATTTAGAAATATATATGGTAACACCTTTAATATGATTTAATGAAAGTTTAACATTTTAACATTAGTTTAACAGAAAATGGTTAAAAAGCCATTTTTAGAGCTTTAGGACTCAATCATTTTGCGCCAAAAATTATTTTATTTTATGATTCATTCATGTACTTTTCCTAACTTAACTTTAAATCAATAACTCCTGAATACAGATGAAAAAGTATTGTTTCTGCTGATAGATTATTTCACTTATAATATGGTAAAATGTTTTGTTATAAGAGAAATAATCTGCCGGTCATTATTCACTTTAAAGTTTAAAAAGCTTCTATATTGCTGAAAAGTTTCTTGTAAGTCTTATTTCTAGTGTGCTAAGATATATTTACAAGAAACTAGACCAAAAATGCTTGATAATACTTTGTGTTTTTGCAGTGAAGGTTGCGAATAAATGCAAAGGGTTGCAGTAGCTGCTCCTTAACTGCAGTTTAACTCTCTGCGGTGAGGATGTTTATCTCTAAAACACCAGACTCCTCGCCAACAGGTGAGGACAGCATGTGGGCTGTATTTGCATATGTTGGAATAAATAACCAGGCTGCAGTTTAGGGTTTCTCATTTCACTACCAGGACACACAGCAGCTCCATCTGACCGGCAGAACCGACCCAGAAGGACCCTGGAGGTTTGTTGTGATGAATGTGGGTCAGTTTTGACAAAGGTAAGTGAAATGGGCTCATCATCGACTCACATTGAGAGGGAGGGCTGAAGGCTGATTTAAGTTGTGTGATGCTGGGTCGGTTTCCACACTTGGAGGAGTCCCGTGTCTACCGGAGCCAATCAGGACGAGCTGAAACGGGTCAGGTAGCTGGAGAGGAGCTCAGAGAGAGCGAGGCCGGCCAGAGCAGCTACGCACAACAGGAGGTAAGACAACACACACACGATCACACACACCTTGAACTCTGCCGGATCCCTCCTGCAGCTGCACATCAACGTAAACTTTACATTTAAAAGCATCGAGTGGCTCCGTCTCGCCCCTCATGGGCGTCACAGCAGAATTAGGCCACCGCCTTTTCAGCCACTGAGATTAAAGAGGAGATTTATACGCATGTTATCTTTTATACTTTGTTTTATTCACATTTATTCTGTAAAAAGTTTGTTTTTCATTTAAATTTGACAATTATTTATGAAGTCACCGTAGTTAAATATTCCAAATATGGTCTTTTACTCAAAATTAAAAATAAACGAGTTCAAGCTATGTGTAAAGAAATTAAATCTTTATTTGTTTATTTAATAATAATAATAATTGATTAAGTAAAATGTCAGAAATAAAATTGAAATAAGAAAAAAAAGTATTGTTATTGTGTTTTTTCTGACATTTTATATATATTTCTTATATCTATATCTAGAAATAAATACTTTAAAAAATACATATAAATATTTTATCATTTAATAATAATTAATTTATGGTGAAGAAGGAATACAGAATATAAAACAATTGAGTCCATCAACATCCAGATATATTTATAGTTACACTTTAACTTCTATTCTTTTCAAATTAAACATATTCAATTCATTTATATTCACATCAATCTAAAAACCACTGACGTCGTTTTAAAGCAGTTTTTCAGTTGTTATGATCCGTTTCATGGGAGAAAGTGAGAGTGGATAGAAAGCAGGTCCCTTCTGTGCATCACTCATCTATTTATAGAGAGAACAAATCCTAGATATGAGAGGAATCCTTCAGCCACAAACGAGGCAGCGGCAGAGAGGAGAGGCTAAAGAGAAACACGTAGAGGCGTCAAGTCAAAGGAACCACATTTAGGACTCGGTGTTAGACGGCTGTTCCTTCATCCGCTGGTGAGTTGAAGCTGCTTCACGTTTCACATCAACTACAAAAGTTTCAGATCAAAACTCCGCCAGAGTGAACCTAAGAAAGAAATCTGTATCACGCTCTGATCTGATCTGAGTGCAGTGAATCCAAATTAAATTGCATAATTTGGTGTTTTGTAAGCTAGCTGTGCAGCTGCTGACCCAGCAGGTCGTTGCTAGGCAACCAAAGAGCGCGTGAGTTGGTTGATCCCACAAACATTTATTTTAAGCTAGCTGGAAAAGTTTAGCTACATTTCCTTCCCATAAAGCTGAACTGAATATTTTATGGAACGTATTATCTATTAATATTGATCGCTAAAGTTTGGCGCTCTCGTTTTGTTCAAACTTAATAAAACAAAGCGGCCATTTTAGCCTCAGAAACATTTAGTTTTACAAAAGGCTAATAAGCATGTTAATTATTTAATACTTTGCAATGTTCGTAGCTTTATTTTTTTAATTTTTGTGTCTAAAATTCAGCCTGTTCTGATTGTTTCATTCAGTTCTCCTGATGCTAATTATTTCATCCACTTTCCAAGTCGAAGGCGTTTTTGACACGTTTCCAGGACATTTTGATTCCTGAAACACCCTGAGGAGCATTTTATAAACTCCTCTTGTTATTGTTGGGCCAGAAAACCGAGTCTAAAAATGACTCACTATGTCATTAAGATTTCAAAAACAAGTGAATAGGCTCTTATTTTGTATGTCTGTTGTAAAGAAACACAAAGTTTGATGCTCCTTAAACAAAAAGTTAACTTTCTGTGGCATAATTAAAACATTAAATGTTATATTCACATCATGACATTCATAAAGTATAATAATAGCACACGACTAAACATTCCTCGACACGAACGCAAAAGATCCAGTTTGTGCACAACTGGTTTGACATAAAATCTCCACCACCTGCGCACAGAAAGCAAAAGAGAAACTTTATTAGGAAGCAGCTGCTTCTCATCACGTAACATCCCACAAGCTTGTGCATATTTTGGGGGGAGAGCGGAGAGTTTTCCCTGTGTTGTTGTCAAACAGCTCCAAGGAAACCAAGGGAGGGAAACGTTTCTGGTCCTCATCGCTGCAAACAGACTGGATAAAAACACAGACGCCTTCGAGCAGGAAGAACTACTGAATGAAAAGTAGCTTTAGGAACGAAATAAATACTTAAAAATGACTCATAGTTACTCAGGAAAAGTATGACAGAGTCACTGGAGCTAGAAAAACAAAAAGAAGGAGTACATTTTGAAATGAATTTCATAATTTTTGAGAAATTAACATGAACATTTCTGAGTTTCAAAAGTCCAAAAAACATTCAGAGTTTTTTCAAGCAAGTTCTTGATTTTACAAACTCGGACATTTTCAAGTCCTTTTCTTAAGAAATATGAGATTAATCTCAACATTTCTGTCATTTTTCTAGAAAATGTTCACATTTTCCAATTTAGCTGAACTCATATTAGTTAAAAAAAGAGCAAAAAGTGAAGAAGTCGCTGTGTGGATGTGAATAGTTGTTTTAGTGATTTTTCTGACTTTTCAGTGTTTAAACTCTCCAAACATAAACACCCAAAACGCTGAACAGTTTGCACAGAAAACATATGAATGGATCCAACAATGTTTCCCTTTATGCCATCAGAGGTCCAGACTGATGATGCAAATGTTGGTGCATGTGCAAATTACATGAAAACAATGGTTTCAGTCTCCTCTGTATTCTTTGGAGTAAAACTCACCGATGAAAATAGACATTTACAAACACTCCATAAAAATATATCCATTTATTCCTCAATGTGTGAAGAGAAACTGGCAATTATCTTTGTGAAAGAGAGACTGTTTTTAAAGAAAACTTTAGTTTCTAGCTTCTTGAAATAATTATTTTAACTGTAGGGTTTTTATGTCTGCAAATTCCAAGTCAAGTAAAATCAGGCAAAATATCAGGATAATAATTATCAGTTCAGTCAGGAGGAATGAGCCAGAATTACAGCAAACAGTTGTGAGAAGCTTGGGGAGGAAAAGTGAAACATTTCAAATTAATTCTGCCAAATACAGAGGAAATGTAAGAGTGCATGAGATTAATGATAGTTAGAAAACAAAGAAGCAAATTTATACCAAAAATACAAAAAAAAAAAAACAGAAATTTTAAGATGATTCTCAGAAATTTTCATAGGAAGAAATCTGAAAAGTCTTGGCTCCAAAAGTAAAAACATTTGCTTGACAAAATAATGTCAGATTTTTTTTTTTTAGAAAAAAACCTCAGAATTTTCTGAGCTCCAAAAGTAAAAAAAAAAAACAAAACTAAGAAATCTTATTTATCTCAGAATATTTATTAGAAAAGAGATGGAAATGTCTGAGCTCCGAAAATAAAAATAAATAAAATGTTTGAAAAAAACTCTAGTTTTGGAAAGCTCAAAAGTCTTGACTTTTGCAAGTCTTCTGAAATTTGAAACTCTAAAATTCCAAGTTTTCTCCATATTTTTCTTGAATTTTTTACTTAAAAAAAAAATCTAGAAAATTTCTAAGATTAGTTTTCAGTTCTGGACAAAATAATTTCTTTTTGTTCCATCATTCAGCAAATGTTAAAAACTTTGTCAAATGTAAGTCATCTAAAACAGAAAAGTCTGGTTTTCTGTCAGCCAGCGGGGAAAGAGTGTCTGCATGTAAATGTCTGGTTTCAGACAGTTTGCATGTCCTCTGCTTTAAATCGTTCATTCTAACCCTAAATACTGTGATAATATAGCACTGCATGCATTAATCCACACATTTTTTCATCTTTGATTGATTGGTGTGACTAATTTATTTAATTACCACCCAAAAGTTCGCCCAGAGGTCAAACCAGCTCACTTTTATTTTGACAGGATTTCTGTCTGCTTCTCATGAAAGATTCAGAGAACAGTTCCTGTACCTGGTTTTCTTTGTAAGAGTCGCTAAGCAACTGTAATGGTATCCCGTTCCTCAAAAACCGCTGTCCCAGTGCGCCCAGTATCCTCCCAACTCACTGGTGGATGTGTTGGATTTCCCTCCTGCAGGTCAGCGGACTCACCAAGGCGAGGATTATGTCCAAACCCGTGACCAACGTGAAGGCCTTGCAGGTAAATGACTTTCCACTGCAAAGAGTCTTTTCCACATAAAGGTATTTATTATTACTGAAGGTTCAAACAGTGCATTTACAATATCAAGGCTTTTTTTGTGCAAATTTGAGAGCGAGGCAAACATACGCAGCTTTAAATGTCAAAACAAGTTTTATTCACTGAATCCGCTTCTTATTGTGCTCGTTTTCATGTCTAACCATGGGATAGGCGTCGGTACAAACAGGAAATTCACAGCTCACACTGCAAAAACACTAAATATTACCAAGTAATTTGGTCCAGTTTCTAGAGAAAATATCTTACTAAACTTAAAATAAGAAAAAAATAACTTGTAAGGAACTTTTCAGCAAAATATAAGAGCTTGTTTTTTCAATTGCTGGATTATTTCACTGATAATATGAAAAAGTAAAAAATAATCTGCTTTTTTTCCTGCAATGTTAAGGAATTATTTACCTAAAATAAGCTCCTACATTTTGCTAAAAAATTACTTATATGTTAGTTGCGTCTCATTTTAAGTGCAGTAAGATATTTGCACTAGAAACTAGACCAAAATTACTTGGTAATATTTCGTGTTTTTGCAGTGCAGACTCATAACAGCAGTACAATTTCACATTAAAAGTGTCTCATAATATAAAATAAATCAAAAAGAAAAACCTTCTGATTCTGCCATGTCAGCAGATTTACATATTACAATTATTTATACCAAATGTTAGATTGTATTTCAAACATTTTCCAAATAATAACACAAAGTCGCGTTATCTAGTTAATCGTAACGATCGCCAATCTATTGATAAAATAGTTGCTCATTTCCATTGCTGGATTTAATGGAAATAATAATAATATTAAAATTCACAAACGCAGCTTCACTTTGAGCTATTTCTGTCTGATTTTTTCTACATTTTGACTATATTATTCAAAAATATTTTCTTGGAACAGAACTAGATTGGCATACTGACACCTGTAAGGTGACAAAATGCAGAGAATTAAGATAAAAGTTAATTTTGATTGTATTATAGATTAATTTCTCATTACGCTAAAAAAAAAAACTCAATCTAAGAAAGAAACTCTAAATTATGGTGTCGGATTGTGGATAAAATAGTTACAGACATAAAGAAACACAGAGACATATTATTTTCAATTCAAAAAGTATTTTTGAACCTATTTGTTTCAAATTTTTGTTTTGTAACAAAAAGTCATGTTGACTAGAATAAAAAAAATGGTAAATTATATAAATCTAATGCTAAAATGAACAGTTCACAGAAATAACCTGAAACCTAATTAGACTAATTTATACGTAATTAATTCACGCAATTTTTTAAATCTTAAAAGTTAATATTTTACTTTTTAATGCAGAATGCCACTGGAACACAACTAAAACAAAATGTGTCACATTAGGAGCCAATATTAGAACATGTATTGTACATGAACATGTAAACATCTGTAAAAGGCACACAGATGCTAATATAAGCATTAGCATGCTAACAAGAGGAACTTTGTAGGTCAAGTCTTATTTGTACAGAACATTTCAGCAACAAGGCAGAACAGCTGAACTACTTTACTTTGTACTTATCAGTCTTACAAATTAAAAACCTTTTAAAACTTCCAGAAAGAAAAGACAACGACAGCTAATGCTAATGCTACTGCTAGCATTCGCTTGCTTGTCTTAGGCCATTTTTGGTCCATTTTAAATGGCGTATATTACGACTTTTTTGTTTCAAAATTAATACAGACTAAAACTGAAAACTTAATACATGAAAACTTATCAAAACATGACAATAAAACAACAAATAATCAATTAAAAGCTGTTTAAACATATTCAAGTACTTTTTTTTTTTTTACACCAAAACAAACATGAACTGAAATCTATAAATAAACAATTATGTTACAAGGGTCTACATAAAACACCTGTCTATTCAACAACAGTTTGGTAATATTCAATATGTTAAGCAAACACAAGTGCAATTTAAAGTTATTGGGGGAATATTTTTGGAGGTTTCTTGGTAATAAGATAATGGGAATTTCACAACTCAAAGTAAATTAGAATCACATTCAAGAGAAAATAAGACTTTTATTAAAATAAAATGTTTTTTCTGATTATATTTGACAAAACAAAAAACTAATTAGTTTGGTTGGTTTTAGTTGTAGGTATTAAATGTTGCAGATTTTTAAATGTAACATAAAAGGGGGAAAAAAATTATATTTGTACTTAAAAAAAGTTAAATATCCAAAGCAGATTTGTAAAAAGAAAAATCAAATACAGAAGAAAAAGTAATGAAATGTTGAATTGTTTTGTTGTGTATTTGTAATAGTCTGAGTTGAAAAGCTAATTTTATTCTAATTCATAATTTCTTTCAGTTGTTACATAAACTATTCATGTTTATTATTGAGTGAATTAAATAAAAAATAAAATGTAATGAAAAAAAGTGAAAACTGCTTCTAACTCTCAGCTACGCACTACTTTAAATAAAACATTCATATATTGGAGCTTGTGGATGTGACGCAATCAATACTTTATAGAAAATCGTCTCACAAGAGCATAAATTTTCATTTTAAAACTCAGCTTTTCTTTACATAAAATGGAGGTAAAAAACCAACTTTATATCGAGCTGTTGGGATTTTTCAGTAATGATGGCTTTCTTTTTAATACTCCTTTAATCTTTGGTTGTAGAGATGAATTAGTTTCGCTAAAAGCATGAAGACAGCAAACAGTTTCAGGCAAAGCAACATTACAGGAATACAAACATCTGCAAACATGCTGCAGGATTCAAGAACTTTTAATTTACTTTGTCCCCTTTCAGAGTCTGCTTCCGGTCTTAAAACCTTTAAAATACTTCAGTAACAAAAACTACTCCAGCTTTGTACAATGTGCGCTTATTTACAAATACAGTACAGATAGCAGCTAGCTAGCAGGGAGCTAGCCGGCGAGCAGGGAGCTAGCCGGCGAGCAGGGAGCTAGCCGGCGAGCAGGGAGCTAGCCGGCGAGCAGGGAGCTAGCCGGCGAGCAGGGAGCTAGCCGGCGAGCAGGGAGCTAGCCGGCGAGCAGGGAGCTAGCCGGCGAGCAGGGAGCTAGCCGGCGAGCAGGGAGCTAGCCGGCGAGCAGGGAGCTAGCCGGCGAGCAGGGAGCTAGCCGGCGAGCAGGGAGCTAGCCGGCGAGCAGGGAGCTAGCCGGCGAGCAGGGAGCTAGCCGGCGAGCAGGGAGCTAGCCGGCGAGCAGGGAGCTAGCCGGCGAGCTGCTATTTAAGCCCGTGTTAGCTACATGCTAACTCGACTAGCTTCTGCTCTTCTCTTTCTGGCCTGATTTTTATAAACACACACGGCTTTTATGGCCCGCTGAAACCAGGATGCAGTGGTCATGATTAAAAACCGACTGGTTTTTCAGGAAAGCGCAAGCACTGAGCTCCATACATCGTTTCATTTTCCCCCACCAGGCTAATCTGAACATCCCGATGGGAGCGCTGCGTCCGGGGGCGGGACTTCCTGTCAGGAGGAGAGAGGAGACAGCGGACACAGAGGAGGTGAGACTGGACACAAAGCTCAGCTCAGTTCCACTTTATTTAAGTATCAACATTACACACAGAAAAAAAAAACTAAATAAAATGTTACCATCCAAAAAATTACTCAACACAAAAAAAAAGCATTTGATAAAATCAAGTTATTAAACATTTACTATTTAAAAATTACTTCATCAGATGGTTCCAATATGAGTTTAAGTGGAAATTTTTGGTATTTTAATATCAAATAAAGCTTTTAAATATCACCTTTAGCATTTTGGGCTTGCTCCTATTTTTTCTGACTGTAGCGTTCATTCTGCAGACTTGCATTCTCACGGCTGTCTAGTTAAAGGAAGCTTCAACTAAACTCTTTGGTTCTGTTGAGCTTTCTGAACCAGATTGAGAGTCGGACAGCAGGTGTGAACACCTCTGGTCCTGCTCAGTCACGCCTCGTGTTTCCCTAAGCAAATGAAGCCGGGTCACATTGTGGCCGAGCTGAACAAACATAAAGAAGAGAAACCAAATTTCTCAGAATCTGCGGCTTTAAAGAATGGAAAAAGGTTTGGCTTTCACAGCCAGTCAGCCATTATACTTGTAATTTAAAAGTTTTTTCATTCAGTTCATTTGTTGTTTTCCTGCAGGCTCAACCACCAGAACTACCAGTGCGTCCCCCGTCACTAGAAGAGAAGAAGTCTTTGCAGAAGCTACCGGGCCCGGCCGTCAACCTATCAGAGCTACAAAACAAAAAGAGCGAACTACGATGGGTCACCAAGGAGTAACATGTAGGTCCATCAGTGGTTTCACTCAGTTCATAATAAAAACGGAAATCTCTTATGTCAACAAGAGCTGAAAGTGATCATTTTTGAAGATGAATGGTTGAAAAGAAACTAAAGCGAAAGGTATTTACAGGTGGCATTGTCGATTTTCATATTGTAGCAAAACTGTTTTTGGCTATGCACTGCAAAAAACCCTAAATCTTACCAAGTAATTTTGGTCTAATTTGTAGTGTAATATCTTAGTACACCTGAAATAAAACAAAAGTAGCTTAAAAGTAATTTTTTAGCAAGAAATAAGAGTTTATTTCATGTCAATATTTGCTTAATATTCAATATTCATACTAGATTCATTAAAAACATTTTTCCCCATGTCATAAGTTAGTACTTACCAAGTAAACAAGTACTAACTATTAAGATATTTGTACTAGAAAGTAGGTTTTGTGTTTTTCCATTGTGGGAAGAAAACATGAAGTAAAAACGTAATCACAATAATTAATATAATAAATTAAATCCTCTAGAAAAGAAACAAAACCCAGCCAATGTTTTGTAAAAGTATGTTTGTTTATAATGTATTTAGTTTTGACCAGATGGTTATAATAATAGAATAAATAACATACCAGTAGCTAAAATATATATTGTAAATGTATGTATATTACAGAATGTAATATGATGGAAAATTTAGTCAGATACATTAAATTAAATGCAACATACATGTATGATAAAAAAGGAGCAACACTAAAATACTAAAGTAAAAAGACATAAAAAACCAAATGAGTTTATATTATATATCCAACGAAAAAGCATTGTTAAAAATATACAACAAATGTACAAAAATGCATTTATTTTTCCATTCCATGTTGTTGTTTTCAGAGTTGTTGTGCAGACGGATTATGGTGAAACTGTCCAGAAATAAAATTGATGCAAATACGAACCAAAGCACAGAAAGAAAGGATAGAGGGTGATTGTGAGGGATGCAAATTCAGACTGCATGAAAGAAAATTGTTAATAATTTTCCAACAAAACGCAGCTGTGTTTTAACGTGCAGGAGGAATTTTGGAGGCTGGAATATATATAAATATTAAGTAGCAAAAAGTTCAGAGCAGACTGAAACTAAAAACAATTCAACAGTCTAGACAAAACTATCAACTGTATATTTTATTCCTTAGATAATATTTAACGTAAGAAAAAATAGTTTGACTTAAAAAACTGCTAATTTTAGCAGTTTACAAGTTTAGCAGCTTGTAAATTAGCTTTACAAGCTAATTCTAGCTTGTAAAGGTAGAAATATTTAAAATCTTTACTGTCAAAGGTAAATATAGTAACTGGTAATTCTCTTAGTTCGCCACAGGGGGTCACTGTTGGCCACTCTTCTTTCCATTGGGTCAAGCTGAGCTATTGTTGATGTGTGTGTGTGTGTGTGTGTGGGTGTGTGTGTGTGTGTGTGTGTGTGTGAGCGTGTGTGGGCTGGGAGGGTTGAGTCAGGCGCTATATTTGTATCTTATAGCATTACTAGTGTGTGTTTTAGGAGTGTGAGCAATGTGGAGCGGTCTGTGCTGTGACTTTGTCAGCAGGACACAGAAACACCGAACGCAGCAGGAGCCGTCCGATCATGAAGCGAAACCAGCACTAAAAACAACATGTTCGAATAGATCTGTCGCTTATTATTAAGCCTCATTATTGGGAATTTGGGTATGACGGCTTTCTAAAAATAAACATTATTAATCGGTCAGTTCAACTTAAAAATAATGTAAAAATGTATCACAAAATACAGGTTTTCATGTCAGTAGATGTTGATATTTAGTGATTTGTTTTAAAAACCTGAAATCCTGCCAGACTAGTGGTCTTTCCTGTTTTATCCAAAGTTTTCCTCTTCAGCTGCAACCTTAAACTGCTGTAACCAAAGAGTGAGTGAGCTGATTCCACTTACCTTGCTTAGCTAGCTGTCAAAGGTTGAGCAGCTAAAGACTTTCCTATGCCTACATCTCCCAGAATGCTGTGTGATTCTAGATGAAAGTTGAGTGAAATTATTGAATATTATCCAGTGACATTGATCACAACATTTTTTGCACCATGGCTATTTGAAAACTATTTTATTTATCAGATATTAATATTGAAATTTTATTTTTTGACCTCTTTGTCTACATGCAAAGAGGTTTCACTTCAACATAACCCTAACCCTTTCTTTTACATGCAACAAAAAAAGCAAAGGATCTTTAATTGCTAATTAGTTTTTTGAATATCATCAATTTTCTTGCCGTGGATCCTCTAAACACCAAAACAGAAGCTGTTGTCTCGTTGTAAAGTCTCTCTTGACAAGGAAAATAATACTGCTGCAATAAATTTTTGAAAAAAAGAAAGAAAATCAATGTTTCTCTTTTAGATCTGGATCATTTGATTCCTGCTGTTTCTGTGATAGCTGGCAAATACAATTCCTCACTGCAGATTTCATCTTTTCTCCTGAAGGAAATTGAGCCAAAGAGGATGGACGACAATCTCCACAAACTCGGACTTTCCCTCTGCTGTGAAGGACTAGAAACACTCCAGCTACAAGATATCAGAGGAACTCCAACAATCTGTCTAAAATTACCTCTAAAAGTTTCCCTAATTCAATATTTCAGATTAAAATACACATTTAAGCCAATGTATATTTTTAAAAAGTAGAAATATTCTGTTTCTGGGTTTGGAAGATGAGAGGTGTTGGCCATTATTTGAGTATTTTACGGTTTGTTTAGTTTATTAGTTTAGAATGAAACACATTTACAGAATCCTCCTTTATACCAAAACAAAATTAACCAACATTGTAGGAGTTAACTTTAGACATTTGAGCTTTTTAGTGCTGCGTTTGTTGAAGAGACAGAAGCGCTACTTCAGCAGATTTTTACTCCAATAAAAGTAAAAAGTTCATTACTATAATCAAATATAGTAATAAAATAATTCAGACAAAATAAACACTTTCAAATATATATTTATATTTTCAATTCAAATTATGAAACTAATACTTAAAACAGGTAATGTGTACAGTATATGTAAGAACATTATTTTTGCTGTTTACTGGATTTTCTTCACCTTCAAATAAAATCAGGAGCACAAAGCTTGTCTATTACAAAGAGGTCTCACTTCAACATAAACTGTGGAAGTGTCCATTTTTTGGCTAAAACGTGTTTGTTCTTCATTCAGTGAAGTTATTTGCAGTGAGTAGAGTTTACTCGAGTAGTAATAATATTATTAATGTAAAACTAAACAGTACTCCTAAACGTTAACTGGCCTGTGATTAATTATTTCTACTGTATCAACTGAAGGGTTGATTGATTGGGGATTGAAAGTTAATATTATTTGTATTTTTGTTGATGTTTTTGTGTTTTCCAGAAAATTGATATCACAGTAAAACCTATATAAATATATATAAAAACAACAAACCCATTTTGTCATTTCCTGTCAAACTAAAACAAATCATATGTTTGACATCATCTGTTACTGAGTGGAAATCAAATAAATGTAGCATAATTTCATTTTATACACTGGTGCAGATTTTCAGTGGTTGAATGAAAAGCAACAGGACTTTAGTTATAGTCAACAATCACACCAATTGGGCGGTAACATCAGTAATCTGCTCTGACCGTAACTTACTCTGATATTTCCTGCTCATGTTCAGAACTGAAGAAACCTTCTGGATGAGTAGTGAAAAGTCTAGTTCCCCTTCATTTGAGGATTTGTCTTGATTGTCTGCTTTATTTTTATTTTCAAGTGCTACCATATCTTTAAAATTTTGGGATTGTCAATGACAACCGTGAGATGGGTTGTAATAAGATAAATAATATGTGACAATTGTGGCTCCAACTGGGAAACAAAGAACTTAATACAATAAAAAACTCACATTTTTGGTGAAAAGTTTTTGCCCCAGGATGAGGAAGTTTATCAGTTGTATCAAAATTAGTGTACTTTGCAAAACTGCAAAGGAAACACTTTTTTTTTGAGTCATGATCAAAAATCGGATGCTACTACTGATGGGAATGACAAAGAAGACGACAGGAAGTGGTAGAAGGAAAATGGTGTGGCATAATTTTTAATGACTTATTGCATGACCAAAGTTATCCGGGTGTAAATTTAATGTAATTTTTATTTAATGAAAGTACTGTAATTGTGAAATTGTGTTTTTTCGACATTCGTAGAATATTATCAAAGTTTTCCGCAGCTTTTTCTAATACGGTTCTTCCTTAGGGTTGAGATCTATAATTTTCTTTTCGTATATGGGTTGAATTTAGGGATGTTCTGATCAGGATTTTTGCTACTGATTCCCATACCGATTACACATGAAGCCAATCTCAATCCAAGCGATCTCAATCCAAGCGACTGTTAATTTTTCGCTTTTGGGTATAAATGATGCTATGTGGCAAAATTAAAAAATGATCTGCCAATAAATTCACCTAACTTAGACAAACAAGCAAAATACTTGCAGGAACAATAGAGCAGCTATTCAGTCAAAAGGAAGAATGAAAAACCTGCAATAGTCAAACAACATTTAACATTTAACGTTTGTAATAAGATGACAGTTATTTAAATCTTTTGTATGGCAACATTAAAAATAATAGAGCATCCTGGACAGAACAGAAAGACCCAGAAAGTGGACAAACACTGTTGCGTTTCTGCTGTGCGCCGCCATTTTGAATGTCAAGAGCTGTTCATTCAGTGCTGGTTTTGCAATGTGATATTTCTAATTTTGGAAGTCCGTCAGCAAATGGGTGCTGAAGGAGATGAGATCAGGTGTGATTTCAGTACAATCGGTACATGCAATAGTACCTTTAGGATACCCCAAAAGAACAATATTCCTGTCTTTGGTTCAGATCGAGGAAGGTCAAGTGTCAGCCATTGTGAATTGGTGAAAATATGTAGGGGAATGGAATTTTTAAATAACATATTAAAGAATTTAAACATTTTAATTACTTTGTGTTGTTACTTTAATGTTTTAGTATTGGGGAAATTGAAATATAATTTGTAAAATTTAGAAAAGCACTCAGGCTTTCATAGGTTGTCCCAACATTTTTTTTAATCGTCTAATCATGTTTAGGTTTTTAAACCAAATACCCCAACAGTAAGTAGCAGCTTTAGTTTTCCTAAACATATAATCTTGCCAGCAGATTTGTTGAACAGTTTCTGGTATTAAAAACACCCAGAAATAGGATGATTGACTATGAAAGTAATGCTGTGAAGATCACACATTAAAAACTGATTTAATCTTGGCTGAGACATTTAATCCTCTCAGGTGGGTGTTAAAGAGATTGACATAGCAAAGATGTGAGATTAGTTACCTCAAGGCAAAAAAATGTAATCCTGAAGTTTTTCTGAGCCTTCCAAAGCATAAAATCCGTCTCCTGTTATTATTCTTGATTTTTTTTCTGTCTTCTTTTAGGTGGAGGTATCGACATTAAACACACATATCCCCCAAAATTACAGCACAAATCCATCACCAAATCACGTGTCTCTTTGCACATCGATAAACGCTCACACGTAGCAGCTGTGGCTAAGTTTAGATGCCCATCAGGTCACGGAGGAATATTCAACCAAACAAACACTCCAGACACCGAGCACCAAAGATTAAAAACTCTTTACAGCTTATAAAGGATAAAAAGAACATGAGTGTGGTTTTCTCTTCCACGAGAAAGCAATGTACTGGATTTTGAAGAATATACTACAACAAAAACATGCAAACTCATTTGCTGGGGTATTAAAATTCACATTTAACTGTCTCTCAGCATGTCGTGTTTTCATGGTTAAACCCTGACAGTAGCTGAACATTAATCAGAAACATCCATAAACATGCTGGGAAGCTTGTAGGCGTGCTTGTATTTCCCTCCCACCGCCTCTCTTCTGCTGCATAAAAATAATACAGTGACATCCATCTTTGTGGCTCTGAAACTCTGCAGGTCAGAGAGAGGTTAAATGCCTCCCCAAAGGGGACAGGATTACCCCAATACCAACAGCAATGGGCTACTTTTGACACCTCAGAGGAAAACCCTCAGATTTACTGATGTGGAAAAGTTTTAAAACATCCCAGATTAAGATAAACTCAAAAACTCCTGGACAGAGTTTGTGCAAAATTTATTTTTAATGGTTATAATAGTTTCTCATTATATTTTGGTTTCATTTCATTGTGACTTTTTGTCCAATTTGGTTAGTTTTAATTCGTTTTTAGAGTGTGTTTGCTGGTTTTTAATAAAGTTACAGTAGTGATTTTAGTTTTTTCACATTTTTGATCACTTTTAGGTGCAGAAATTAAAAAATGATCTGCCAATAAATTCACCTAACTTAGACAAACAAGCAAAATACTTGCAGGAACAATAGAGCAGCTATTCAGTCATTTTAATTACTTTGTGTTGTTACTTTAATGTTTTAGTATTGGGGAAATTGAAATATAATTTGTGTAAGCAGCCAATAGCACAAAAAGTCAAAGTATTGTATTGTGATTATGTCTACATTGACTTGGTATTAAATTATTGTTGAACAACCAACTAACTGCCCTTTTTTCCCAACTTTTACTGTCACCATTTTGTGAACTACCTTAATTTGATGGCAGCTAATGTCAGCTGGTTATGTGGGGTGAAAAATAATTTCAAATCAGTTCGAAAGGTTCATAAACAGATTCATAAACACAAAAACAAAATACATTATCTTAACACTAAAACTAATTGGAATTGTGTGTTTCAAAACTAATTAAAGCATAATTGAACCTGAAAGTTTCTGCGTCTAATAGTTTCCAGTAGCTTTTTTGGAATCACCTTGATTTGGATGTAATGTCTGTTTCTGTCGTTATACTTCAGTATCTTTTAAAATGTTCTGGTGGTAAAGTTTCAACAGATGAAAATTCTAGATTGCATCAATAAAATCCAGTTTAAAAGATCTAGCTTTCACAGTATTGTCCTTCCAGATGAATCCTCTAAGCTGTTTCTATTCCTGACAGAAAGGTCCTTTATCAACCATGCCCATCGGATTCCTGGATGCCTTGACTGCAGCAGCTGTATTTGCAGATGACTTCATTCACAGAGATAGACTCTCAAACACCAATCTGGCTCCCTGTCCGTCCAACTCTGTTTGACAACACAATGTTTGCTTGTTGGTTGATGTTAAATTGAAGGCATGCGCCTGGGGGATACTCCCTAGAGGACTCGGAGTAAAGGGCAGCTGACAAACACAAAGCCAACAACGCCAGTATCCCAGACAGAGACGAGAGAGCCAAGTCTCAGTGCCAAAGAGGGATGGGTCACAGGGTTGTGTTGATGTGTATGTGCAGGGGGCTGTCATGACCTCCCTATCATGGTGTCGGATAACAGCTTCTGCAGACAGAAGAGGACTAAAACACAGATGGAGTGAGCTCAACTGAGGACGCTCTCTTCCAGTCTTCTTTCATGCAACGTATCAGCAAAAAATCTGTCGTCCTTTCTTCTTCTTGACAGAACTTATGCATGGATACCTACTCACTCCTCTACAGTTCCTCACACAGAACCGGACTCCTCTCTGGCTTCCAGCGTTTGCGGGACCAGAAGAAGATGTGCGATGTCGTCTTGGAAGCCGGCGGTGTTTCCTTCCCGTGTCATCGTAGTCTGTTGGCGAGCTCCAGTGACTACTTCTGGGCCCTTTTTGGAGAGACGACCGCAGAGAGATCAGCAGACTCCATCAGGCTCCCGGCGCTGACGCCTGAGGGTTTGGAAGCCATTTTGGATTTCTTGTACTCAGGGTGGTTGAGCATTTCTTCCTTCACACTTCCTGTTGTCATAGAAGCAGCCCGGTACCTCCAAGTGGAGGCGGCGCTGTCAATATGCGAGCGATTTATGGCAGATGGCTTAACTGCAGATAATTGCTGCTACTATGCTAATCTGGCTGAGCAACACTTCCTCTTGAATGCACTTGAGGCTGCAAATCAAACCATTGCCAAGAAGATGGCGGTTCTGCTGCAGAAAAGCAGGGTTGATCTCCTTGGGTTGAACTTTCAGTCGCTGATGGTAGTGCTAGAGGCAGATGAGATACCTGGGGTCAACGAAGTGGATCTAATTAGACTTTCTCTCGACTGGCTGGATAAAAATGGCCCCCTTCCACTACTAAAGTCAAACCTTCTTCTGAGTCGTCTACGTTTCGGATTAGTTGCGCCTTCAGACCTTTCTGACCTTTGCCACGGAAACAAGGCCATGGCCACTCCTCTGATCAGAAGTCAGCTGACTCGAGCTCTTGAGTACCATCATATGGGTTCAACTCAGCCAATAGCACAAAGCAGGCAGTCGACCCTTAGAGGATCACATAATTATGTGCTTCTTGTTGGTGGTGGGGTTAGCCCTGATTGGCCAGAACAGCAGGTGCTAGCGTTCAACACCAGGAGCAGGAAGTTTTCATCGCCAGGTTTTGTTCTACCTCTGAGACTCAGAAATCCCTGTGTTTGTTCGGTGGGAGGTTTTCTCTTCGTGATTGGCGGTGAAGACATGAAAAATAGCGATGAGAAGTCCGTCGCTGTGTCAACCTCAAGCCAAACCTGGAGGTACGATCCACGCTTCAACCACTGGAAGAAGATGGAGTCCATGCTGGACAGGCGGGTGCAGTTCACCTGCTGCGTGGTGGAGGACGTCATTTATGCTATTGGAGGACGACAGTCATATCCAGACTCCATGACATACACTTCCTTAGCTTCTGCTGAGTATTACGACATGGCTTCAGGAGTATGGAGAAGAGCTTCAGCGATGCCTTGCCCTCTTCACGGACACGCGTCTACCGTGCTTGACAAGAGCATCTACGTGTCAGGAGGACTCCCTGCCCACCAGGGTGGCATCCATGGAAGTAACCAGGATGTAAACAGGGAAATAAGTAGGGAATGCCTCTCTTGGGACCTAAAGGCCACAGTCTGGGAAAAGAGGGCATCCATGTGCATCCCAAGGTTTGGTCACAGAATGGCAACCGCCCACGGTTACATTTACGCTCTGCTGGGGATGTACGAGCAGTTTTGTGACATTGAACGATACGACCCACAGTCGAATCACTGGACCCGCCTCAAACCACTCGCAAACGGCTTGTTCAGCTACGGGATGTTAACCCTGGCAAGTGGGAATCTGCTGGTATTCGGCGGGAGGAGGTGGAACAACGGACAGCAGGTGACTGTAAGGAGCGTGCTGGAGTACGATACGAAGAAAGATCAGTGGAGAGAAATCGCCCAGCTTCCTAGACCTCTGACTGGCACCGAGTGCACTCTGCTGCCTCTGCTGGATTAGCAGACCCAATTTAATATCTACAAAACAGTAGCGCCTTCAGAATAATCACGTTCAATTGCATGACGAAAAATTAAATAACTATTGCTGAAAACTTTAATGCCAGTTGTAGAAATGAGTTGTCTGAGATGAAAATTTGATCACCGCTCAACACATTTTCTTTCCACCTTAAAGCTACAGTAGGCAACGGGCCTAAGTGCTGTCAATCAATTCTGGATACTCGCTGCTAAATGTGCTAATGACAGAGAAATAACTCATCATAACAGAAAAAAACATTTATAGTCATCTGTGGCCATGCTAACTAGCCTGAGCATTCACAACATGCTACGCTCACTGCAGCGTCGTAGAGAAGAGAATGATTCACAGCACTAAGACCCGCCTCCTGGCTCTGATTAGTTGTTTCTAGTTAGCACTGGGAGAAAGCATAGAAACTTGAATTTTTTTCAAATATTTTTATAAAAGTTTCATATTGCAGCTTTTAAATGAATTTTTTTATAGAATTACTAGATTTTCACATTTTTATAGATTTATTTACAGTATAGTGAAATGTATTCACCATGTTACAGATTTCTTCTGTTCATATGTTATTACTCTTTAATAAATGTTGCAGATAGACAAAACAAACGCCTCAAATAAAAATAACATGAGTAAAATACAAAAGTTGGAAGAAGCCAAAGTAGTTTGGTTAATTTTAAGGTCAATAAATGATTATTTATTACAAAATAATAATACAAAAAAACTAAGTATTTTGTGAGAAAAAATATCTAAACTGACTTTTATTCATCACTTCTCATACTGCTGATAATCCAATTTATTCTTGTGATGTCGTCAGAGGAGATGTAGATTTTATAGCTAATAAGTTATGTTTTATAATAAAGTAACAAAGATACGCTGTTTTTTAAAATTGTTTGTGTTTTATGACATTGTTCAGATCAGATCACAATAATTCCTCTCAGCCAAAAGGTAAATTTTTCTCGGCCTCGTCTCTCTTCTTGATAAAAAAGAAAAACATAATAGACAAATAAAAAAAAGTCTCTAATCCAAATGACTAAAACTTTATTGATCCAGTCTCTTCTTCCAGCAAAACATGAAAAATGAACACATAAATAAATACCATCTTTTTACCATAATTTATAGATTTAACACTAAACATTCTTTACACAATGACAGTTCACAGAAAGAAACCCTGATATAATTAAAGATATTCTTCCAAGACAGTTTGCACTCTATAAATAGAGATCTACTATATCTCTAGGTTTTAAACACAAAACATAAAATGGATATTGTTTTGATCTACAGCAAAAACATGCTACTACAACCAACCACGGGCAGCAGCATAAAAGGAGCATAAAACAGTGTTTGTCAGTGCAAGTTATTACATATTTATGATTGCTTTTGTAGTCTGTGAAACGTCTGAGATACATTATTACATCTTCTGGCAGCAGCTTGGAAATAGACTAACATTATAAATAGATCCAAGTTTAATTTCCTATGGAAATATTCCTCATATGTTCGATGCCACACGCCTAAAATAAAGCTGAAGAGTCTGAGGAAAAATCCACCCCTGGAGAATTTTATACTGTTAATAAATAATTTATAACAGGGATTATATAGCTATTACATCTACAGATTTATGTATTTATTAAATAAATTCATATTTAAGTATTTTTTCACTACTGGGGATTACAAATAAAATATATTTTTCTGTTTATATTCAATTCAGTTTAACAGACATGTAAATATTTCTTCAGTAATTGTTAAGCTAAACGTATGTAAAAATACATTATTTAATACAGGGTTTGCATATAACAGTTTTACATTTTATCACATTACCCAACAAATTTTGATGTATTTTATTGTTTTTATGTGACATTGTATTAAATCTTAAAAGGACATTAAAATACATGGCTTTTTATGTGTTGGTGTCAAGTCCTTTCATTTAAAAAAGAAAACAAAACAATAAAATGCATTTAAATTTGAGCTGTGATGTGATAAAATGTGAAAAAGTTTAAGGTGTTTGGATAATTTTTTTCAAGGCACTGCGTATCTAAATTTTCTTTATCATATATATATTTTTATATAGTAACCATTTTGTGAAAAATTAAGTCAAATACATTCAAAAAGCTTTATTGGGTAAAACATTAATGCTTCTGAGATTTTTATAAACAACTATTTCTGTGTAGATTTTTCTCTGTAATGTTCAGAGCAAAGATTATTTCATTATCTCATATTTGATATGTTATATTTTCTAAGACATTTGCTGTAAATACTTAATACGATTTAATAATGTGGATTTCCAAGCAGATTAAATGAAATATTTATATCATTACTGCAAAAACATCATATTGTTTCTAGTGCAAATACTGAGTACATTTGAAATAAGACAAAACTGACTTAAAAGTAATTTTTTCAGAAAGACGCACGAGTTTGTGTTACGTAAATAATTCATTATCATTGATGAAAAATTACTAGTTATATTTAACTTATAACGTAGAAATAATCTGCCAATAGAACAAATACTTCTTAAATGAATATTAATGGATTACTGACTTAAAACAAAAGACAATTTCTTGCTGAAAAGTTACTTTTAAGTTACCGTTTTAAGATATTTGCTGAAGAAACTGTATTTTGTGTATTTTGCAGGATGTTTGCTGATGAAGGTTCTGTTTGTGAAACGTTGTGTTGAACTACTTTAGGGTGGATTTTTCCCTTAAATGGCTCCTGTTCCAGAAGGAGGGTGCATGCTTCAGGTCCAGCCCAGCAATTTCTACCAAATCTGCACAAACAAAAGCCTCTAAATCTAAACGGAAATCAGAACAAAAGTTTAAAAAAGATCTCATTGTGGTTCGCTGTAACACTCACTGTACAGTTAATAATAGCAATATAATCAAGTATAAGGCTTTATGGAGTAAAAAGCGTCAACTTACTGGCTATGAGACACTGTGCACTCAGAGTAAACATGGCACAACAAGCAGGATGAGTCGAGATACATTCTGTGATTTCGCTTTTTATGAAGGTGATGGGAAGGAATCATCCACAGGAAATGATGCGAGTTCTTTGAAGGTACGGAGCACAAAAGCTAAGAGGTGATACTCTGGAACCAGCACCTGTCGTGAGCCGGAGAGGCTCGAGGCGACAGGTCGCCGGCTCAGCGGGAGGCGCTCCTGGGTAATCTGTCGCAGCGAACCGATCGGGAAGCGGAAACCACGAGTCAGTCCGTCACTACCGGACCCGCCCTGCGACACTCATCTTAACAATCGGGACCAGACGGTTTAACTGTCCGCGTTTAACAGGTCAGACGTGCGTCTCGATGTAGGAGTGTGTGTGGGACAGCGAGGGGGTGAGGGGCGGCGGCCCCGGGTCGGCGGGTTCGGTTTGGGGTTCGGGTTCAGGTTCGGGTTCGGCAGCAGAGTTCTGGTCCTGAGTGAACAGGTCCTGATAGGCGCGCTTCCACTCCTGGAACTCGGCCGACGAGAGCTGCGGATTGGCCAGCAGCCTGTCAATCAGCGCTAGCTCCCCCTCCCTGTCCTATGAGGATGCAGAAACACAGGAGGGGGCGGGTCACTCTCACACTTCCTGTTGCCACCACGACAGACGCAAGACACATGGAGAGGAGGACACAGACGTGACTGGAGACACTCAGGTTTGGGGAGATTTAAGATTAAATCCAACAGATTGATCTTTTTACAGATTATGTGTCTGATAACAAACTGTTACGATATGGTGATAGTTTTAACAAAATATGTAAAAAATAAATAAACATCTTTTATAAAAACGTTACTTATTGCAGCTTTAATCCATCAAAATATTGAAAATCAGACTTTTAATAATATTAGCAGAAAAAACAGAATTACATTGGATTACATGTGAGATTGTGGCAAATATTAATAAATGACTTTGAAAGTATATAAAATTATATATATATATATATATACATAGTTATGTCTTCTATGCAATATACTGACATAATATATGTACTGTGACATGTATTTAGATATAACAGACTAGCATAAAGGGAAGTAAACTTCTTCTCTTCCTTTTCTGCAGCTTTTCCTTTTCTATACTCCTAACAGTATAAGAAGTGGAGGAAACATGATTATTTTACAATAATATCTTCTAAGAGTGCATCTAAAATCAGTGTTACATGTAGCAGCTTCAGTTTTATGCTGAACTAATCAAAAACTTCAACAAATTTGTAGCACTGAGACGTTTAAAGAAACAAAAGTTAAATAAAATAACTGGGATAACGATGCCAGCGAGGAGTTCCCTGTAATTATTTGTATATATTTGCACAAGCAGCCTTTTCTTGTTGTCTTTTTTTGTTCTGACAGCAATAAAGGCTAATTCTGAAACCCAAGTCAGTTTTTTGAGTGAATCCAATTATTTAAAGACAGCAGTACCAGCATAGCCATCTGCAACAAATATCCTTCCTCTCATCTGTTTTGATCCACTGATCGTTGATAAGACAGCGAGCGTGTTCATGTCCTTGTTGTTTCCACAGCAACCACTGCAGCAAACATGTTCAAACGTCCAAACCAGCAGCTTTATGCTTTGCTGAGGATAATAGATGCCAACTAACAGGGTCACTGCGACCATCACACAATATTTTCGACCAAATGCTCCCCAAAGCTTGGTATATTCCACCATAGACACCAGACAGGGTGCAAACACTGGTTGACTGAGACAGCCAAATGCACAGACACGGAGATCTGGAGGAGTAAATACGCAGCATCCAAGGAATAAATACAAACATTACAGGAGAGCCGTTCAGGCCAGAAGAATTAACTTTGCTCAGGCAACATGAAGACACACATGGACTGATGGAAACCGAAACCAAAAAGACGTGAGAGGTGTGGTGGTGATGAACCGGGACAGACATTCACCACAATGTGCTCATGTTTATGTGCATCATGTGTAAACAGTTTCCTGTAAAACTAAAAAATACCCACTGCTGAAGTCAATAATTAAGACTTCTGTTGTGAATTAATTGAAAAAGCCAGAAGCTATTAACTAACAGTTAAGCTAACATTAGCTTTTATTACTTTAATGCTAACTTTAAAAGCTGGTTCAGCAAACATTTTTATTTTACGTTAAAATGTAAAGAGTTGATCCAAAATATTAACCCTGAATAGGATCATTTCCCTGTTTCCAATTTTGTTCTTTTAATGATCTTTTTAAAAATACCTTCATTTTTTCTGTTTGGCACAGAAAGGCGTGTTAACTACAATGTCTTACTTCCATCAAAACGCATAAATAAATGTACGATAATTTGATGTTGAATAGAAAAACAAAAGAAAAAAAAAGTACAGCTTTCTGAAGAATAACAATGTAATTAGAAATGGGACTACATTTTCTTTTATTTATGTAAATTTATATATTGTTTATGCATTATTTTTTGTTTGCTCAGAAAAAAGGCACAGACACATGAAGCATGTAATAAAATGTACAGAAAACTATCCCAAAACAACTTGTTTTAGTATTATTATTGTATTATTATCATAGAGTAAAAGTGATTTCTTTAAGCCACTCGGATCCATCAGACTAGCGGCAGCAGCAATTAGCAAACACGTGGTGTGACTGCGAGTCTGCTGAGCTCATCAGACAAATTACTTCTGAGTCCAACACTACAAAAAATTATTGTAAATGGCATAAAGGAGGAAAATTGTTGTGATTATGAGCTGAAGACAGAGAGTCTGAAAGTTTAGAAGCTTCTTAAAAGGACAGAGACCTAATAACAAGGCGTCAAATTTGAAAAAAATTGAAGGTAACATAGTTGTTTAGTTTTGCTATAAAATGACAAATATTTGTTAGAAATTGGTAGAAAATGAATTACTAATTGTATCATCGGCTGCATGTGTCTGTGCTGATCAAGTGTGATTTCAGTAAATCAGAGCTTCTGCAGCTCTCCGACTCTGTGTTCATGCTGGAGTGGACGCACCTTGAGCGTGGAGCTGAGGATGCGGAGGCGGTGCAGGCGCTCGTTGAGCTGAGGGTCCGCGGCCCGTCGGAGGAAGGACTGTCTGAACTCCGATTGGCCCTTGGCGTCCGAGCCCCGCCCCAACGGACAGACGCCGCCTTGTTCGCACGCGCGGAACAGGTCGCCCAGGGACGCGCCTTCGCTGCCGCCTGCAACGCAGAAAGCCGACGTTGGAGCCTGAGCAGAGGAGTGACGTCTGAGATGGTTTTCTGGATTATTAACGATGACAAAACCGTCATCTCTCTCCCGACAGCCTCAGGGACGTTCCCTCCTCTGCGGCAGGTTTATTTCCTCCTCCACGTCAGTATTTATTGTGCAATTAGTTTCTCAAACAGAGCTCACATACATCTTCTTTTTACAAAAATCACATCTATTTACTATTTCAGAATGACACCTTCCTGCTGCTGCTGCTGCCAAGTATTTTTGGTTTGGTTTCCAGTGCAAATATCTTAGTATGCTTAAAATAAGGCAAACTACCCTACAGAAACTTTTCAGCAGGATATAAAGGCTTATTTTTAGTACATAATTCCTCAATATTGATGAAAAATTACTTATTTTGTTGGCAGATAAATTAACTTATAACATAGGGAAAATGTCTTATTTTGTTAAATAACCTGAAGTGGATCAGTGCATCTCTATTTTAAACAACGTAAAAACCTTCCTCATTTATGAAGTTTCACAAAAAAAACCTTTTAGAAGCTTTTTTTGTCTTCATAGTTTATTAAATCTTTCTCCTTCTCGTTTAAATAAAAAAAACAATCCCAAATTGATACAAATATTAGAAAATAACAGAGTAGATGTTACACTATGAGACTCGGCCGCAGTTTAAAAAGGTTTATGAGAAGAAGCAGCAAAGAGAGAAAGCCTGGATTCCTGGAGGAGCTGCAGGAATGATGCCAAACGCTGAAGACAATAAACCTGCCAAGCAGCTCAGATGATTTAAAACACTCATCTTTTACAGAAGGTTAATTAGCACTTTTGGTGATATAAAAATCAATGAGTAGCTTCCTATGAGCTGGGTGGTTTCAGCTTGTAACAACATAATTTCTCTATTCAGCATCACAGGCCTGCGGATTTTTAATCCATTTTGAAGTTTTAAAATCAACTGTCTTGTACTGACCAAGAAAAACAAAATGTTTTCTAAAATGCATTTCCATCCAGCTCTCCTTCCTTCTTCTATTTACCGTCTATTAAAGAAGTGTCTTCTCAGATTAATTTCATTCCCTGAAGTGAAATTACTGTGATAATCTGATATTGGCTGGAAAGTGAAACGTCTCCCTTTTCAGAAACTGTTGGGATTTTTCAGACGGCGCAACGTAACTCAGAGTTACGGTACCTCAAATTTGGCTGGAACGCTGGCGCTCTGTTTAGGACTTATAGGGTTAAAGGGTTACAGAAAAAGCAAAAGTAAAAACAAAAACAAAAAATTATTTTGTCTGTAAACAAAATCATCCAGTTTTTGGTAGAAAGAGAGAAAAGAGAAAAACAATAAATCATGCAAATAAGGATTACAGAGTTTATTTTAATTCATTATGTGATTAACTGATTTATTGCTTGTTGCAGATATATTTTATTCTTTAAATATAACCGCAGCCTAATATTTCCAGCTTGTCGCATGTTGCATAATAAATATGAACTCACAGTTGTGTGCTTGCTGCTCTTCCTTCAGCGGCGGGGCGAGCAGAGTGTGCAGGTTGCTGTCGCGCGGCAGCGTGAAGCTGCGGGGTTTCCCTCCCTGGGTTGCCATGGGCACCAGCCTCTGCATCGCCACGGGCAGCGGGACGTTCCTCTGCGGGGGCAGAGTGTAGACGGCTCCGGCCATCATGGAGCCGCCCCCCAGGCCCGGCTCGGCGAAGACGGCGTCCTCTGTGAGGAGGACGGAAAACATCAGAGCGATTCGTCAAAACAACTCAGTTATTTACGAAAAGAAACTTCCAGCGGGGTTTTTTATTAATTTGGATACGTCTAAGAAACATCTCTAACAATTTTAACATCTAGAAACCAGGATAATGGATCATAGTTAAGAAAGAAAAGGAAATAAACACTTTTTATCTCAGTAAACCAACACAAATAGTAGTTTTCTTAAGCAAATATGTTTTCAGCTAGTTTTACTTCCTAAATTAAATGTGTATAAAAATTTTACAGAATTTGACAATACTACATAATCTGTACTAAATGAGCTGAATCTGTGCCTGATTACACGTCTGTATTATATTAAAATGAGTTTTGTTGGTATACGTTTTTTAGTAGACAGTGTCTGAGTTGTGGAAAACAAAAATAAATAAATAAATAAAATACATAAATAATAATCCTAAGGTTTAAAAATATAGATAATTTTAAAATTAATGCAACAAAATTGTTAAAAAGTTACCAAGTGGTCCAGTTTGCAGGTAGTGCAGTCCAGCTTCAGTCAGCGGCGTCTCTATCAGGTCCTGCCATGACCGCCTCTGTGAGGACGACGAGCGGCCCGGGGACCCCGTCTCACTGCTGCCCCCTGCCGGACTGGAGCGGTACTACAAAGAGCAGCAATAAAAACAGATTAACAGGATTTTCACATAAAAGGATTAGCAGCACAGACCTCTCAGTTATCTGTGAAAAACAACTTGAAAAGTACAGAATGAAAAGTGTAGCTACCAAAATGACACATTTTTATGTAGCCAAAAAAATTGAAAAAAGGAAAACCTCGATACGTTACTTTCAGTTTAAAACGAACTCAAATAAGACAATTAAGCTTTCAAAGAAAAACTTTAATATAACCTGAGTCCACATTTCGAACCACAAACAAGTAAAGCTTGTACGACAATAAAAAAATCCTTGAATAAAAATAAATACATACCTCAAACTTTTTTCCTACTTTGAAAAACAAAATGATCATTAATAATTGTTTATTAAGAGATCATATCTCTTTTGGAGATATGATCCTCTAAAAGATCATATCTATTTGCTTTTCAAATTAAATTAAGGTTAAATAATAACAGTAAAGATCTCCACATTATCTGCAAACAGCTTAAAAAAAGAAACAAAAAAATAATAATAAAAAAAATGTGGTTGCCAAAATGTCACATATATGGGAAAAAACTGAAAAATAAAAATCTTGAAAATATTTTCAGTTTTTGCTAAACTCAAACATTAAATACTCATCAAAGCAAACCATTTCAATCATAGATTTTTAAATAAAAACTAAAAGTAAAGGAAAAGTCAGAGTAAGTTAAAATGTAGTTTTATCTTAACATATAAGAAAATATGTAAAGAACATACAAACTCAAACCAAACAAGTGTTTACATGCATGCTTGTATCCATAAAACAGTAAAATTGTTAGTAATTGTAAATAGTCTGTCTTAATGCCCAAAAAGCAAATTTTATAGCCGACTCTGTTCCTCTGGATTGGAGTATTTTTACAGTATTTATTTTTATATTTTTCACTTACTCTGAAATATTTTAATTCTTTATTCAGTTTTATATGTATTTTATATTCTTTGTGTGAGTATCTGCTGGTGAACAGAAATGTTCTGATCATTGGACAATAGAGGACATTTCTATTCTCCTGTTCTATTAAAAATAATTACTTTCAAAGTTTTTCCTATTTAAAAAATGAAATTTATGGTTAATATCTGCTCCAATCACCTCCACAGGATCACATCTGTACTGCACGTCGCTGCTGCTGCTGCCCAGTGGTTTCCTCCCGCTGTGTGTGGTGCCTCCCCCTAGGGGGCCTGGGTGGTACTGCGGCTCTGCAGCCGTCACAGGCGGCTCGCTGCACAGGAAGTCCTCCTGAGAAGATCGAGAGCGAGACGTCTCTGTGGAAGACAGGCGGGTGGTTCGGCCTTCCAGGTAAGCGCTCATCTGAGAACGAGTGGAAAAATCCCAGCTGAAGCATCTGAGGTGTAATCCAACGATTACTGCAAACTTTAGAGTGAGGGAAAGAAAACTGGAGGGCAAAAATGTTAATAATAGAATGAGATATTTAAGAGTTATATATTTATAAAGATATTTAAGAGTTATAGTTTAGGACAAAATAAATTATTCAAAAACTAGAGCAGGGATGTCCAAACTTTTTGTCAGCTCAAGTCAAATGTATTCGCTGGCCAAGAAAAGGAAAAAAACAAAAACTAAAATCAAGTAAAAATAAAGTAGAAAATGGACATTATTCATTATAGAGCCAAAACTTAAAAATAATACATTTGCTGTATTAAAATCTGGTTTTCAAACTATTTTAAACATGTTTAATTTAATTTATTCTCAGCTATAACAACAAGATTTGCGTCACTTTTTTTTAAAATGGTTGCTATATTTAGCCAAGTTTAATAAATTAAATAAAAGCTAATTTAGCTGCAGTAAAGTCGGCTTTTCAGGAAAAGTTTCTGGATATGAATGGATCTACTTACTATAAATGTTTGGTGGTAAAAAAATAAACATTTTGTGTAATGCTTAAATTTTTCACTTCTACAGACTATTAAAATTAAGAACTTTAATAAACATATTTCTTATTATTCTTCGCTAGAGACTATACTAGGTATAAAATTAGTTTGTTCAGTCTAGGTTTATATCCTGACAGACATAATATGTCCAGAAAGATAATTGTTGCCATGAATTTCCAAAAAGAGTCACAGTGTCCTAAAATAATCTTCTTTATTTTACTTTGAATTATACGTTAGAGTTTGTATTTTCTGAACCACGTAAAAAACTAATATAATTTGGGGTAATTCCTGGAAAATAGTTGAGCAGAAACGAGTCTGTGTGGACTCACTGATGGAGGCCGTGGGTAGGTATCATATGGAGGTGGGGGGCTGTCCTGTTTCGGGCTGGACGTGGTGTCGTCCTCATGTTCACTTTCGCTCCAATAGTCTGCAGGAAACATGGGAACATTTCAAATCAGAAGCTCAATATACCGTCTGATTGTTCCATTAATTAGTTCTGTGGACACAGAAACATTCAAGTCTGTGATCCAGCATTACGACTGATGCAGCTATCCCTGAGATTAAAGTCAGAATTCTGAGATTAAAATCAAAAGTCAGAGATTAAAATCAAAATTCAGAGATTAAAGTCAAAATTCAGAGATTAAAGTCAGATAATATAGAACTAAATCAAACACATAAAACAGGGGAAATTACCAACGACAAAAGAGAAATACTACAACTGCTAAAATTTGACGCTGCCCCATTTTGTTTGCGTTCCGAGAAGAAGGAAGTCGCTTTAATTTCTTCTTCAGAGGTTTTCTTAAGTGGTTCGTGGTACAGCGCCACCACAGGCGAGGGGGGAAACAGGTTTTTCACAGAGTTTGGTCGATATTACGCAGCTGAAAATGGCATCTGTACTGACTCAAAGCTGTAACAATCACCAATGTAACCAAGTCTACCGGATATGAAAACACCTTTAAATCAGCAAGTTCATTAGAAATGTTTGCATCATTCCTAAACCCAAACTTTCTATTAATAAAGCCATCCATCAGATAGTTTAACTTATTGCTGATAAATGAAAACATAACCAGAATTTCAAATTTTAACCTCATCGCTATCTCAAAGACAGAGCTTCCTAAACTTTATATTTACAAAACAAACTCAAAACAGAGTTAATAGAACTCTGAAGCCTTTCAACACAAAAGTCAACGACTCAAACATCAAAAAGCAGTAAAATCACAAAACCTGAAGTATGTTGGTCCAATTTTAAGGAATTACTTATTTAAAATAAGATCCAATATCTTGCTATAGAGTTACTTGTAAGGTAGTTTTGTCTAGTGGTCTAGAAACTAGACCAAAAGTACTTGGTAAGATTTTGTGTTTTGCAGTGAATATTCTGAAATCTGACATAACTGTTTGATAAAACCCAATTAAGTGTGCCGATAAAGCCAGGAAGAGGTCTCCAGGCGAGACAGATTCATGACCAGGAGTGGAGGCTATAAAAAGAAACGAGTGGCAGGCTCACTGTTAGTCCACAGGGGACTCTTAAGGCAATGATTTGCTCATGCAGTAACGGCGGTGCAATAGTAACAGCGGTGTTGTTGGAGTGAAGTCTCACCCTGCTCCTGCCGCATCCTCTCCCGCTCTGCATAGCCCACAGCTGCCATGTTGAGGCGACTCAGCCATCTATCAAACAGGAGGAAATAATAAAACTCACTTATTTAAACAAAGGGTTTTTATGGTACATCAATCATCGTAAAAATTAAGTCAAGAGTAACTACTTTTACTCTCGTGTTTTATTTTGTTGCAAAATCTCTGGTTTTCTGCTTTCTCAGAGCCAAACTGTGAGTTGCATTTTAATTTTGTCACCCAGCTGCAACACCTCCCCGCATGTTTAGAGCTTGCAGTCTTTACCTGTTCATGTCGTCCACTCCATCTGCTGCAAAGTAGAAACTCTTGACCTTGGGGTGGCACGCTTTGAAAGCACTAGAGAGACACAGAGAGCTATTTTTGCCCACACGCCTTCACACGTTCAAGAACACACATGCTCCACATACGGAAAATAACATAAATATGCAATAAACCAGGCACTTACTACTTCTTTCGACATTCACTGGCACGATCAATCTTAAACTCGGGAAGACTGACGAAACCCTCCGCCTTCTCATCCTGACCGGAAAAAGAAGAAAAACTCACAAAATGAGCTAAAATTAAAGAAGAAGGGCATTATGCATTAAAAATTACAGATGTTATTGTGGCGGTACGAGTCATACAGATTTTCTCAACCTTTTGTGTTAAAAAAGAAGTGATTAATGGCCACAACGTGAAGTGCTGCTGGAGGCTGCAGATATGAAGAAATGGGTGTTTCTGCTCAGGTAATTAATATTACATATTTAATTTTATACTTTTATGTCCTGTGGAGCATGAAACTTTTGCCAAGAAGTCCAAAAAACCTTCGACTTCTTGGCTAGCACCTTTTTAGTCAACACAAACTCACTTACTTACTATACCAGATATCTAGACATACTTCATAAAAAGACTTTAAATTGGACATATAAAACAAAGTCCACTTTTTTAGCCCTTAAATATATTTAGTTGTGACCTTGGAGTCTCTAATTCACAATAAAAGTAGGAACTCTCACTTCTGGGAGAGAAAAAAACTTTAATTTAATCTCTGCTGGTGCTGGGCAGATATTTTTATATTCTGTTTGGGTCATGTTTTTCCAATGTGTTCAGGTTTCTCTATTCCTTATTACCTTTTTTTTTTGTCATTTGTTTTGGGCAACAAATGACCTAAATGCATTCACCTACGTTTCTACGTTCGTATCTCTTCTATCAAGCTAAAAAAATGGCTGAATGGTGTGGAGAAACACTGTGCAAACTGGAGGAGGCGGGGCCTGAAGTGCCTCATTGCATTTAAAGACAGCATCAAAATGAGTTTCATGACGAGGAATTCAGACAAAGCATTGCTGTTCCACTTTATAAAGACCACAACTGAATAATTTAAATGAGAAACGGAAGGATTTAAAAGCAATATATATTCACATTAAAACAGACAAAAACTTTAGTTTAGATTAGTTACCAAAATTATTTTTATTGAAGTCCACACAGACTTATTACCATGGTAATTTATTTTTAAATACAATATCTTCATGCTAATATCAGTATTGTTTTTGAAGTATTTCAGTTTGAAGCAGAGAAAAGACGAACAAACGACGCACCTCCTCATTGATGTACCAGTACAAGCAGTTGTCTTTCAGAACAAACCAGTACTTCTTCCATTTCTGAGAGAAGTAACCCTTGGCATCCCTCTTTCTCCACAGCCAGCCCTCGCAGTCTCCTCTGCCCAGCGCTTTGCAGGAAACACGCCTCCGACTCAGCGAGGTCAGACCTCGTCCTGGAAACGCAAACGGAGCGACGTTTAAGAACAGACGATAAAACCAACAACCTACAGAATAATGACAAAACAAAGATGTATTCAAACTAACATGACTGTATGTGAAGTTCCCTTGTCAGATCCAGATCTGTAGAATCAAAAAATTGCTTCAACAGAACCTGTCTGACAACCCGAAGAATGGTAAAATATCTCTAAAGGTAGACCGTAAAAACAATCCCGAAATCCTGGAAGGACTGATCAGTGTGAAAAGATGTTCAATATGTTATGTTAAGAAAAGCTTAACATGAAATCAAGTTTGCTGAAACAAACTGTTACTTATTGATATTTTAATAGATTCTGGCACAACAGGCCCTTTAAGATCATTCAAATTTTTGAAATTGCCCAAAATGAAAGCGAGTTTGACGCCTCTGGTTGAAATGCAATCGAGAAGTCTGTCAGAAAAGTCCAGCAGGAAAAAATAAATACATAAATAGCATGTGAGATTAAATAGTCTGACAAGGAAAATTTAAGACCATATTTAAGACCAACTTACAGCTTTAAAAAAATTATTTAAAACATTTTAAGGCCTTAAATTTACATACATGATTTTAGGACATCCTGATTTAGCAGTTAGCATGTCGTAGCAGCAAGGCAGATGAAAAAATGCTACTTTTGACTGAAGAGAGCGCTCAAATAACTGACACTGAGGGTACTTTTAGGGGCATTTTGGATCAAAACACAAACAATAACTTCTGGAACTGAGGGAAGGCCTGAATGAAAACGACAAGAAGAGAAGAATTATTGTTAAGGAAGCGTATTCTTAACAATTCTGGTACTTTCTCAGTTCTACAACTTAAAACGTCACAGGCTGATGTAGAAACAGCCTTGAGCTCTGAGAATTTTCCACAACGCTGTATTATCGTGTGCAAGGTTTCCCCCAGAAAGCTTGCTAAGCCTGGTGGCTGGATGTTAGAGCAGCCATTCATCCAGCGGAAAGGAAATGTGAAAATATCACTTGATACTTTTGTGTTATTGAAAGATTAATAACTGAACACCAACAATAAAACCTTAAAAAATAAGGAATGCTAAGCCTGGTGTCCCGCCAGGATTATAATACACTGCCTGTGCTTACTAAAAGTGGTGCTTTTTTTCCGGCTTAAAGGTGATGCATCAGTAAGCTCCTTATTAAAGATAACTGGAGCAACATGGCTTCCAGGTGAGGCCGGCAAAGAAACTCCTGCTGCTCTGCATGAAATGTCTTTTTAACAAGAATCATGATCCAGGTGTCAATTTTCCTCCTTGGCAGCTTTTTTCTAGAGGAAACAACTCTCCACAAAAGTGTTGACACACAAAAAACGAAACATTCTTGCATGAAGCGTGGAAAGGTTTTCAGCTTAGAGATAATGAATCATTTATATTCCTGCACAAGAGGGTAATATATCTGAAAACGCACAAAAGTGTTGTGCAATAATGATCGTCCTCGTTCCTGTGTCGACACTAACTAATGCCATCATCAGTTTGGTCACAAAAGACCCATTTGTGCACAGTTTTACTAATTCCTAATATGTTGATGAATTAGTTATTTAGAGCTACAATTATTAACATCAATTTCTTTCAGAAACGTTGGTTCAGTTGCTGTAAACAAACAGAGCCGTGTGCAGATGGAGCCAAAGTTTTCAGAGCTTCTCACAGCAGCAGATGGCAGAACAAGCGATCAGACCGTGGAAAAAAATTCAAATCTCCCAGCATGTTGATCCATGACAGTGTGAAAAGTTTGTCACAGAGGCAAAGGCACTTGTCAGAGTGAATATTAGAAATAAATGGAAAAATCTCAACAATTATTTAAAAAATTGAGTAAAACTGACAGAAATAATTAAGAGAATCTTTGACTACTGTTTGGAAAGTTTTCATTATTAGATATACCTTGTAAAGCATTAATTTAAAGCTGTAAAATAAGCACAATTTGTTTGAATAAAAATGCTAAATTTTTTACAAGATCTTATACCAGTACTGGGCCGGATTTTGGTTTAATTCCCAGATTGAGTCCAACTGAGGATACAGATCCAAACCTCATGTTGCCAAATATCACATATTAGTTCATTTTACCCAGGAAGTTTCAACTTACAGGCACAAAATTTACACTTTTAGAGAGTAAACTCTACATAAGCCTGTTGCAATAATTAATAAACCTATAAATCAATTCATTGCATAATAAATGAACATACGCTCCTCTTATTTTGAAAGACAATTTTGTTTACAGAGACAACAATACATTTCATTTATTGTTTTGATTGTGTGTGCTTTTTCTTTTACATCCATTTTATTTACTGTTTATTTTTCATTATTATACCATAATCGATACATTACTTGAAAACTGTCTCCAAACCACAATATTATTGTTTATCGCTATAATTATCTGGGCTATTTATCGTCCAATAAAATAAAATCTCTTGACAGGCCTACCTAAACACTCTATACTGTGTGATTTTTGGACCGAAGAGGACATGGGTAATTTTAATCGGTTGGATCAGATATTTAATACAAAGATGAAGTTGTTTGGATGTGAAGTGTGCATCTCAAACCCAAAACAACCTTCCAAACCACTCAGGTCTTCAGAACCAAACATGGAGAAGCAGCATTCATCTTCTATGCACTGCAAATCTGGAACAAACTTCCAGAAAACTGCAAAACAGTCGAAACACTGAGTTCCTTTAAATCTAGACTAAACCATCGACCGGTTTAGACTTGATTTTGAAACATTAATTAACATTCTGATGTGTAATGACAGCACTTGACCAAATGTAATGTTTCGATTGTTGACTTTGTATTTTTGTGTTTTTAGGATCTTTGAACTGAAATGTGAAAGACTGATAAACTTGATTTGAAAAAGCTTTATACATTTTCCAGCTGAAGATGGTAAAAGTGAGTTATGATCCACAATGAAACGATTCCAAAGCAGAAACGGCTGGTTTTCTGAAAAGATGTCCCTCTTTAGGGAGCAGCTTCCGCCCAGGCCAACCTGGTGCCGACCCTGCTTACCTTTATTCTTCTTCCGGTTCTTCGTCTGCAAAGAGGCCGACTGCTGGTATGTCTGAGGAAAGAAGAGGGAGACAGAGACAGAGCATGCTGTCAGGACGAATCAGTGGCCTTTGTTTGCTGCAGTAAATCCTGGGATATAAAAGATGACAGCAGATTTTAGAGGCAGCAGGACACAAAGAAAACCATCTCACTACATCCTCTCACACACAGACGCAGTCAGTCAGGGGTGGAGGAGTCAGAGCGGCTGCTTTCACACGTCTAAACATAGAACGGAGGGCTGGAGGTGACGTTAGGGTGGAACAAAGCACATCCAGGTGATGGAGGATGTGTGAAACAAACAAGAGCCACGGGGAGTTTATAAATAAAGAAAAGCTGACCACTGATGAGGAAGCGCTATTATCGATTCTTCTCTAGTGTGACGACAGAGGGACAGTGAGCTGGAGTAACAGAGACATTAACTGGTATTCTTCTGTTTCCAGTCTTTACATTGTGAGGAAATATAAATCTGACAACACAGAAAATTAACGTACCCGGTCGGATCACAGCAGAACACTGTGACTGTTCATATTATGTGAGATTATCCCAGAGCTATAAATTAACTTGAAATTAAGTGTATTTTCACAACTGATATTCCTGTAGACTCGGTTTGATTGGAGAGCAAAGTTGCAACATTTGCTACATTTTCAGCTGCTGTGGTTCGATTTACTGTGTCAAACAATTCAAACACAACTTCACACACACACATGTAAACAAAAGTGAAGTGGCATGAGATTTTAGCAAAAATCTTTAGTATTGGTTAAAAAAAAACACGAGTCATTTCTCCAGCTAGCTGTAGAATCTCACGTCTGTTTTGGTGATATTTACCCAGAATGCCCTGCGCTATAGTCTGGTCCCTGCTTTTAGAGCGGTCTCCAATCCGCTTGGTGTTCACATACGCATTCAAACCGCACCAGAGTTCACCTCAACCAAATTTAGACCACGGTTTTCAGGTGGACTAGTGTTCACGTTTTGGTTTGATTACGCATTCACACCTCCCCAAATGAACCGGACTTTCAAGGCTGACACACTAAAGTTCGATTAAAGCGAACTAAACGGGCCTCCCTGTGAGTCATTCTGTTTAGTATTCAGAAGCCAACTCACAGATGCTTCAGTGATCAAACATAAACACGTTATACTTATTGTGTAAAAGGTATGCATCTTGTATTTGTGACTTAATTTGACAGAGGAATGTTTCTGAATACCAAGTGTGCTAATTTGAGGTTTGTGAATTCTCATAATCCTGTTTCTAATCCATCATGTTTAGATTGAATCTCTCAACGGATCAGATGGGGCAACAGACCAGCTCTGATGTCACGGTATTACACATCTCAGGGGCCGGACCTCAGCCACTCACAGCCACAGGCTCAGTGGGACAGATGACAAGGGTCCTCCCACTCCCACCGACACGCCATCTGTCATCAGAACATCTCACATGCCTCACACACACACACACACACACGCACACACGCACGCACACACACACACACACACACACACAGCTGGTGCAATGGAAGCACAACCTGAGTGCAAAACATGCAGCTGTGTTTTATTTTCAAAGAGATTCTGACAAGATGAGTAAGGTCACTGCCGGCCAAACCTGCCAGTCTGGACCGGCTCAGACGGACCAGATGTCATGGATGTGACAGCAGGGCCATAACGAGTCAGCACCTGCCAGAATCACACTTCACTGCAGCACTTTTCTGTCGGGGTCAAAGCTCAGTTGCTTGGAGACCGACTGTCTGATTAGTAAAATGATTTAGAAGGAGAAGTTCTAGGAGTAGGAATAGTTTTTATCCAAAGTGTGTGGCTTTACATCTATGACTAGTGATGACACAATGCACTGCATATCTCTGATTTACTGGATAAATATTGGAGGAGTTAAATCGCAGTCTAGACTTTTTGTCTGTACTAAAGATCATCGTCCTGCTGCATAATTCAGGTGCGCTTGAGCTAAAGGCCAAAAGCTAAAGGGAGGCAGCACCTTCTCCTGGATTTTCTGACCAAGACAGGAGTTGTGTTTTAATATTTTGAAAATAAATTTGCTCAATAGACAATCTTTAACCAAAATCAATGACAAATAGTAAAAACACAACTGAAGAAAGACACCAAAAATGACAAAAGATTTATAGTAAGTTTAAAAACGTACTCGATACATAGAGGTTTGGTCTCTGGGAGGCGATTCCCTCTGATTGGTCTGAAGCAGGTAGTGGGAGGGGCTTTGGCTGTGGTGGCTCCGCCTCTTCGCACGCTTGGCCGTGTCATTGGACCGTTTATTTGGACGTGCCGTGTGGGAGGAGTAGTCCTCCGAGACGGTCCGGTCGTCCGCAGAGGATAGTCCCACATAACGCAACAACGAAGCATCTGCAAAATAGAAAACATCAAACCTTTAAATTCATCTGCAGCTTCCATAGTGTTTTCAACAGGGATGAATATATTTATCTAGATTAATCCAACAATGTATAACATTTAAAAAATAATTCAAAGAGGACTCATTATTCAAATCTTAACCTTTAATCAGAGGATCAATTCTGGTTAATCAGGAGTGAAATTCCATTATTAAGCTTTCATTCGGATCAAATCTAAGCAGGAACTCAGATCTTTGTCTCGTTCAGTGGGAGTAAAAAATTAACCCAACTAAACACAGAAATGTTCCAGCGGCTTTCGAATTCAAACTCCTGGACCGTTATCTGTCAGCTCTGTGTTATCTCAGCTTTGGCGATGCAGTGAAGCTGTAAACAAGTAGGGGAAAGGCAGCAGTCAGCAGCTACAGTACAAACGAAAAGTCACAGATCCTCTCCAGGCTGCCTCTGTTGATAAGATAGACATTAATCCCAAAAATGCTTCAGTTAAGCCCTTTTTTTTATTAACAGTGCCATTTATTTTAGTGGCAAATGCAGCAAGAAAGGCAGCAAAAATGAAGATTCCCCACTTAAATTTAAAAGACTTTATTTTACAAAAAGTAAAGGTGAATTCTGCTGCAACAAACACTAATTTCACTCATTTTCCTCCAAAAGATTTGAGTCTGGTTTTAGAAAAGACAGATGAATTGTACTATAGAGATATATTACAAATTGGATTTTGCAAAGAAAAAACTTATTTTCATTAGATATATAACTTAAACTTAATTTACGAAAACATAAATGTGGAAACATAAGGATCTAATTAAGTGTTTTCAGATCTGATAGTTGGGTTGATTTGGTTCGATTGGGACCAAAATGACAACATTTGTTACATTTTCACACTGCAGTGTTTCTAAATAACCTTCCATTCTGAATAACCTATTCCCCTCCTCACCTGTGGGGGCGCTGCACCATGAACCACTGAAGGAAAAAACATGAAAACCTCTGGAAAAGGCACTGAGCTCAACTTCTTTCTACACAAAATCTAAACAAAGGCAGATTAGCATCAGATTTTAGCAACTGCAGGATTTCTTTTAAATTATTTTTGTATTTTTTAATGTGAATTTTATTTTTTTCATTTTAAAGACAGCTTGAACACAAATGTCTCATAATTTCACAAATCTTAAAATAAATATATAAACAAAATATTCTTGCAAATATCCATCCAATTTTTACAATTTCTATTCAATCCAAATGCTATGCAATTAATTTATTATGTTTGTTTTGGTTCTATTTACCCAGAATGGAGTGTGCCTCTTCCTAATTTTGTGTTTAAGTTGAACTAATACATTTTATTAATTTACACCAAAACATCTCCACAAACAATTTGTTAATAAAGGGAAAATATTTACATTTTTCATCCAGTTTCTGTTTAGTCGCTTTGCTTTAAGTGTGATTATTGAAACAAAATCCTCAGTTTTATCCACCTGCGTTGTATAAAATGTTGATTATGACTACAGCTCATCCATCTTCCACACTTCTTCCCACCTTCTCCCCATCCCGGGTTTCCCGCTGCAGTTTCCTCCCTCCTGGTTGCTACGCAGCGGCCAGAGGAAAGCGAGAAGCTGTCAGCGTCACCATGGAAACTGTGTGAGTGATTCAGGTGGAGGTCAGAGAGAAAGATCTCTTTCTTTTACTCCTTTTTTTGTCTGTTCTCATCCCGCTGTTCTTTCTATCCTTTTTTTTTCTTCGTCCATTGCTGCCTTTCATTTCCTCCGCCTTTGTGCTCGTGTCTCTTTGCCTCCTTTGCTCCTCAGCAGCTTTTCTTTGGTTCCTCTGTGACGCTGATGACGGGGGGAATTGGAAAAGAGGCTCGCATATCCTCACACTCGCTGAGCGCTTCATAATTTGTACAGATGGGAACGTTTAGCTGATATCCAGCCGGCTCTCCTGGACTCACCTCTGCGGGTTTCTCTGTTCAGCTTGGCTGGGTCTTCGTAGTCGCCCACCCAGTTGCACTCCACAGGCATCGAGATGGGCCTCAGCCTGCCTACAAGTGCATATTAGAATAAAATGAAATCCTCATTATTCGCCCTGGGAACTGTGTTTATTCTCAAGATTCACAAGATATGTCAGGTCATAATTTGTGCAATTCGTATCAAAATGGCTGCAAACAGATGAGCAATTAAACAACCGTACAACTGAGAAAAGCAGAAGTTGTGCCTCCCGCAAAATCAACAAGAACACAGCAAGTGTTTTCTGGATGGTAAGTCAAAAACAAACCACCTGTCATTTCCAACAGCCATTGTACAGCTGTAAAACCAGCTGACCAAATATACCGGATCTGCGGTTGCTAGGTAACGGGCCACTGCCTGCTGGTTTGTGACGTTACATTCAGGAGGTTTTTGAAATGGCTCATTTTCCATACATCTTTAAGAGCTATGTTTGTTTTTAGATGTAGTAGAAACCCAAATGGAAGTACAAAAACAAGCAAAATGTGAACTTTGCATGCCGGATCCCCTTTAGCAGCATTTATAGAAAAAAGTAAATAAATCAGAAACTGCTTCATTGACACATTGTGGCGCATTCTGGGTAGAACCTGCACACCGTATGTGGGCGTGGTGCAGTACACCGGCTCCTCCTCTTCTCGCCGGTGAGACTCTTGATCCAGGAAGGAGTTTGGTGATTCAGAGCGCTTGGCAGCGCTGACGCCACCATGGCTACGAGACGCTTCGTCTGCAGACAGGGCTCCTGTCTCGTCTCTGTGGCAACCAGAGGCAGACGCTCGTCAGAGGAAGTTTGAACGACGAAGCGAATGGTTCGGCCTTCAAAGATGCAGAGGAAGTACCTGGGGGTGTAGGGCTCGGCAGGTGGAGGCGGGATGTAGAGATCCTGGAGGGCGGAGCTTTTGGTGGGTGTTCCTGATGGTGTGCCAGAGCCGCTGCCTGGGCTTCTGGTTGGCTGCATTTAAAATTTTAAGAAAAGAGAAAATTTAGTCCATCAGATTCTCCTTTTTATGTTTCATTTGTTGATTTTTGTGTTTTTATGATGTAAAGATGTTTGAACTGACTTGGTGCTGAAATGTGTAAAACAAATAAAATCTGATTGATTGATTAAAATGAGCTGAACTCAGATCCAAAGCATCACAAATCCTATCAGTTTTTCAGGAGTGTAAGAATATAAGCTAATTTTATTTACATTGTACTAAATATAAAAGGCATAGAAATAAATAAAAATAATTAAAAAAAATCATAAAATGATAACTTCACTTAAAAATAGTCAAACACAATTGGAAACAACCATAAGACTTTGAACTTCCAGAGTTCAAGATGAAGTTTTGTGTTTTTTTTTGTCTTCCTTTAAAGCCATGCTTGTTTGTTTTTTCCCTTTTGAAGAGATAACAGATATTTATATCCCAGGAACTCAAAGATTAAGTTTAAGCTATTATAAAAAAATATATATATAATTTTTACGTATTTGCTATTGTGACGACGTAATATGTAATCTGTGAAAAGATGAAAAAGAGGTGGGTCTTAGCGCTGTCAATCAACCTAAAGCCGCTGCTTAATGTGCTACCGGCGGACAAACGTAAAACTAATCACTTTATTTCTGGCCGGAGACTCAAAACAGGTCTGCAGTCTAACCTGTCGTTCAAGATTAGTATTTTTATTTTTAGGGTGATTGACGGCGCTAAGACCCGCCTCCTGGCTCTGATTGGTTGTTTTTGGTGCATTTGTTCAAATGGCAATAACAGCTCAGAGAGGAGATGGAGGATATCGATATTTTCACAGATTATCTGTCTAATATCATCCTGTCACAACATGAAGATAGATGTATCAAATTCATTAAAACATATATTTTATAAAAGTTACATACTGCAGCTTTAACAAGATTTTCCAGTGTTAAATTAGTAGCCTTTATTTGAAGCATAACTTTAAACATAGTGTATCAGGTGATTTCAGCTGCAGTGGACCAAAACACAAAAAAAGTCAATTTTTGATGCACAAACACTTTTTTTTCTTGTTTCCTCTCGTTTGTCGCTAATTAAGAGATAATTAGCGGTGGAAATTTCAGCCTCAGTTCCGAGAATGTGGGTTGAAAACCATTAGATTTCCCTTCCCCATTTACTGCTTTCGACCCGGCTAGCAAACCCCGTGCTGAGCCACAGCTCCGTGACCTAATTACATGCTTTTGCTGCGGCCGAGCGGGAGGAAGAATGCTGCGGGGAATCGATGTGGGCCAGTGAGGTGCTTTAATAAAGTCTATAAAAGGCAGAGGCAGTCCCACCTGCAGAGCCAGGGGTTTCCAGCGCATGTTCTTCAGCAGTGCAGGGGCGGAGCTGAGTGTGCTCTGAGGACGCTTCTTCAGAGTCAGGGACACGACCCCTTTATCGGCCCTCAGTGAGCCAACCAGGTTACGCAACTGCCAGCCCACCTGTGGAGCAACGAGGAACATCGTAAGGCAGGGAGACTCGCCACAATAAAAGATTATGAATGTTCTTTAAGGCCAGTTGGAGTGTATCGATAAGGTACGTGTCAAACTCAAGGCCCAGGGGCCAAATCCGGCCCACTGTAGCGCTTTATGTTGCCTGGACTCCAGACTAATGCATAAATAAAACCACCAAGATAACAGTTGTGTGGTTAAATATCAATTTATTAATCAAATAAAAGTAGTTTTTATTTGTTTACTACTATTTTATATTAGTCAATACTTTCAGCTTTACTACGATCGTGAAAATTCACATCAAATGAAGTCATTTTTTGTGCTAATTGATAATTGTGAGCTTATTGAAAATCTTCCCAGTAAAATGATCAAAAACAGGTAGCCAGTGATGCCAACTCCCACCTGCAGGTGGCAGTGTAGTTTACTTCTCGACTTCTAGCACATTAATGTTGACTAATTTGGCAGTAAACAAATAAAAAATTCTTTAATTTGATTAATAAAATACTTAAGCACACAACTGTTAGCATGACGGTTAAATTTTTTTGCAATAAATCGGTAATTTAAAAATATTTCTAAGAAATCTGCAACATTTTCCCTAACATTTGAAGGTACAGGTGACATTTTATTAATCACAAATAATCGATTAGACTAAAACTTGACATCAACTAAGGGCGGAGGCAAAAGTGTATTAGTAAAATATCCTGCCACCTGCAGGTGGGAGTTGGCATCACTTAAAACCTGTGATAATTTTTCTGGAAAGTTTTCAATAAACTCACAATTATTCATTAGCACAAAAAATTATCTGATTTGTTGATTTTGTGCAAATTTAGTAAAACTGAAAGTACTGACTGATGTAAACAACTACTTGGATTTGATTAATAAAATAATATTTAAACAGACAACTCCTCAAAGTTTTATTTATGCGTAAGCCGGTAGTTTAGAGGGCCACTTAAAAAGGCCAAATGGGCCAGATTTGGCCCTCGAGCCTTGTGTTTGACACACGTGGTGTAAGGAAATAAAAATCTCCCTCATTTATATGCAGGCTGAAGTTTGACTCCGGTCCACATCGTGAGCGAAACAAGTAGGCGGCAAGGCGGCATAACTATCTATAGAGGCTTCATGTGATGTAACCTGCCCTCATTTCCAAATCCAAAGCGTCTTATCATCCATCATTTTTCTCTTTTTTTTTACATTTTTACCAACTATGTGCAAAAAGCCACGCCTACACTGCTCGCCTCCAGCAGATCTGCAAACGAAAACAAACTGTAAACAAACACGAAGCTGCCCACCGGGATGCGGCGCTCGCAGCCTCGTCGTACCTGAGCGTACCGAGCTGACCTGAGATCTGTTCATGATCAAAGACCGACGGTTGTTTTTCAGAGCAGGCCGGCTCTGATACGGCACAAAAGCACGATTACTGGGGATTTATTTACGGAGGTTTATTTACTGGGTTTTATTTACTGGGGATGGGTTTGTCTCCTGTTTCGCCACTGAAAATGTGCAGATCTGTGTGTTGTACTTTTATCCCAGTGTTTTATATTAACAACTTCTCAACATTTCCATGTCATAATTACAAACATTTCCAGAGTTTATCTCTGTTCTTATTGTTTTATTATAAATACAAAGTTATCCATCCATCTATCCAACCATCCATTCAACTGTGGACGGATGAATGGATGGATGCTCTGATGGTTGGATGAACCTCTCATCGTTTCTTATCAGTTTTCAAACTGTTGTTGATAAAGAAACCTCTCCCCACAGCATGATGCCTCCACCTCCATGTTTCACAGTGTGTGTGGTGCTTTCAGGGTCTGTCGTTTGTTTCTGCCTCTTAATGAGCCACCATTACTGCTGTAAAGCTCAATAGGTACCATATAGATGGAATTAGCTTTCACGGAATCATTTTACAGTAAACAGAACCCAGAAGGAAAAAAAACATTTTATAATTTCCTCAAGTTTCATCATTTTTCTCCATTTTTCACTTGCTCTTTTATGTAAAACATCTGATTTCAAACATACCACGGTCTGGTGGTTGACTTGAATCACTTCATCTCCTGCATGGATCTTCTTGCAGCGGTCAGCCGGAGACTAAACGCACACAAAGCAGAGATTAATAACCCATCGATTCCTGTCTGACACTTTGGGAAGTTTCACATCAAACCCCACTTAAATGATCAATAAAGGCAGGCAGCCATTTTGTCGTCCTTATTGAAAATGACAGGCTGCTGTTGAAAGCAGATTCAATGATTGATTTTAAGAGAAAATCCTCTCACCCCTTCTGTGGTTCCTGTGATCACATGCAGGCCATCATAAGTGGACTTGATGTACATCCCCTGATGGAGACAAGAAACAAAAATATTCATCGCTTTAAAGTAGCAGACACGACTTTCTCTTCGGTCTAGCCCAGTGTTTCTCAAACTTTTTCAGGCAGAGGTCCACTTACTCCATTTATTTTCAATAATGGAAAACACATGGGAATATAAAAAGTTTTGATAACATTTTAGGGCTGCGTGTAATTTAGAGGCATAATCAAAGTAAATATTATTGAGTCGGGATGGAAAAACAAACATTTTCTTTCCAAAGTAGGTAGTCCAACATAAATAACTTTATTTTAGCTGCTAAGATGCAGTTAGTCAGTGTGGGGCGCGGCGCAGTTTTTTTGCACTCAGCAGAGTCGCAGTCCCAGAACTGCATTCGTGTGGCATGCTTTGTATCGTAATAGTGTTGAAAAACAAAAGTACTACACCTCCTTCTGTTTTTATTTTTAGTGTCTTGGTTTTAAGTAATTTATCTATTATTCATTTTAAACACAATCCTTTGCTAAGCTAGCTCTAGCGCCACACTTTGAGCTGACGTCATAGCAAATAAACGGTTACATGCAGTACCTTGTGGACCACTAGGGGGCCAATGTGGACCACAGTTTCAGAAACACTGGTCTAGAGCAGGGGTGTCCAAAGTGCGGCCTGGGTCCAATTGTGGCCCTTGTCTTGGTTTTGAGAAGTCTGGCCCTGCAGCACTTTTTGTAATTTCTTTGAGATGAACTTTTTCATCGAAAGTTTATAAATTCGATATGATAAAAAACAGATATAAAGTCAGCTCAGAGCAGTACCAGGCCTTCGGATGGCTTAGTGTTGGTGAGGTGAACCAGTTCAAGGTGGGCAGACTGGGAGACCAGTGGGTCCGACGATACGCAAACGATGTGCTCACACACTTCAGACAGAGTCTTACACTGCAGACGAGAGAAAGAAAACACCAAAATAAATGAAAAACAGAAGACTTATTGACTAAATATGACAATATTGTGATAAAAACATGAGAAAAACTCAGCTGTTTTTGTCACAAACCAAATAAAAAATCAATTTTCTGCTGTAAGAATCAGATTAGACTCATGTAGGTTTATTTTTATTTATCAATTCAGCACTTCAGTAAACCACAATAACCGAATCCCCTTCAGATACAATGGAGGTGAATTTAATTATGCTTTTTCTTGGCAGATTCAGTCGTGTTTTTCATAACAGAGAAGTTTGAATAAAAACTGCTGACTCTATTTTTGGATCAGCCACAGAGGAAGTCACTAAACTTTGTGTAGAAAAGTTTTTCTGCCACGTCGACAGGAAAATCGCTGCTACCTATCAAAGATTTCTCCTCCTGCACTTATCATTTCCAAACTTAGTAGTGCGACATTTTGAACTCGACATTTTTCTGAAAATATCCCAGAATCTCGAAAGGGTTTTGGCTTCGTCCTGGTTCTGGTTCTAGAATCGTCCTCGCAGCTGACATGTTGGTTTGTCATAGTGAGTAAAATGTTCATCTCCAGACACTTAGAAACAGAATTAAGACCAGATGTGAGTAAAGTATCAAAAAATGATACTCAAGAAAGAGTAGCAGTACGTCAACATAATTTTACTCAAGTAAAAGCAAAAACATATTTGGTAAAACGTCTACTCATGTGCTGAGTAACTGATCACATTAATCATTTAATATTTAAAACTTACTTAGTCAGATGGATTAAATATAAAGTTAAGTGGAAATTTTGGTATTTTAAGAACAAAAATGACAAAATAGGACAAAATACTTTTTTCCAAATGAGTTTCTTTTAATAAAAACTTATGAAACTTTAACACAAGCTGCAGGTTGTGTCTGGTGTTTGTTTTTCATTTCAATGGGTAGAAAATCCAGACATTTTACTCAAGTAAAAGAATCTATTTTTGAAACAAAGTAAATGGAATTGAATAAATGTAACTAGCTACAACCCAAATCTGATTAAAACCAGTTTAGGTTCATTTCTTTGTTAGGTGCAGCATCTGACTAAAGACAAACTCACCACATGGAGGATTTTATTCTCCGTCTCAAACACCGTACAGTCCTGAGGGAATGGAGAGACATTTAATGTAGCAGCAAGAACATTTTGTGTTGCACTTGCTGCTAAAGTATCTCTGCATACTTCCTGGGCTTCACATTGCCGCAGCCCAGCTACCTGGATACTATACACCGCCACAGATACAACAAACACCCACACAAACAGACATGCATTCAGCTCTTATTTATACACACATCAGTCACATAAAAGACAGGCTGAGAAAGATGTAAACAGCAAAGAATCGAGTCTCGCTTAAGGATGCAGACTGCTGCATCACACCCACCCACGCACATGCATACAGCACACTAAGGGGGATATGTCAACCCACGGCAGCTCCCCTCAGCCTTGAGCTTCAAGCACAGCAGAATAAAAGCTATCAGCCTTCAAAACGAGCACACAAACGCTTCCACACACCTGCTGTACAATGGTGGTGAGCTCCAGGCAGAGCTGAATGACATTATTTCGGGTAACTGAGTAGTCTGCCACAGCAGCAAAGGGAGACCTGGGAGGGAAAGATAACAGCGGTGAGTCTTTTAATGCTACTGCTGCGCCAGAAGATGTGCAGGGGTGATAGACAGGGGCAGCACTGTAGGGAGAGGTTAGCGAAAATGCTGCCATGCTGCAGTATTTAAACCAGGATTTATTTAATTTTTCCACCTTTTTAAGCTTTTAGAATAAATGTTTTTTTCATATATTTGTTCAAACTGTCACAATGTCACAAGAGTACGGTACGATTCAAATAATATGTGAAAAAAAAATCGAGCTGTTCTGACTTTGAAACAGCCAATCAGAGCCAGGAGGCGGGGCTTAAGCTTGCTAGCAAAGCTTGTCATGAACGCTCAGGGTCGCTAGCACAGCCACCAATGACAGCAAATAAACGGTCTTCCTGTAACATCAAATCGTTTCTCCACCATTAATACATTTAGCGGATTGTACATGAGATTGATTGATAGCGCTAAGACCCGCCTTACGTCTCTGATTGGTCGTTTTTGTGCATTTTTTCAGACGGCAACAGCAGCTCAGGGAAAAAATGGAGGAGATCCATCTTTTCACAGATTATCTGTCTCATAATAAACTGTCTCAACAAGGTGACAGTTTTAACAAATAATATAAGAAACATATTTTTAATAAACGTTACATACGGCACCTTTAACCATTTCTAAATGTTAGAGAGCTAACGGTTTTGCTGATCCGTTTTGCAGTTTTCACATAATCGATAACATCCTAACTAAAAAACATCCTAAAAGTAGAAAAGAATATTCTGTGATATTGTGCTGACCTGGTTTAGATGGGCCGATCGAGATAACTTTCTATGATTTGGTTAATATAAATTTGAGCCACTAAATATCATAGAGTTCCTCAGGGTTCCAGTCATGGCCCACTTATACTAATAAATTAAGAAATAGAAAAGAATATCTGGTACTGCACTAAACTAGCATTGATTTTGTTTGGGCAGACTGGGAAACTTTCTATGCTTTAGTAAATATAAATCTAAACTAAAGATTACGAAATTCCTCAAGGCTCCAATCTCAGACCCCTTATATTAAGAAACTGAAAAATAGAAAAGAATATCTGGTAGTGTGATAAAACGGTTTGGATGAGCAGATCGAGACAACTTTAGTGTTATGCCACGCTAGTGGGTTTTTCTATTCACCAGTCAATGGGTTGTGTTGTGTGACTCCAGCCCATTGTCCTATAAACCTAGAACTGATGGGGAACCAGAAATAAACCTAAATATGAACATTTACTCATCTCATCACCCTAATTTTGGCTTTAAAATGATCTTAAACCAAGCTAAAGAATCTCCAACTAAAACAGAACATAGAAAACATTGTACATATTTTGTACTTTCCATTGGTTACTTAAAAATAATGATTGATGTGACAGTGACTCATCCAAAAGTCCAAACTAACACCAGGAAAATGGACAATAACACCGGTTTGTAGACGTCCCTGCTGGTGAAATGAATGGAGTATAAAACTGTATTATTCTATCTTCTTGAAATATAGTCGACAATAAAAAAATATTTCTCATTTAACGCGTTATGTTGATGAATTGCTCATGTGCTAACGATCAGGGATGGTGCTAAATTGTCTTCATATTTTAGAGTTGTCGGATTTAAAGGTTGCCATCTGTCATTCATAGGTTGCTAAATGTCAGTGATGTGGTTTTCATGACTCTGTCGCGTGTTTGTTAATTATCTGACTGAATCAATTTGGTTCGAAATGAACCTAATCCACAGTTGTCAGCTGTCACAGCGCTCGTGTGTATGGAGACTCATTCGTTTGTTATATTGTATGAGGGCAGAAGAGAAAAAGAAATGTGCCTCAAATGTAACTTAGAGAACATTTTTCATTCTGAAATGCCTTGATATCAACTGCAGAGACTGATTTTTTATGCTCTTTGAGGTTTTTAATGCTCTTTGATAGTAAAGAATAGAAAGTATTCTTTTCTATTTTTCAGTTTCTTAATATATAAATATCTGAGGTTACATATTTCTCCCTTAAAAACAAAATAAAGTAAGAAAACTTTACATTTTAGAACATATTAATGTGAAATTGTACCAATGGACTTCATTTATAAGTTTGTCATCTTTTTAAAAATATATACATGTAAAACCTACAGTTTGTAGAAAGCATGCAGAGCTTTTTCACTTTTAATTTTTCACATTTTCTCAAACTTTAACCACAAACGTTAATGTATTATTTAAAAATTTTATGGGATAATCCAATACAAAGTAGCGCATACTACATACAAAATAAAACTAAGTGTGATGTAAATAATTCACATATACAAAATTAATAGAAAATAAGCATACACATAGAAATAAGGTACTCCCATAATTAAACAACTATTAATTAATGAATTACTCACAATGACACCAACACTGCAAAAACACACAATCTTTAGTTTCTACTGCAAATATCTTAGTAAATGTGAAAAGTAACTTATCAGCAAAACATAGAAACTTGTTTAAAATAAATGATTCCTTGATATTGATTTTAAAAAAAAATGCTCCATTGGCAGATTATTTAATTTATAATATGGGTCAATTGTCTTGTTAGAAGTAAATTTATCTGCCAATGGAAGTAGAACTTTTTCAACCAATTTTAATTATTTACTTAAAACAAGCGTCTATATGCCGAAGAGCCACTTGCAAGTTAGTTTTGTTTTAGTTCAAGTGAAATAAGATATTTGCAGTAGAAACGACAGTAAAATTACTTGGTAAGATTTGGTGTTTTTGCAGTGAACCTGAATGTAATCATAGAAAAATAGATTTAGATCCTTACAATTAGCATCAGTCTTTATTGCACCGTGAATATGTCCACAACACAACTATAATCAATAATTATCAATACCGACAGATATGAAACGCTTTTATCGTGTTAAGTTTTTCAGTCATATTGACAAAAAACGGGATTTTAATTTGTTCTCAGAGGAAAAGAAAACAGTGTTTGCCTGTTCACTGCTGAAAGTGAACAGGCCTTTCCTTTCAGAAAACCTTACACAACGTTGAGTTTTCAGAGGCAAACAAACACGGCGGCGACCTCTGCTAATGTCTGGATGTTTCTCTATAAACGACTTTGTGAGCCGAGCTATTAGACCAGCTTCAATTTATTATGTTTTCTTGCCCCGAGCTCTGTTAGCTCACAGTGTCTCCTTTGTGTTCCCAGTTTCCACTCTATTCCATTTTGTTGACAAGTACACTTCCCTAAAAAGAAAAAAAATTCCCAATGAGGAACGGCTCATAAATTAAACGCTGCGAGTGCTCAGGTGTGAAAAAGGTGAGAGTGATAAGGAGCAGGCGGAGTTAATGAGGCGCTAATGACTGCACACAACAACAATGCGGCGCTACAGACAACAGCAACATTAGCGCAGAGTCATGACACATATTAGGACGGCGGCAGAAAGCGGCACATTTCCTTCGCTGTTCCAAAGACCCAGATAAAGACTCAGCCCAGCCTCTAGTGTATGATTTATCAGTGGTTTGTGTGATTTGGGTCATCAGTATTGAGGTTGACTACTATATATACACATGGACAACCTGGGGGTGTGCAGGAAGTCTGCTAACCACCAGGCAACCGCCCTGAAAACAACTCTTTGTTTTTTTTTTAACTAGAGCTATAAAACTTTAGGATGCAAAACTTTGCAGGTTATAAAAGAAAATTTAATTTATTTTCCAGGCATGTAGCGTCATTTAATAGCACAATCAAGTAACTATGTCATCTTAAATTTTTTATAAAAATACTAGATATGTCAAATAAAATTTGACTTTGTAAATTAATGCCTTGAAGTTGGGCCTCTGTCTCTTTAAGAAGCTCCTGGTCAGATCACAACCCTCTATGAACGGGTTAGGGTTAATGTTTTCACAAGAGTTTCACTGAAGTAGCTTGTATAAGATCCGAAGTTCCACCAGGTGTTTGCTAATTGTTACTGGCTAGTCTGAAGGAGCTGAGTGGGGGGCTGAGTGGGAGAGGAGCATTTTGCACAGCTGAAGGGATTACTCCGTTAGTCTCCATATGTGAAAGTATCAACGCATCACTCGTCTAGGTATGTTTTTAATGGGAAAATAACATTATAATCATTATTTAAAAAGTTTTAAAAAGTTGATTTTACTTGATACCGTCCCTTTAAGAAATCTGTCTGGTTCTGGTTCTGGTCTGCTCTACATATTCAGAACCAGAGCCACACATGGGGAAAGAGCATTCAGCTCCTATACACTACAAATCTGAAACAAACTTCCAGAAAATTGCAAAACAATCACAACACTGAGTTCCTTTAAATGAAGACTTAAAATGTATTTGCTTAGATACACATTTAATTTGTAGTAAATCAGTAGGAATTTATTACTAATATTTGATGTTTGTTAATGATTTTAATGATGGCATTTGACCAAATTTATTGTTTTATTTTTTTAATGGAAAGCACGTTCTTGCCGTTGCTGAAATGTGCAAATAAACTTGAACTGAATTAAAAATAGATTTTTAGTAATCATAACTAATCAATTGAATGATTTTGAAAGTGAAAGGACTTCAGCACTTTGAAGAGGAAAATCCACAAATTTGGACCCTGGATTTATAGATTCTGGGTCAAAGTTTTGTGTATTTTGAGTCAGAATCCAATCAAAGTCAGGTAATTTCTATAGAAAAAGCTAAATGCAAAGGGTTTGAAACTACAAGTGAGGCATTTCCAGCAGCTATGAAACTGAATTGCTGCTTTTTAGACTTTAAATTTTATAGAGCTTTTAATGAGCACAGTAAAGATAAGAGACGAACCAAAGAAAACAAGTCAGCGCAGTCATTACTCTGGCTGAATAAAGGAATAGTTCCTGCATTTTGTAGCCATCAGCAAAATATATGACACATAAAACGCCTCCGTGTGAATAATTAATGTTGTGTGTACGCAGTTCAAAGACGCACACGTTGAGTTCAGCTCCTGAATTCAGAAGAAATGACGGTGGAGTAAAATATGTAAGGACGTCTGTGGTTATTTTGTACACGGAAAGGTTGCAGAACGTTTCCCTGAGAGCTCGAATAACCAGATGGATAAAAGCTCAATCTGACACTTTCTAATATATGCTAACCTTTATCTCCATTATTAAACTCATCACTCTGAGCTCCCTGGCTGCAGAAATCAGTTTTACAAGATGAGATTTCTTGTAGGAATGGTGTGCACTGATGCAGAGGTGGGCAGAATACACAAAAATTACGTTCCAGTAAAAGTAGCGCTACTTTAACGTAACTTTCATTGCTGGTGAATTAAATTGGATGGAAAGGGAAATGGGAGAGCCAAATGATAAGATTTATTCTTTGTTCTGGCAAACTGTTTACTTTTTTCCCTCCCTCTCTTTTCCACTTCTACCCAAAATATTTAGGTCAACCAAGCAATATTAGAGAATAGAAAAATAATTCAAATTAGAAAATAAATTCCAATATCAAAAGAAAAAAATTAATCCAAATATGTTAAACAATTTCATTGTTTTTGTTGTGAGACCAACTGGTTATGTTAAGTATTTTGTCTTTATTTTGAATATAACAATTTTAATGTATACTTGTTTGTTTTTTTATATATATTTTAGTTGCTGCTATTTGTTTTGTAGATCAATATCCTTTTTGCTAGTTTGTAATGTTTGTTATATATACGCTAACCGGAGAATCTCTGTGGAGAATATTTCTACTCATGTAAAAGTAAACAGGTATATTTTTTTAAGAGCCTTCTCAAGTACTGAGTATCGCATCAAATTATTAATCATTTAATATTTAAAAATTACGTCAAACAAACCAAAATATAAAGTTAAGTGGATCTTTTTCATATCTAAGGACAAAAATAACTAATTCACATAATTAACAAAAAATAACAAAATCTGGTTAAAACATGTTTGTTATTCATTCAGTGGGTAGAAAATCCAGAATTTTTACTCAAGAGTAGCGATACTTTGTAATAAAATTACTCAAGTAAAAATCAAAATACTCCTAAAAGTACATCCTTTCAAAAAAGTTACTCAAGTAGATGCAATTGAGTAAATGTAACTAGTTACTACTCGGCTCTGGCACTGATGCAGAAACTGGACATTTGCTTTGTGTTGATGCAACATTTCAGGAGACTGACACGGTTTGCACCAGTTCGTCTTGGGAGACTCAATGTCACTTTGCCACCTCCAGTTGCATCATGGGATGCGTGCAACGCCTGCATGTTCGGCCGAACGCGTGCGTGCACGCTTCGCGCGGGCGTCTGTGCGAATCCGCGGCGCGTTCGCGTGCGCCCGAGGTCGAGATGGCCTGAGGACCGGTGTGGGTGTCTGGCATTTCAAGAGCCGGTGTCGAAGACCTTTAGCTCTGTGTCTGTTTGTGTGCTGCGGGCGGGAGATCGTGTCGAGTCATGCATACAAGAGGAGACACAAAGAAAAGGGTAAAGAGTAAAAGAGACAGACAGGGAGAGAGATGCATAGAGAGGGCAGGAGAAAAGGCTCTGAAATGAAAGCATATTTCCAAGCAGCAGGAGACAAGTCTGCTTCTTTTTATATCTGAGCTCAGATGGTGAAACGATTTATTCTTATGATCACATATAGGCTGCAGCTGAGGGCTCTTTTTGTATTACATCAATCGACAGCATAACATTTCTTAAATTCTTACAAAATACACTGAAATATTTATGCAAAAAAAATCATAAAGCGCAAAGATTTTTCCGTCAGATTAATAATTCGTTGAATTTTTGAAGGCGGTTTGGCTTAAATTAAACTGAAAGGCTTTTAACAGCAATGCAGTTAAAACATTCATTGTAAGAAGGTCTCTATTTCTTTTTACTGTCTGGCACTAAATAAGAGTAAACTTTTCCCATTTCAGGTCAATGAAAAGACTAAAATGATGAGATTTTTCTTACAGCCTCACAATATTTGGTTTTAATAGCGGCTCACCTGTGTGAAATCATGCAAAGAATCAAAATAATTCTGCTAAAATGTTAAGATATTTGTCTTGGGCTGGACAATATGACTAAAAATCATTTCAAAATATAAACATTTTATACCAGACAATATTAATAATTACTGGTACGTTTTTTGTTTTAGATATCTTTAAATACCGTCATACTGGTGTCATGACCTTTCCTGTTCTATACGTACACAACACTGTTGTTTTTTTATTTCTAATCAGGTGGAAGAACCTTAAACTGCTGCTGCGCCAGGTTGTTGCTAGGTAACCAAAGAATGAATGAGTTGCTAGGTAACCAAAGAGTGAGTGCGTTAGTGGATTTCCCCGAGCTTGGTGATTAAGAAATGTTATGAGGAAATATTGAAACATATCTAAAGACGTCAACCAGGAAGTTAAAGGTTGAATTGTTTTACCAAACAGTGAATAACCCCAGGATTACTTCCACAACTTTTACAGCGTTGTTAGAATATTAGGCATTTAATTAATCAATTTTGTAATTGTAATTGTTACATTTAGAGTTATAATGTTTATTTTCCACTGTCAGTTGAAATATAACTAAATGTATATATTTTGTGCTGCTTAGCTATACAATTTTGCTGCATAATCCAAATGTTGCACTTAATTAGACTATTTAATAATTAATAAATACCATCCCTGGTTTTAAATTCAGTCAAATTAAATTCTGTTGCCAAAGAAGCCTGAAGGCTTAAATACTGATTTGAACTCTGAACTGAACTGTAAATGCATCAAAACGGTTTCCAACCAGCTGCTAGAAAATATAAACGTAGAAACCAGAGGAGGTATAACCTGTCCAGCCACGCCAGCAGGCTCTTAGCAGCGGTGATGAGGTCAACCACGGAGGTCAGCAGGTCATTGGGGAGCCGCCGCGAGCTCCTGCTCTCCAACTGGCTGCTCCGCCGGCGGCTGGAGATGAAGTTCTGTAGGTTCTTGGCCGAGGCGCCCAGCTTGTGAGCGAGAGTCCTGACGCTCTCGGTCTCCAGACCCGAATTCTGGAGGTAAAGACGGATAAATATGCAGACCAGGGAGCGAAAACAGTTAAAAACAAGCGGTTCTTCTCTGATCTAAAGATAATCTATTAGCTAAAATATGAAGGAATTCCTCTGGGGTTGCTAGGTAATGTCGCAGTGCCCTTCGAATGTGACTCAATTATCGGGAAGTTTCAAACAATCGTCTACAAATACCTAAACACTCACTATTTTAAATTTAAATAAGTAATTCGATTTAATGTACAATTGTATTTAAAAACTTAAAAGCTAGGATGTTATCACTAAAAGTTCACCAAAGTGATTTAAATTTACCCGTTTTACCTTAATAATTTCTAAAAAACTGACAAATATATTTAATGAAATTCAACTAGATAACATAAAATTCAAAACTTATTATGAAATTACACATTAAAACATTATATTTGTTCCTTTCTGAATTATAAATAAAAAACATGTATAAATGTATAAAAAGAAAATCATCAGTTTTCGAAATCGCTCATTTTCCAGACACCAAAAAACATCTGTGAGGACTTTTTTTTAAATCGCTCGGGATGTTGAGACTTAAATGGAAGTAGAAACGTGCAAAATTAGAATTTTGCACAGTTTTGCTAAAATGTTTTGTTTGATGTTGATAGATGTGACCAACATCACGATTCTGAATGACTAAACTGGGCTGAATCATTAAAGAAAGAGGTCTAAGAAGTCAAAGCTGTGATTATGAGGATGGCATTTAGACTCCTCTAATAAAAGCCCTGCTTTTATAACCTTTGTAACCTTCTGGCTGGAAATGACAACAGTTTTATTCATTTGTAAATCCATTAATGGGATGGAAATACTTCTTTCTGGTTGGTATTTAAGCATTAAAACAAAGAAACTCGCCATTTCTCTGCTTTAGGGACCCTTGGGAAATCTAACAAAAATGAAGGAGGACACAAACAATTTACTCCCGGCTAGTTGTTGCTTTGTGCACTGAAGCAGAGCAGCATATTTTACAGCCTGATATGAGGCAGGAAAAGCAGAGAAACACTCACCAGAGCGCAGAGCAGGTCCACGGCCTCCAGGATGAGCTCCTGGTGTCCGATCCGAGACACGCCCAGCTCCTCCAGTTCAGCATGGCTGATCCTTAGCAGCCGCTCCCCGGACACACCCGCCCGCTCAAACACACCCACATACTGCTGCAAGCAGTCGTCCAGACCTGAAACATAAACACACACAGAGCTGCTGCAGGTGTTTGACTGTAAAATCACAAATCACATCACGAGAGAAATAAAAATAAGAGTCAAACTTTATGTCAATGCAGATGATGAAAAGAAACAACATTGTTGACAGCATTAAAAATGATTATTTTAAAGATTACATTTTCTCGTGCCGTCAGTCAGTTAAAAAAATCATATTAGATTAATCACTGGCATTGTGATTAGTTATAATTAATTGCTGTGTCAAACTTTGTAAGTGTGAAATGTAATCATCCTCTCAAGTCTTGATCGAATCAGGCAGGCGCGCGGGTCACTGTCACTGAGTGTCATATAAAAACAGCACCTTTATCTTTATCTTATATCTTCAACATTCAATCATCAAATGACGCCTAGTGAATCAGTAGCAGAATAAAATGAGGATTCCTAAATGTTTACACTCATGTTCAGTCAATAAATGCATTTTGATTAAAAATGTTGCAGAAATTAAAAAAAAAATCAAGTCAGCCTCATATTATACTCCAAGTATCTCCAGCTTGTAATGAAATATTTAAAGAAATCATGATACAGTTAATTATTATTAGAGAAATGATGGGCCGTAGTTGTTGCAGGGGCTCTCATCCTAACAGCACTTATTCTGCCCAACGTGGTAATTTTGCCCCCCAGCCCACATTGCAAACATATGGCAGGACTCCAGACTTCACTGGTGGTTCCCCTCATCGAGCTGCGCCTGCAGGGAGAGCGGATCGCTCCACACAGGAAGAGGCAGTTGCACTGCTGCTTGTTCCCGTAATAAAACAGCTGCTGTGTGTGTTGTTCTGATGCTCTTCATGTTGCAGATTTGTATGCTTCCTGCGTCTTTTAATATTAAAGCAGAATATCAAAGAGATATTTTGTTAAATGTGGCGGTTTTGTTCTCATGTCCAAAATGGCACGAAAAACACAGGTAATAAACAGTTTTCATGCTTTTTTTTCCACCAGACTGTTTTACTTTAAACTGAGCAGCACTGATTGAACCACACAACAGGGTTCTTGTAAAAATACTTTCAAAAACTATTCATACCTCCTGAATTGTCTCGCATTTACCTCAGAGTTTATTTTATAATTGGACTTAATGTGATAAAAGGAAGGAAAATAATGCCTGTTTTTTCAATTTCTTTACATAAAAGAAATTGGTTACGCATTAATCCAGCACAATTCTGCCATCACCATGTTTCATAGTGTGGATTTGAGGTATGGATGTATTTTTGGTACAAAACTATTTATGGCTTTTTAACAGTGAACTTCAAGTCACACAGAGAAATACTATAGTTTTTAGATTTGCTCCAATTGATGAAAAACAAATGGTGCAAAACAAACTTTGTATCAAAAAAGACTCAAATACAAATACATACAGAAACATGTCAGGCAGAAACAAAACTACTGTTACACAAACACATTTTCCCGTCATATTGGTTGTTTTTACACAATCAGTGAATCCAACTGCATGAAACCAGTGATATGAATCACAAATGCCATTTTCCAAACCAAACTACTTCCCTCCTTTTGTCACGACAACATTGGAGCAAAATCTGTGACTTGACTATAATTTGTTTTCCCCAACAGCGACAGGAAATACCTGTTCTTGCTAAGAACAATCAGTGACCAAAATGTTCCACCAACTCCTTAAAACATGTACAAGTTTGTCTAAATAATTAATATTGGTGAAAATGTGCTACTTTCACTGGTAGTTAATTTAACTTACAACAAGACATTTTTCCCATATTATAAGACAAATAATCTGCTAGAGGAACTAGGGCTTTTCTGTCATTTTTCAAAAATAATTATGCGCTACAAGCCAGACAAAAATACATGTTAATATGTGTTTTTGAGGTGTAAAGGTCTCAATTATTGTTTTATTTATATTGATCAATATGTGTAAGATGTGAGACTTTTTTCCCCTCAGAATTCAGAAAATCTTAGAATTCTGATCAAAATTAAATAAAATCAGATTTATCTAATGCTTTATTAGGACAGTGAAAGACACTTGGATTCTTTTATTTTTCAGTGTTCCTGCTTCCATACAAAAGCAAACGCTGAACCTTAAACAAGAGTCAGGATCCTGGAACAAAAAAAAAAAAAGAGCAACTGAGCAAAAATGGAGCAATCAAGCCGCTTAAGACTTCACTCTCTGCTGGACTGCGTCTGTGAGAATGTGTGGGACGATCCACATTGAGAGTGTGTGTTTGCATGTGTTAGTGTGTGTGGATGCATTGTTTAAGTGGTTGTTCCTGCGTCTGGCCGGACAACATTTGCTGAGTCAAAGGAAAGCAGATCAAGACAGAGTGGCTCAGCTGCAGCCCCTGGCTCCCAAAACAATGAACGCACCCAGCGTCTGACCGATCAACAAACAGGCAACTGCAAACACACACACACACACACACACACACACACACACACACACACACACACACACACACACACACACACACACACACACACGCACACACACCTCTGAAGAAGGAGCATTGATTTCCCTCGCTTCAAATCCCAGCTTTGTAACACAGTCATCTATCATAACCACACTAACAAAGATTGGGAGGAAAGAAAGGCGGAGGAAGGAAGGACGAGGAAAAGAAAAAGAGCATGAAGAGGAAAAGCTCAGAAGCAGCTGCTAAATTGCTTTCAAATGCATTCGCTCACGCACAAGCGCACACACATCCCTTCGCTCATCAGCGACAAGCAAATAGACTTTTTTCCTGCCTCTACACCCTCCATCCGCTGTCATCAAATCTGAAGTCTAAATGAAGCCTTCAGTCTCAGAACAGCACATATCTAGAAGAAGAAAAAATCTACAGGGTTCAATCAATCTCACATTTGAACCACACTGGCCCTGGAGAAAATGTAACCAAATACAAATTTTGTTTTTTTTTGACAAAAATCTGCAAATAAATACTAAACTTTTGCTTGTAATTTTGGATACATGTTGTAAGTAGTTCATAGAATAAAAGAGCAAAGGTCATCTCACTCAACCATGTACCCATAAGAAGTAAAATCAGAGGAACTGATCATTTCAATTTTTTCCAGAGTTGTATAATTGTGCATCTGTTTGGAGCCATTTTTATGTGCGTGCCCACTTTAAATCCAGCATAGAGCTGAATTTCAAGCAAAAACAACTCATTGTGAAAAGAACTCAAAAGAAATAAAACCGACTAAACTAAAATCTCATTATCTAAGAATGTTTTTGTGCAAAAAAATGTAGAGAACACGTTTAGTCTCGCTCACAGCCCAACCTTAACCTGCTGTAGGTGAGATAAAAGTCCATGATAACATCACAAAACCGCACTTGAAGAAATCGGAATGATCTCTTACTTCCACTCTGCTTTGACATTTGAGATTGTTCCCATCTCACCAATCAGTGTTGGGGAAGTTTTAATACTGTTTTCGTTCTAATAAGACATCAGTCCCCTTCTCCCCAAACCAACTGCGCTTATGATGCAACTGTTAGTCGCAGTGGAGAGTTAGCAGAAGTGAAAGAAGCAAAGCTGATTAAAACAATTTTGGCTCTTGCAGACAGATTGTTACTCCAGTGGAAGAGGCAGAGAAGCAGAAGAGGAGGAATGTACAGTACGGCGAAAGTTCAGCGATAATCAGCATCGCTTATCGCTTGCAGTGAGGGCGAGCGTGAATGCCCTGAATACTGAAGAGTCAAATTGTAAGTGGCATCAGCAAAGCACACACTCCCACACAGTATGCAGCTAAAAAGTGAAGCGCTGCCATATGGTTTATTTACATACAGAGTAATGTCATCTCTTAGGGATCCATTTAAAAAGAGAAAACATAACCTTTATCAGCTGAAGTCATCCATTATGTTTCCTCAATCTGCAGGAGTTCAGTAGCTATTAACTTTAGTCTTGAAATCATCGCTTTTATTAAACCTTTCTACCCAACTCATGCAACTCACGTACTTATCTTCTTCTCACAGAACTCATGCATTTTCCGACCCAGTGCAAAACAAATTTATAAGCGATAGCATCCAGGGATAAAGAAAGGACCTCCAAAATACAACAGCAGAATAACCAAATAGTGCTGTGCATCAACAGCCAGTTTTACCACACAACAGAGAGAAAAACAGAAATTTGCATGAATAAATGGATGCATTCTTGTGTCTTTGGCATCAATGTATCTTAGGTAATTTTTTTATGGCTCTGTTGGTTTTCAGTCCTGCCAAATTGGGTCATAGTAACAATCTGTTTTAAAAAAAGAAAACCAATGTGGTGTAATCAGCCAAAAGTTTCAAGTTCAAATGATTTTTGCACTTCCTTACATTTCTGCTAGACAGATAATCTGATATTCATAACACGTTCTGTTTTGCAATAGGTGTTTAATGTAGGAAGCTTATTATTATCAGGTTTCACATCTACATTGTAAACAACCGTCAAATGTAAATATAACAGCATATTAAAGGTTTCTAAAATAGTGTATGTATGAGCCGTTTTATGAATTGAAAGGTTTTACAGCAATAATGGAAAAATTTATGAAACAATAAAATTAAATAAATAAATCAGCTTTTCTATTGGTTTTCAAAGCAAACAACTCTATTTGAAACACTGTAACATGATTTCCTTTAAAAAAAAAAACAAAAAAAAAACAGATGTATGCATTATTGATGAGATAAAAAACATCTAGTACATAGTTTTGCTGCAAAAATCATTTATGAAGGAAATTTAAACAAAAACCACAAAAGTAAACAAATGAGATTTTATAAAAGTGGTTGTTTATAAGATTTGGAAAGTCAGAAAATGTATTTAACTGGATATGGTATATAAAACGGTATATTTATTTTAAAAGTTACAATCTATCTGGATGCTGCTAGAATTTTAGCATTAACTTGATGAATTAAAGGTCACCTTGTATCATCATACAGCTTTTAAATGTTTCCACGGAGTGCCGTTGTGCTAAATCTCCAGTATACTGGTTTGAGAGAACGTATGTAGTTTTGCTAGTAACTTTTTAAATTTTT